TCGCATTTTATAATTCTGACAATAACCCCAGAATTTTAAAATCTACAGTAATCCCAGGATCCTGGAAGCTACAGTAATCCCAGGATCCTAGAAACTACAGTAACCCCAGGATCCTAGAAACTACAGTAACCCCAGGATCCTAGAAACTACAGTAATCTAGAAACTACAGTAATCCCAGGATCCTAGAAACTACAGTAATCTCAGGATCCTGGAAACTACAGTAATCCCAGGATCCTAGAAACTACAGTAATCTCAGGATCCTGGAAACTACAGTAATCCCAGGATCCTAGAAACTACAGCAATCTAGAAACTACCGTAATCCCAGGATCCTGGAAGCTACAGTAATCCCAGGATCCTAGAAACTACAGTAACCCCAGGATCCTAAAACCTACATTAATCCCAGGATCCTAGAAACTACAGTAATCTAGAAACTACAGTAATCCCAGGGTCCTAGAAACTACAGTAATCTACAGTAATCCGAGGATCTTAGAAACTACAGTAACTCAAAATTCTGTTCCAGGCACCCGAACGGAAATCAAGAACATGAACAGCATTCGAACCATTCACACAGCCATTAATTTGGAAATTGCGCGCCAATTTGAAATTTTGAATTCGAACGGGACAGTTCAAAAAGAGACCAGAGCCGCCGATCAGGACGGGCGGACCGTATCGATGAGGGAGAAGGATGACGTGGATACGGACTATCGATTTATGGTCGAGCCCAATTTACCCAAATTGAGGTGTGATTGGAGGATTTGGAATCTGAAAAGTTGACTGAAAATTGATGTTTTAGACATTTTAAAACTGAAAATTCGAATTTTTCAATGTCTAATTACTGTAATTTATCCTAATTGGGATCAATTTTGCTGAAATTTGACCTAAAATCTTCTTTTTAAAAATTCAAAAAAAAACATCGATTTTTGCTATTTTTCAACTGAAAATTCGGATTTTTCAATGCCTAATTACTGCAACTGACCCTAATTAGCAGTAATTAAAATTAGAAATAGTACACCGCAGGTCGCAGTTTTATAATTCCGACAATACAGTAGTTTCTAGGATCCTTCGGGAGGATTACAGTAGGTTCTAGAATCCTGAGAATAATTTAGTTTCTAGGATCCTGGGAATACTGTAGTTTCTGGGATCCTGGGATTACTGTAGTTTCTAGGATCCTTCGTGAGGATTGCCGTAGCTTACTGTAGTTTCTAGGATCCTGGATCCCAAATCCTCTGGTTCAAGGCTAGATCCTAGACTCACCAGGTACAGTATCCCTCTCCAACGACACATTCGCATCAACTCTCAAGTGTCCCTTATGCAGCTCTCCATTCGATAAGTTATGATGAATAATCAATAATCTAAGGGTTTGAACGAATCGAATCGCTTCAATCGCCGTCTCGAAGCATGGAGACGTCACGATTTCAATCAAGGCGCATCCAGCGCGATTATAGTCAATTAGAGATTTGGGACCTTCTCCTCCTTCTGAAGACGTTGACGGTAGATGAATCGTCTTCCCGGAATCTTGTTCCAATTGCAATTGAAGGATTTTCACCTGGAAAAATGGGACTAATTAGAAAATAAAATGGGCGGAGTCAGTGGGCGGAGCCTAAACTAGGCTATTTTCCGGGGAAGTTTTCCGGAGAACATTTTGTAATTTAGGCTCCGCCCCTTTTGAGAAGCTTCTTCTGAATGCGCCACGTCATCAGCAAGCTATGGCTGACGACGTGTCATTTTGGCCTAGAAAACCCAATCTACTACAGTACCTCTTTCCAATAAGGCACATCCAGATGCTCATCGAAAACCCAAAAACCGAAATTTCCATTTTTGGCAATAGGATGGTGATTCTGAGTGATCTGATAGCCAGCCGGCATATCCCCATAGAAGTAGTGTTTCCGGTCGAATCTCGACCATTCTGACACGTGGCAATTCAGAAGACGTGCCATTTTCAATGCACGATAAATACATTGAGAGTTTAGGGATGGAAGAGTTCCCGGGGTGGCCATATCGAATGGTAGAACCCGTCGATTCGGGGAGGAGTCGGTGGTGGGGCATCGCGAGAATAGCTTCGTTTTGGTGTTCAGCTGCACGTGCACCTGGAATTGATGGGGGGCGATTTTTTATGGAATTTGGCTGAAAATAGCTTGAAATTGGCACGAAAAGCGGTCTGAAAATCGCTTCAAATTGGCCCTGAACTGACATTTAAAAAGCTCAAAAAAGGTCTGGAATTTGTTGAAGGAATGGAAATTCAAATTTTTAGCAATTTCTGAAAATTCGGAACAATCAGAGGCGAAATTCGAATTAATTTTTCTGGATTTTTCTAGAATTCGGCTGAAAATCGAATGACCAAAATTGAGCGAAAATCGATATCAGAAAGCCAAAAAATGACTTAAAATCTCTAGCAAAACATTGAAAACTTGAAACTTTTTTAGAATTCAAAAAATCTGAACTTTTTGAAATCTCAAAATTTTTAAAAGTTTTCCTAAAAGATTTTAAAATCAAAAAATTGAAATTTTGAGAATTCCAGGGTTTTGGGAAATTATGAAAATTCAAAAAAAAAGAAACTCTAAAAATTCCTTAAATCGAAAATCTTAAAAATTCCAAATTTTGGTGAAATTGAAATTTGGAAAAAAAACCAAAAATTTTAAAAATTCAAGAAATTGGAGTTTAAAAAATCACAAAAATTTTGGAAAATCGAAGAATTTACATTTTTAGAAATACCAAAATTTTGGAATATTCAAAAAATCCGAAATTAAGGAAATTCCTAAATTTTCGAAAACTCCAAAAAATCAAAATTTGGGAATTCTCGCCTATCTTGAATATCACTGATTTTTTTTTATTTCTGAAAATGTCTGAAAATAATTTTTCAACAGCTCCTTCACAATGTCCCATTTCATTTGGAATTGCTCATTTCTTCCATCCCCCATCAAACTACAGTACCTCCAATCCGATCACCGGCTTGTATCGTGCCTTTTGTTGATGTTGGGCTACTGTAGCGGAAGCTACTGATGCGAATCCCCTTCGAGAATAAGACCACATTTTTCTGGTTCTAAAAATTCTGAAAATTTCAGAAAAAAAAGGAAAAAAAGAGAAAAAGAGGGTGGTGGATATCCTATCTGATGCCAATTATATGGTTTTTTTAAATTTATATATTTTTAGAATTAAATTTTTCACTGAAAAAGACCAAAAAAGGAAACAAAACAGGGGCGGAGAATCGGGAGAAGAGGAGGGGACGGGGATAGAGAAAAATCACGAATTTTAGGAACCGAGAAACTTTAATTAAAAAAACATTTTTAACGAAAAAAAGAAGTTAAAATTAACAAAAAAAACAACCAATAATACCAAAAAGGATAATTAATAGACGTCGAGAATGTTGTCGAGTGGTTCCAGATCGACGTCTCCTGCACGAACGACACGAGCCAGCGAGACGCGCGTCTCGTCAAGATTCCGTTGGACGACGCCTTCCAGGGTGTTACGGTAGGCCTGGAAATGATCAATACGTTTAGAAGGTGCTTTTAGAAAAAAAAGACTGTGATCATCGAAAAGGAGTTTTAAAATCCTGGGAACTCAGGAATCTGGGAATCTAAGATCTCAAAATATCTAGATAGAAGGTTCTGGAAATTCTGGCATCTCGAATTTTTGAATTTCACGAATCTAGGAATCCAAAGATCTGGAAGTTCGGGAATCAGAAATTTTAGAATATCTGGAATCTAGGAATCGAAAGATTTGGAAATTTGGGAATCAGGAATTATAACATTTCAGGAATTTGAAAATCCAAAAATATGGAAATTCTGGGATCTGGAGATTTAGGAATCTGAAAGTCCGAAGATCTCGAAAATCGGGAATCTGGAATTCCAGTGTTTCTAGAATCTATGAACTTGAAGATCTGGAAATTCGGGAATCTGGAATTCTAGAAATGCAGAAAATCCGAAAAGCTGGAATCTTAGAGATCCAAAAATCGCGAAGATCTGGAAATTACGAAATCTGAGATTTCAGAAGCTCAGGAATCTAAGAATCCGAAGTTCTGAGAATTCGGGAATCTGGAATTCCAGAATTCCAGTAAACTAAATATCCAAAGATCAGGAAATTTGGGAACTCCAGAATTACAGGAATCTAAGAATCCAGATTCTCAAATTCCCAAATCTTGCGATCCTTAGATTCCTGAAAATTTAGAATTCCAAAGTTCAGGAAAATGAATATATCTAATTTCAGGAATCTAAGAATTCAAAAATCTAGATAATCCAGGACCTCTAGAATCCTGGGGACTTCGAAGTACTGAAAATCTGGATCCATAGAATCTATGAATCTAGTATTCTAGAATTCAAGGATTTCCAGATCTTCAGATTTTCAGATCCCTGAATATCTAGAATTCCAAATTCCCGAACTTCCAATCCTTTGGATTCCTATATTTCTGAAATTTTAGAATTCCAAAGATCTGGAAATTCGGGAATCTGGAATTCTACAATTTTAAAAATCTAGGAATCCAAAGATCTGGAAATTCGAGAATCTGAAATTTCAAGGATCCTCCAGAATCCTGGAACCTTCTAGAATCTTTTAATCCATATCCAAATTGCTCATTACCTCAAATCTGTCCTCATTCTCGACCATCTTCAACGCATGAACCAGTGCCAGCTCCGACGCTGCTCTCACTGCCGAATTGCTCTCCTTACATCCATTGATCAATTGTGGAACAATCAGCTTCAACACATCATTCGGCAGATCATTCTTGTATCCAACGTGTCCCATTGCAATGGCAGCCGATTTTCGAACATCAACCGAAGCATGATTCAAGGATCTAGCAACAGAAGAGAGTAGATCTCGATCGATATTCGATTGGAGGATATGAGAAGCTGCTCGGAGGGATGAGCAAGCGACTGATGGATCGGAAGAGGTGAAGGCGGATTGAAGAGCTGAACGACACGTGGCGTTGGCTTCGGAATTCCAGAAACCGTCGGCGTTGGAGGAGCAGAGTTGTTGGAGGGCAGCAGCCTTGGCTTGACGGACACGTGGGATGGTGAAGGTGGATTCAATGTCTGGAAAAATTGTCAAATTAAAATAAAACTTCCAAAAATGCAAAAATCTGAAAATTCAGAAATTTAATAATCTGGAATTCTAGAATTTCAGGAATTCATTTATACCATTTTCAGGCAATTTTGGATCATTTTCAGGTGGTTTTGAGACATTTCCCGGTCATTTCAGACCATTTTCAGGCTATTTTGGACCTTTTCAAGACATTTTAAGCCACGTTTTCAGTTTAACATCCACTCACTACTCAAAACACTGCTCTGCGCGGTCTCCCAGTCTTCCTTCTGAGCAATGGTCTCTCCGAGAAGTGCTCCAGAGCATGCGGTCAATGAGATGTCGATTTCTGATGGATTTTCGACGGATTGAGAGAAGATCATTTCGGAGACACGATAGATCTCATCAACTGTCGACTGGCTCATCTTATCGGGACACGAGGCGATGAGGGCTCGAGCGGTGGCAAGGGAGGATTCGCTGGAAATTTGAGGAATTTAATTTTTAGAGCAATTTTAATTGAATTTAGCGCATTTTGGGCCAATTTCAGGCAAGTTTGAGCCATTTTGGGTGAGTTTGGTCCATTTCCAGACTATATTTTGAGCTATTTAAGATCATTTTCAGGGTGTTTTGGATCGTTTTCAGGCCATTTTGGACAACTTCCAGATCATTTTAGACCATTTTAGGACTGCTTCAGATCATTTTCAGGCTACTTTGAGCTATTTTAGACAATTTTTAGTCGATTATAGACTATTTTATACTATTAAAGAAGAACTACAGTAATCTATCATCCATTTCAAAGTACAGTAATCCCTTCTATTCTAAAGTACAGTAATCTATACTGCAAACTTAGAGCTTCACGGTAGTTCGAAACTACAGTAGTATTGCTTTGAAATCGATTTCCAAAAGTGCTTAACCTTCAACTACAGTGACCCCTTATTTCCAAAGTACAGTATGACCATTTTAAAGCTATTTTAAACCATTTTGTACCATTTTTAGATACTCACATCAATTGCTGATCTGTAGACGTTGCTAACAACTTCAACAACTCCACCATCGTAGTCTCTGGCTTCGGATGCAACTTCATCAAGCGCGCCAACGCACCTCCAGCCGCCAATCTCACCGGTCGAGACGACTGATCCTGAAGAGCTTTGAGGAATGTGGACTGAAGTTGTGGAAGGAACGGACGAAGCATCGCGGCGACCTTATCCAGCAACTTGGATAGCGTTTCAATGATCGGAAGTTTGACATTAGCCGGGAATCGATCTCCAAGTACACGAATCAGCGGACCAGTGATATTGACGACATGGGCTTTGAGGGCAGCCACATCTGACACCTTCACAACCATTCCTAGAGTCTCCGCAGCCAACGCCTTCATCTCAACCTGACCTTGAAGAATGGCTTCACGAAGCATAACGACCAATGGTTGAAGAGACTTCGGATGCGTGAATCCTGGAATCTGTTGTCCTTTGGCACCAGCCACAACGATATTGATTGTCTTCTTGATAGTGGGGAGCACTTGAACCAGCTCTCTCTGATCCATGGATTGAGTAAGAGCCACTGCTGCGCCAACAGCGTGATCGACAATTTGAGGACTAGTGGAGGTGTAGAGATTGAGAAGTCCTGGAAGAACGTCTTCAGCCTGGTCTGCCAGGGAGACTCCCGATTTGGCAATGAATGTGTTGAGAAGGACTGCAGCTGGCACATTATCATCCTGGGATGCTTTCTGGATCAGATAATCGATAAGGACTGGAACTCCATCCTCATCAGTGACAGCGATGACCACCTTTTCACAGGATTCTATCATTGGATCAGCTTCATCATTGGTCTCACAGGAAGCCAAAAGAGCATCTAGAACCTTTGGAAGTTGTCGGGAAAGTGAGTCTCCTGATACAGAAGCCAGGGAGCAGAGAGCGTGAACATTGACTGGAGGCTTGGTAAGTTTTGGAAGAAGGTAGGGAAGCATTGCCTTCGCATTCTGTCTCATCACATCACACAGTCCCTGTAGAATATGATCTTGCTCTGGTGTCAGTTCCTCGAGAAGCGGACAAATGATCTCGTCGAGCGCTTCGTTTCCAACGACACGATATAGCACTGTGAAGGTGGCCGCGGCGGCTTCTCTGACGAATGTGCTCTCGTCGCAAATCGATTTACGGACGGGGTCGACGATGGAGGAGAGGTAGTGGTTGGTGACTTCTTTGCTCATGTTGTTGATGATCTCGTGGAGGGCGATGGCGACTCCGATGCGTTTGGCGATCTCTTCGGACTTCTGGTTGACGTCCAGCACAGGGAGAATGTCGTTGATGACCTGGAAATTGGAATTGATGACATGGGATTTAGAGGATCTAGGGTCTAGGATGTAGAGGATCTAGGAACTAGAGGGTCTAGGATCTAGAGGATCTAGGATCTACAGGATCAAGGATCTAGAGGATCTAGGATCTAGAGGATCTAGGATCTAGAGGATACTAGGGTATAATTCAGGGAAGTTGAAGATTTAAGGCAACTGACACTGAGAGATCTAGGTCCAGAAGACTAGGAAGAACCGGAAACCCATCTCATCCTGGGATCATTTTCAGGTCAATCATAACAAAAAATCTCAAAAAATTGACAACATTTTTTTGATCGAAAAAAAAGCTAAGTCTTACATAAGGCATTTTTTCGAAATCCCAAAAAAAACTTTTTTTGATTTTTTGTCATAGAAACGTTCTACATTCAATTTCAAGTTACGTCCCAAAATTTCAGGCCCAAATCTCTTATTTGAACAAAGTTATTAAGGATTGTTCTAAGCATGTACTTAAGCCAAAATTCGGTTTCAGGCTTTTGTCCATAACTTCGTATCGAGAAGAGATCTCGATCTGATATTCGAATTCGGTACCTAAATTTGAATGTAAAACGTTTTCATAACAAAAAATCTCAAAAAATTGACAAACATTTTTTTGATCGAAAAAAAGCTAAGTCTTACATAAGGCATTTTTTCAAATCCCAAAAAAAACTTTTTTTGATTTTTTGTCATAGAAACGTTCTACATTCAATTTCAAGTTACGTCCCAAAATTTCAGGCCCAAATCTCTTATTTGAACAAAGTTATTAAGGATTGTTCTAAGCATGTACTTAAGCCAAAATTCGGTTTCAGGCTTTTGTCCATAACTTCGTATCGAGAAGAGATCTCGATCTGATATTCGAATTCGGTACCTAAATTTGAATGTAAAACGTTTTCATAACAAAACATCTCAAAAAATTGACAAACATTATTTTGATCGAAAAAAAAGCTAAGTCTTACATAAGGCATTTTTTCGAAATCCCAAAAAAAACTTTTTTTGATTTTTTGTCATAGGAACGTTCTACATTCAATTTTAAGTTACGTTCCAAAGTTTCAGGCCCAAATCTCTTATTTGAACAAAGTTATTAAGGATTGTTCTAAGCATGTACTTAAGCCAAAATTCGGTTTCAGGCTTTTGTGCATAACTTCGTATCGAGAAGAGATCTCGATCTGATATTCGAATTCGGTACCTAAATTTGAATGTAAAACGTTTTCATAACAAAAAATCTCAAAAAATTGACAAACATTATTTTGATCGAAAAAAAGCTAAGTCTTACATAAGGCATTTTTTCGAAATCCCAAAAAAAACTTTTTTTGATTTTTTGTCATAGAAACGTTCTACATTCAATTTCAAGTTACGTCCCAAAATTTCAGGCCCAAATCTCTTATTTGAACAAAGTTATTAAGGATTGTTCTAAGCATGTACTTAAGCCAAAATTCGGTTTCAGGCTTTTGTCCATAACTTCGTATCGAGAAGAGATCTCGATCTGATATTCGAATTCGGTAACTAAATTTGAATGTAAAACGTTTTCATAACAAAAAATCTCAAAAAATTGACAAACATTTTTTTGATCGAAAAAAAGCTAAGTCTTACATAAGGCATTTTTTCGAAATCCCAAAAAAAACTTTTTATGATTTTTTGTCATAGAAACGTGCTACATTCAATTTCAAGTTACGTCCCAAAATTTCAGGCCCAAATCTCTTATTTGAACAAAGTTATTAAGGATTGTTCTAAGCATGTACTTAAGCCAAAATTCGGTTTCAGGCTTTTGTCCATAACTTCGTATCGAGAAGAGATCTCGATCTGATATTCGAATTCGGTACCTAAATTTGAATGTAAAACGTTTTCATAACAAAAAATCTCAAAAAATTGACAAACATTTTTTTGATCGAAAAAAAGCTAAGTCTTACATAAGGCATTTTTTCGAAATCCCAAAAAAAACTTTTTTTGATTTTTTGTCATAGAAACGTTCTACATTCAATTTCAAGTTACGTCCCAAAATTTCAGGCCCAAATCTCTTATTTGAACAAAGTTATTAAGGATTGTTCTAAGCATGTACTTAAGCCAAAATTCGGTTTCAGGCTTTTGTCCATAACTTCGTATCGAGAAGAGATCTCGATCTGATATTCGTATTCGGTACCTAAATTTGAATGTAAAACGTTTTCATAACAAAACATCTCAAAAAATTGACAAACATTATTTTGATCGAAAAAAAAGCTAAGTCTTACATAAGGCATTTTTTCGAAATCCCAAAAAAAACTTTTTTTGATTTTTTGTCATAGGAACGTTCTACATTCAATTTCAAGTTACGTCCAAAAGTTTCAGGCCCAAATCTCTTATTTGAACAAAGTTATTAAGGATTTTCCTAAGCCTGTACTTAAGCCAAAATTCGGAAGATAAGGAAATGCTATACGTAAAAGATAGGAACACAAAAAAAAACTTCGAAATGTTTTCGAGCTCTGAAGTTACTGTAATAAAGTTCAAATAGATATGGATGTGGATGATTGATAGAAAATTGATACCAACGCCTATACAAAACAAATCTAGACGGGAGAAAAGAAAGGATTTTCAAATAAAGTTATAAGAAGAGTCAAAGAAAAAATATATACAGTTTGGAAACAAGAAAGCAGTGGAATTCTATTCATCATCAACCTCGTCTTCTTCTTCGTCTGACTCTTCGTCGATTTTCATCATGCGCCAGAGATCTTGTGGTGGACGGAGGAATCCAATGACGACTGTCACATTGTCCGTACTTCCATGAGCAATCGCTTCGTGGCAGATGTAATGAGCCAAGTCGTTATATTCTGGAAATAAATAAATTTTGAGGTTTTAATCAGTCTTGACTTTATCACTATTGGCTCTAGTTGAAAATACTCTTTTTTGACTTTTTTTCGGTTCAAAAAGTTATAAGAACTTCTCTAATGGTAAGTGTTTCAAAACTTTTCAATTAAAATTGAAAAATTTGATTTTCTTTGACAAAAGTCTAGGCACTAAGGATGTAAGTTACAGTTGTTTGACTGCTCCAACACTTTCAGTAAATATACAAAAAAAACAGAGTTCAAGCATAAATATAACAGCTCTCGCTTAGTTGAACAAGTTTCCAATTTTCAGATCGAACACAAAAACTGATTACAAATTTTCTCACGTTCAAGTTTTCTGTAGAATTCCTTCTAGTAAGCAATTTTAAGCATTTTTAGAATTCATAAAATCCTTTAAGATTTTGTACTTTTTTTCTAAAATGAGCTCTCACCTTCTACAGGATTTTCATTGACATAGGCCTGCACTAAATTGTACAAATCACTTGTGTTGAAGACATCCGATATTCCATCGCAAGCAAGAATTACCAGATAGTCGCCTACTTCAATATCTCGCTGACACGTTTCCGCTTGATTCGAGATCATCGGTCGGCCAGGGACATCTCCTAGTGCACGTGTCAGATTGAGCACACCATTCACTCGAAGCTCTCCACCAATCACAAACAGTTGACCACCAGCCTCTTCGACGCGACGACCTTCTTCGGGATCTGATGGAGAGTGATCGCGTGTCACTTTGCGAACTTCCAGATTATCCATAATGTAGCTGAGATTTTCCAGTTTTTAAAAAATATAAAACTCCTATTTTCATACCCTGGTGAATCTCCCAACCAAGCAAATGCCAACTCCTTCTTATTCATATCAATTGCACAACAGACAGCCGTGGTACCTCCCTTCCAGCATTCCTTCGTACTTCTTACAGTCATACGCTCATCCAGAAGATCCAACGAAGTCTTCAGTTGCTTCTCAAGTGGCTCCTCGAAGTGCGAGGCTCGTGTCTCAATCCACGTCTCCCACATATGCCCAGCAGCGTATTGGGAGCACTCGTGGCCTCCATGACCATCGAAAACACCCAAAAGAGCAATATGGTCCGAACGAGACGTATCCATGTACAAGCTATTCGGATAGGCGACAAATCGATCCTCCTGTTTGTGACGTTGTCCTTTTATTTGTTCAGCAGACACGTGAATTCCAGTCCATTTTGTGCGAAGGAGTGGAGAGTTGTAGGTGTACATCCATAAATTCTTTTCTGCTGCCTTCCACATATTGTCCATGTAAGTCTTCTTGGCTTCTGTGAAAACGAAACATTAGATTCCATGTTCCAAGGATCCCCGTGGTTATCTGGATGATACAAGCATACCTGCAGTATTCTCCGTCACGTATTGGTCAGGAGTAAAACGACACTCATGATACTTCACTGGACTATCCTTATCAATCTGCTTGGCAATCCAATAGGACATCCAGTGACAGTACTCGACAGGTGGACCTCTGAAAACATTTTGTAAAATCCTAAACTTTTTCCTCTCTAATTTCAAACTTTTACCGAGTCATCAACTTTTGAAAAATTGCATGTACAGCATCTCCGAAAACGTCATGAACCGGTGCAGCTGCTGGTGGATTACGGTATCGGATGGGAATGTATGACTGTGGAGATTCTGTAGTGGGTGGAATGCCATTTTGGGGTCCAAGCATCTCCTCCTCGAAAGTCTCTTCAATGAATGAACGGGCACTTCGTTGACGGTCCAAGTGGAGATCCTGGAAACTTGTATTTGAAAAGAGCAACAAAAAACTTGGAGTTTTAATTTTCAGACAGGAAGAAAATTTCAGTTAATTTTGCTCTAATTTTCAGTTTTTCGAAAATTGTAAACATTTTTCTTTCGAAGTTTTAATTTCATCACAATTAGGATTTTTAGACCGTTGAATTTATCTTGAAACACAGGAGTTATAATTTTTCAATACCGTAAACCATACTTGCAAACAAGCCTTCATCTGCCATAGTTTCTTTTAGAATCAAAATTTTCAGACCAACTCACTTAGATATGAAAGAACTCGACGAGTGCTACATAATGATATTATTTGGAGGACTGTGTCTTGTCTATGAACAAAGTTACAGACAAAAAACAGAGGCCTCGTCTGGCCACTTTATGACTTGTTACTTTGTTCATAGACAAGACACTGTTTTCCAAATAGTATCATTTTGTAGTACTCGCCGAGTTTTATCATATCTAATTTAGTTAATCTAAAAATATTGATTCAAAAAGAAACTATGACGAAGGGGCCCGGCAAATACGCGGTCGCAAGTATGCCGTAAACACTCTAAAAGAACACCATCGGAATCATTATATTCGAGCCCATGTATCTCATTTCCTGTAAAAGATATCAACAAGTGGTCAACTAATTAAATGTTGCTGACATCATGACAAACATTTTGTTAGTTGACAATTTTTTGATATCTTTTGAAAAAAGTGAGATATATAGGCTCAAAGTGGACGGTTCTGGTGGCGTTCTAGTAGTGTTTACGGTAGTTTTTATCGCATATCTTCCACAGAAACAGTGATAAAACTGGGTCACTCAGACGATAAGGTTTGCGAAACTTTTAGTGATTATGCTTAATCCATAATTATTTGTATACCTCAAAAAGTGCTTCTCTTTCGAATTTGATCTGCTCCTCACTTGGCTCCAAAAGAGCATGCCCATATTCTTCGTCCTCTTCAATTATACGCAAGTAATTGGGTCCAAGTTGACCTTTACGCGTAGGCTCTTGTGATCGTCCGGTGACCGGTTGTGATGATTTCTCGTTAGTTTTGGGTGGTGGTGGGCCGGACATCTGAAAAGGTGAGATTTCGAAAAAGGTGATTTACAAAGTATTGCAAGGATGGAATGAAGAATAGCAAAAAACAAAAATGAAAAAAAGAAAATTTCTAATGCAGATTCTCTTTTTCTGAATATTTGAAACCATCAGTTTCACTAAAAATTTCGATTTTTCTCTCCAAATTCTTCTATTGTAGATTCAAAAAAACAAAATTTTTGATTTACACATAAAAAATGTTCAGGGAGCCAAAAATATTGTCGGATTAAAAATAGTGACACCTGAAAATCTCGGAGACAGCGCTCGTGTCGATTTACGAGGGGGCGGAGCGAAAACGGATACTGTAGATAACAAATTTATTTATGTGAATTTAGTGGGATTATCTGAACAAAATTTTGATTTCTCGGTATGAAAATGATCGCTAGCATCTCTAGAATCAATTTTACAGCAAAAAACTAAACTCAAACGCGAAAGTAGCTCAAATTTGCCGAAATTCTGAAATATTACGTTTTTGCCGCACTTTTTAGTAGATCAAATAAAGCAAAAGTTTTCAAATTCTCAGGTGTCACTTTTTTTAATTCGACAATATAAGAAAATTGCAATAAGAAGAGCACAAAAACTACAATGAAAAAAAAGAAAATCCATTCTTGTTTTTTTGTTTTTTTCAGAATTTTTGAACCATTGGTTTGACTAAAATTGTCGAATTTCTCCTTCAAATAGTTCTACTACAGATTCAAAAAATATATAATTTTTTGATCTACACATATAGAACCAATTGTTTTCGAAGTCAAAAATATAGGAAAAATGCAATGATGAGATTTAGGAAAGCAGAAAAAACGTACATCGGAAAAAGGTCTCCATTGCAAATCATTTTTTTTCAGAATTAAAAAAATTTCATAAAAAATTGTTCTAATAGGGATTCAAAAAAAACTATTTTTGATCTACACATATTTACTGAAAAAGTCCTGGAAGTCAAACTACATGAAAAATATTCGAAGTTCTGACCCTATTTCACAATCAAAACTATAAGAAAACTGTCCAAAACTAGTGGAAAATCGATAAGAAATGAGAGCAGCAGGTAGAAAAAAGGAAAAAGGAAAAGAAGAAAAAATGGTGCTGGTTGGGAGAGAACGACCAAAATAAACGGAGAACATAGAAATAGTGTTGGCTACCAAGAGAGGGTCAATGGGTCATCTTGGCGCGTTTGGCGGACGAGGGGCGCCTTTCGCGCGCATGTAGTTTTTTGGCGCCAAAACAAAGTTGGAAGAATTTGGACTTAAAAAGTTAATTTGAAAGGGAGAAACTATTGAAGAAGGAAATGAGTCGGGAGATAAAAAATGAAAAAGCATAAAAGAAATAGGACTAGAAAAGAAATAGAAGCTAACGTCTCTCAATTTAAAAAGACAAAAATAATAGACTGGAAAAACAAAGATGTGAATAGTAAGGTCCACTATTTTTATGAAACTTAAAAATTTTTCAGTTTGTTTGATTTACAAAAAAAACAGTGGATCAACTGAAAATAGCTAAATCCCTCATTTTTCACCCATATCCTTCGCACTCTTTCCTTGTTTTCCAGTTATTGTCAAAATTGTGTTCTTCCCGCAGGCTCAAATCTACCATCAATCACATGCCAGATGGAACATGCTAAGAAATCAATACATTCCTCCCCAACCTTCAAGATGGGGGTCATTCGATAGAAATTTTTGAGTCACCTGACACCATTTATAAACAATTCCCCTCTCATTTTTTGCATTTAAAACGAACCCAAAGAATCCTTTTCATGCACAATCTCTATATTCCAGATATGAGGATATTTTTCTTGTTTCTCGTACTCCAGGAGTTTTTTCAACCCGTTTCCACAAAGCAACTGATTGAAAAAGCCAACAACGAGACTCTGAAAATTCGTCTCAACACTCCATTCTTCAAATTTTTCAGCAAGAATGGGCATCATGTGGTGCGTCTCTATTTAAGTTTCAGTTTTTTAAATACCTCATATTCAGGTAGACGAGGAGATTCCTAAAATTACCATCCCAGAAATCAGGCTCCCATTTTCAACAAGCATTGGACATGGTGTAGTGAAGACTGATGACCTGAAAATCGAGAAGTTTAATTCCCCAAAGATTGATTTCAATTTATCCAACACTGGAATCGCATGGTGGACCAGTGGAGGAGCGATTAAGTTGACTGGAAAATGGCATGCAAAGTTTACAGAACTGATTACGGTAGAAATTTAATTTAATACTTCTCTTGTTTGAATCCCAAATTGCAGGTTCGTGATAAGGGATGGCTGAATGCATATGCTACTGGAATCCAAATGAATATATCTGCATCAGCTTATCAGTTGGATGGTCAACCACAAATACGTATCGGAGAGTGTACAGTCACGATTCAAAAGTTAGATGTCGAGTAAGTGGTCTTTATGATCTCCAATTAGCTTAATTATGCTCTTTAGAATCGGTGGAAGTGTCTTATCCTGGCTAGTTAACCTCTTCGAAACGCCATTCTCCAAATTGGTCAAACAAGTTATCAATTCTCAAGCCTGTACTGCTGCTCGTGGAATTCTAATAGACGAGGCCAATCGCTTCCTTCACTCGCTTCCTAGTCATGTGGATATTGGGGCTAACTTCTATGTGGATTATTTTCTGACCGAAAACCCGCATGCTACGAAGTCAGTATGAATCAAAAGATCATCATAATAACTTTATTATTTACAGCCAATTCACGGAATTCGATCTGGCTGCTGATATTGTTTATGGAAATAGCTCGTGTCTTCCGGTGAAAAGTGGAAATTGGACTGGTATGTATTTAGGGTATATGAAATTTATCATTAAGCAAGTTTTCAGATGCTAGTTCCTCTCCTGGAATGGTGACGTCTTGGATTTCCGTCTCCATCCCTAACTGCTTAATCGAGTCTGCCCACCAAAATCAACTAGTCCGATTTCTAGTCTCCAAAGACATTGCAGTTGCAGAACCCTATCTACGCACTTCTTGCGGCTTCCTTGGATTGTGCATTGGAAAGTTTTTCAAGAAATTAAGAACGGAATATCCAAACAATCATGTGGATATGTATTTCCATACCTACAATACTCCGTTTTTTGTGATGAGCGAGAAAGATGGAGTTATGTTGAATATGAGTTTGGCGGTAGACTTGTTTATCAATCCCTACGCGAAAACCAAACAGGTAATTGTTTTTTCAAGGCGTTTTTAATTGCCTTTTCTCAGAACATTCTTGCTCGTCTCGTGGTTGACACCTTCTCCGACCTTGAGCCATACTTAAATCATACCAAAATCCATGGTCACCTCTTGAACTCCACTATCACCGCAAGAGTCGACTTCTCTAACATTGGCGATGTTCCTGGAGCGTAAGAAAACTTTTCAGTATTAAAACATTTAGATATAGCCATTTCAGATTCCTCAGAGCGTTCTCCAGCGTTCTCTCAATGACTGCTCGCCAAGCAGTCAAGTCAGTTCTGGGTGTTGGGATTCCGATTCCATCTTATGATAATGTCACTTTGGCTGACTCTTCCCATGTCGAAGTATTCGATCAGTACCTCCGTACCAACATCGATTTTGAGTATAAGTGATTTTGATTATTCGCAGTTACCAAACCCATCATTCAAGAATCTTTTAAACAAGATAAATGTTAAATTTCAAACATGATCTTGTTGTATCTATTGGGCCAGTAATTAAGGTGCCTCATCCTCCTGTCATCGCCATACTCATAAATATGTGTCCTCCTGCTATCCAACATATCTCATCATAATGCATGGAGTTCCTCCTCCTACTCTTCATTATGATTCTTTCCAAGAGCCTATCCCTCGTGCTTCGCCTCCTCCCTGCTTTTCCTTCGTTAGAAATAGTACACTATTTCTGAAGAGACCCAAACATTCCGGCCTTGGCATTGCTGCGTTTCTCCTTCTCTCATAATGTTTCTCGGTTTCCTCGAACAATGTGTCACCCGACGGCGGAACAAGAAGACGCAGACGGGCGGTTGGTTTCTCGCCGATATATGTTGCCAATAGATTTTATATGTATTGACAGAGACGGAAAAAAGGAGATAACGGTTTTATTATGTATAATGTTTGTTTTACAGTTCTTTTCAGTCTTTGACTCTTTTTACTAAGTTTTTTTTGTCACAAGGTTCTAAACCTTCTCAAGTGGAGTTGTAGACGCTTTTTTGAATTTCTTTAGTTCTTGATGAAATACACAGTTTCTACTTTTGAAAAAAAGTTATACTTAATTTAAACCATTAACTCTGAAGACTATATTTTCCAATACATATCTCCAATGATGTTTACAGTATTTATCCTTTAAAGTGTTTTCACTGTCTCGTTTTAATATTCCGCTCAAATCTAAAGCACCAAGCTCATCCAAAAAAATAACTGTTCAGTTAGTCTATTCATCTGTCTCTCTAACTTCCTTCATGTAGTTTCTTGCCCTTTTCCCCTCCCTACCTGAGAATGCAAATATTGACTGATTTCGAATTTTTTTTTCGTCTTCTGCAGAAAAGAGTAGTCGGTCTCTCTCTACCGGAGGGTGTCCCCATCACTTCCCAATACACAACTACTACCGGTTTTTCTCATTTCTTTCTTTTTCTTTTTTTACCCTATCCCTTTTTCAACCACTTTTCATCATCACAGACAGTTTTTTTTTCAAAAAACCGGGTGTTCTTTAAATTGTAAAACCATATTTCCATGTAAATTCATTCTTGACCTGGAAGAATACCTGATTGTACCCAAAAAAAACACCCAAAATGTTTTTGTACCTATTATAACACAAAGATGTTATTTCACTCCTTATCAATTCAAAAATAGTACGGCTATTTTATTTTTCTATGTCTAGGTGAAATTGTTTTTAATTATTGTTCTTGTAGATAGCATTTCAAAATGACGCACCCATTTCGAAATTTATACCAATGACATAATCATACGTTGGATAGTGGTTGGGCGGCATTTTAAAAAATTCTAGAAAAGATGGCATTTTAGATAGTTATAAGCTTCCTTCATCAAGTTTAAGAAATGCTTTAAAGAAGTGAAAGTAGTTCAGTCCTATTGCTTCTTGCCTATTCTCTTGGTAACTTCTCTCGGATTGCCCTTCATAATTTCTTTGTTAATCAGCTAATTTCGTTTTCAATTATCAAAGATTCATTCTTCCATGATAACCTGATAACCCCCCCCCCTTTCCTTTTCATTTCCCTCCCGATTCTTCCAACACCTTCCCGTTCAGAATGATTCAATTTACTCTTCAAATGAATATTCCTCTCTAAATCTCTGGGATTCTCCTAATCCCTAGATCTCTCTTGCTTTTAAATTTTCATCCTCTCTAGATCACTCTCCGGGTTTTTGTTGGCCTGTGTACCCTGTTGTACTGCTTCTGACTGAGCAAAAATCTCTCTTTTCCGTTTTTCTCATCCTTCGCGTTTTTCGAAAGGGTCCCTCCGGTTTTTGATGATTAGTAGTGCTAAGAGATAGGTTTTCGTGATTTTTTCTGACGAAAATCTGACCTAATAGTAAGAATTTTAAATTTTAACAACGCCGTAATTGCTCATTTTTGATTTTTTTGGCAAATCAGTCGGAAACAAATTCTGCGGTTTTTTTTCAATTTTAAAATAGAAAAATGTAACACAATACAAATTTCATATGCTAGATGAATCATTATTTGTTTCCAGAAAGCATTTCTGTACGAAAAAAAATAATTTTTTTGGAGAGAACATTCGTTTCATTCTAGATCAGTAATCGAATTTCCCGACAACCAATCACTTTCCAAATCCGTTTAAATTTTGCCTAATAACCTATTTCTTCTTTTCCATCAGACCATATTAACTGACACGACTTAAAAATAATAAGTTAAAGGGAGTGTCATCATTTCAAGTGCACCACCCCGGTTTTTGTCACTCTCTCTCTCTCCCTCTTTCTCTTTGTAAAATCACATGTTCATAATATTTTCCGCCACCCTATGTGCCTCAATTTTCCCTAGACTCTCCGTCTGCGTCTCTATATCTTCCATTAAATTTGAACGCACTTTCATGTTCAATCATTCGCAGTTAGAGTAGTTAGTCTCGGTCTTATTGATTTTTAAAATTTTTTTATCTATAGGAAACTTAGAAAAACTTTATCAATCTCAAAATTATAGATTTTGTATAGGATAATTTTTCGAAGAGAACCAGAGAAACAAAGTTATTTACTTTTTTGTATGCTGGGAATGTTAACGTTTGATTGTATTAAATACTGTAACATGATAATTGAATTAATGCATACCTAGTTTCCCCAACAAATTCCTACATGTTGTACTGATCAGAAATCCAATATAACTATTGCAAAATTCATTCTTGCTCATCTCTATTTCTGAAAATCGTGCTCCATGGTTTTCTTGCTTACCCATAATTCTGAATAATGTGTTATTCCAAAACTATGAAATTTTTCAGACTTGGCACGAAAACAGGGCAACCAAGTTCGATCGGGCCCGGAAAAAATTAAAATATGTCAGAAACATTGTCAAGGTTGCTAATTATCACAGCTGGTACACTCTACCCAGCATACAGAAGTTATAAAGTGAGTTTTCATTTAAAATAAGAAATCGAACATGAGACTTGAAAATTCTAAATCTACTGTAGATTTAATCTCATCTTCAAAACATTATACCAAAAAAGGAGGTGTTTATGCTAATATTTACAGGCAGTCCGAACGAGGGACACCCGAGAATACGTAAAATGGATGATGTATTGGATAGTGTTCGCCATCTACTCCTTCCTTGAGAACATACTAGACCTACTCCTCTCGTTTTGGTTTCCGTTCTATTTCCAACTCAAAATTGTGTTTATATTTTGGCTGTTGAGCCCGTGGACCAAAGGAGCATCGATTTTGTACAGAAAGGTGAGACAGCTCAAGTTTTAAAAAAATATTTTTACTTGTGTGTTTCAGTGGGTCCATCCGACACTAAATCGACATGAAAAGGATATAGATGCGCTTTTGGAGTCCGCCAAATCCGAGTCATATAATCAGGTAATTGGTTTGAAAGACATTTGATAAGTTGGTGAAAAAATTCGGAAGCTAAAGTTCAAATTATTGTAGATCATGAGAATCGGAAGTCAAAGTTTGGTGTATGCCAGAGAAGTGGTGGCAGAGGCAGCTGTAAGAGGACAACAGCAATTGGTTAATCAGCTTCAAAGGTAAATTTTATTTTTGTAAAAAATATTGATGTTCGTGCTAAATGTAAAAAAACTAGTAAACCATTAAAAACTCTGTCTTCTAGAAGCATAGCATTCATTTACAGATCCTACAGTGCCAACGACGTCGGAACCGAGCGTGTACCCATTTCCAAATCTACCGACGTGACAAGTATCGAGGAGCTCGAGGAGCACAGTGACGGAGAAATTCACAACCCACAACTGTCACCTCGTCCGAAGAGACGAGCCGCGGCATCCAGATCTCGATCAAGATCCCGAACTCTGGATAATGCAAATCCAGGCGGTGCAGATAGTGAATATGCGGCCACAATTCCACGTAGAACCGCTAGAAGACCCATTCACTAGACTGTCATAAAAACATCCAAAAAACTCTCAAGTCAAAAAATTACAGCAAAATTGTCGAAACGAGTCAACCACTTTCCTCTCAATTCATAATAGTTTATTAGAACCAACATACTTTATAAATCCATAGAAACCATACCTAATCTATCTGTCATTAAATTGATTGCATTGAAATCAAGACGAGATAGATTTCCCAATGGTTTAAATGATTTAAATCAAAAAAATTGGCATCCTATTTCCAAAATAAAACTTTTTTGTGCCTTCCCAACTTTCCACCTCTCTCTAGCCCTTCCACACATATTTTATCATTTTCTTTTCAGTTCATTTTTTTCCGTTTTTATGTATATACATTCAACAGTTTCATAAATATCTCATTATGTCTTTATATGTTTCGTTTTATTTATGAAACATCACAAACTGATTTTATGAATTTTCGAAACACTTTACTGATTTTGTGTCTGCCTGGTGGGTTTTAAATCTTATTGACGGGCTCCTGTCACAGAAGGGGCGTCTGGAGGTATCTTGAAACAATAGAAGGGTCGTCCTTCTGATACAGGATTTAGGATACATGCTAAAGTTTTTCAGTCGAACAAAACACACATCTCCAGATTTTTAGCCTACCAAATAGCTTTTTCATCCTCTTCTAATTCTAAAACCTATATAAAAACCGGGCGAAATATAAATTCGGATGTTCCGCGTGGACAGTCATCACGAAAAGAACAGGTATTTTATGAATATCTTCTTATTGGCTTCTTCTTCTTCATCTCTTTTTCTGCTGCTTCTTGACCAGATCTCCTCCTCATATCTTCCATTCATTCGTATCATTTTGCTTGTCTCGATTTTCTCTCGTCTTTCAAAAAATGACAACAAGACCTTTGGTGATTCTAACCATCGGCCTTCTTGGGTTTATACTATATTCAGGTGAGCTATTCAAAATTCGTGAAGGGAGTTCATTTTTTGAACAAAATTACAGAATGTCAAATCAGTGCAATGTTCGGAAATCCTATTCAAGCTTCAAACTGTGAGAGTTGGTCAGAATGGGGCCCTTGTGTGTGGCTAAAAGGAAAAGAGAAAAGGTTACAGTTTAAGTGGGGTTGTCAAAACTTTGATGCTCCTCGTAGTTCTTCGAACATGTAGAAGGCTTGATTTGGACAAGGAAGTTTGTCACATTTTAAACAAACTCAATTTTTTGGCCTCATTTTTTGATGGATTAACCCAGAAAAATTTAATTAAAAAGTGCGTGTACATACATAAGTGAGTGCATTTGTGTCATATCAGGCACGCAATTTTGGAATTTTTAAGCAAGCGAGCTTCAGGGTTACTGTAATAGACGGTACAATAAGTCATACAGAATAATCAAGAGTGAAGGCTTCGCCTAATAATATAGCAAGAGCTTAGGTTTGTCTGGAAAACGTTTTTTAAATAGTTTCTAAGGTTCAAAAGTACATACCGTATTTCCTCTAATAGTAGCCCACCTCTTAAAGAAGCCTACCCTGAGAAAGAGGTGGAAAAATAGAAGCCCATGGGCTTCTATTAGAGGAAATACGGTATATCATTCTTCTTTTCCAGATGGCAACGCTCATATTTCGAACAATTACTCCCTGGCCGTAAAGGGTGCAGAAACCACGTCTTCTTCCGTCTTCTCAAGGATCGTTGGGGGGTTGTAAGTTTCTAGGAGAGATTTCTTGCTAAGATTGTACATAAAAAGTGGAACACAGAACTGAACCGTTTTACATTTCATGCGCGAAAAACTTACAAGATTTCTATCTAAAGATCTTTTTTCTCTTTGTGGCTGAGGCGAGAAAAATGGGTGACAGAGTCTACAAAAGATTTTTGCAACAGATTATTGAAAACCGATTAAAATCTACAATTTCCAGGCTTTCAACAATTTCTACAACTATCTGAGAGATACGACTACTAGTGAAGAGCAGTGCGGAGAGTGCTCCTACCAGCAGAGTTGTGGTAGAAAGTGTCATAGAAGGTTCGGGGGATTTTAATTTTTTTACTCTTGAGAATCCAGGAAGATTGAACTATTTCCTGAAGACAATAAGAGACAAGAAATATTTTCCAGAGGAGACATTGGAATCATCAACCCACTCTTCGTCGCTGAGCGAAAATGCATGGGAGTAGATCAAAGCAAAGCATGCGTGTCTACTTTCATGCCAGACTGTAAACTCTGGCCAAATAACAATATTCAATTGCCAAATGTGACGGAGTCAATGCAACAGATTATTGATAATTTGGATTACCTGCAGTGTGTTCCAGAGCATAGGTAAGATCGTTTTTTTCCAATTTTTAACCAATACAGGCGGGTAGCTGAAAAACTTAAAAAGACTTGCATCTGATGTGTCTGAAATACTTGGGTCAACACATTTACATGTTTATTATGAAGATGAAATTTTATTATTTCATAGTATTTTTTACATCAAAGTATTTTTTTCAGACCCTCCGGATCTGTATGTCGTTGCTGTTGCCATCCATACACACCAAATCCACAAACCTTTGAATGTGAACTCAAACCATATTTGGCCGGAAAATAAGAAAAGCGAGACACCTCCCAAGATGTGCATGTTTTATTTTTTCAAGTTTCTCCAAGGTGCTGTTGACAAATTGAAAAATAAACTAATGAATAAATTATTTTTTCTTTTCGTTTGCTTTTTCTCACCAGGTTCCTGGAATCAAAAAGACAAAACTCTTGGGATCTCTAGTCGGAATGTTCCTGATCTAATCATTATATAAAAATACATATAAACACAAGATGTATATTTCTTAATCAATTTCCGGGGACCTCAGACAAATAAATGAATGAATAGAGGGTCCCCTCATTCCGCCAGTTTTTATGGGACTCATCTTTTATTTTTTCCATACATTCCTTTTCCCGTTTTTATGGCGTTCAACTATGTTTCTTTGAGCAGAAAACAGAAGAAGGAAGTGGTACATTCTTTCTTATCAAAAGTTGTTGAGGTCAAGTTTGATAATACATACCATAAACACTCTAATAGAATGCCACCCGGACCGTCCACTTTGAACCAATATAATGCACTTCTTTTAGAAGATATCAAAAAGTTGTCAACTAATAAAACGAGTATCATGATATCAGCAACATTTTATAGGTTAACCACTTTTTGATATCTTTCACAGAAAATGAGATACATAGGCTCAAATTTTCGAGTGACGTTCTATTAGAGTGTTTACGGTATCTCGGTTGCTACAGATATCCGAAATTCGTAACATTTATTCGTGAAGAGTTAAATTATACTTCAATAATTTAAGAATAAAGAACCCAGAGATATTCAAGGAATACCAGAACATTCGAAACACATACATTTTGGAATTTTTGTATCCAGGAACACTTTTGATTTCAGTAATGATGTGCTCTCCCGACTTCCCAAATTTCCAGACACTTCAAACTTCTAATGTCTTAATGATAGTCCTCCTCCTGCTTTCCAAAAATAGTACTTCTCAATCTCATAAATTTCAGGCTCAACCCATTTAGCTTTTCAATACTCCCCCAATTTTTTCATCTTCTTCCTTCTTTCCACTTTTGGCTCAATTGTTTCCGTATCTTTTTCACCCAGTTTCCTCGCCCCATTTTCTTCATGTCTCTAATTCCTCTCTCTCACTCTCTTTTCAGAATGTGTCTCTTTGCAAAGAGCCTTCAGACTCCGCCCACTTGGTCCCCTCCTCCTAGTTCCTCCACCCCTTCGATTTCATTTATTCCATGTTTTAGTTTTTTTCCACCCGGCTATTTGGGTTTTCCTAATTTGTGAGAATCCATGAGATTGTACTTCTTTGGAATTTTTTTTCTTGATATCGCTGTTTTAGGTTGTTAAGTTCTCATTTTTTATTCATCTTTGTCATTGCCCTTCTCAGAATAACCTTATTTAACAGTAATCATTAACTTTTAGAACTTCTCCCCACAGCGATGTCCGACGCTCCAGCTCCAGCTCCTGCTGCTGCTCCAGCTCCACCAACTCATGCTCCATTGACCCCACATGTACGTTGAATATGGGTAGAATGAGTGGGGTAGAAGAATTTCGAAACCAAAAGCCTAATCGACTGGAAATATTCCTCTTGTTTTTCCTTTTTGGGTGGGACGAAACAGAAAAGGGTTCCGATTTTTATATGTTTATGGAAAGAGCGGGGCACATCAAGTTGATTGTTTTTGGATTGTTTTCTGAATTATTTTCTGGGTGTCTGGGAATTTTTACAGAATATATTAATCCTATTGATGAGCCATTACAACGGCAAAGTTTCTTGGATAATTAGAAAAACGGAGAAACTCACTTTAAGTGTCGTGTGTGCTCTTTTTTGGAATCCAAAAAAAGCACATAGAATAGTTTTCTTAGGGAGCTCCCACAGAGCGCTCTCCAGAGAATTGGGCAAAGAAAAGAGAGAGCAATCGACTTTTTAGACCTTTTGGGAAAAGGAAAAACCGAGGCGAACAAAAAGAAAGAAGTAGGAAAAAGCAAAAAATGGTTTGAAAAACACTGGAATAACAAAGGAAAGAATGGCTTCAAAGTTAAAAAATACCTTAATACCTCAGGCGTCGCCGGTTACTTCTGGCCGGAGCTTGGTCAGATTCCGGCAAAGACATTGTGGGAAGCCGACCAAGATCCGACAAATTAACGGCCAGCTTTCGACCTCTTAACACGCAGCGCTTTCAAATTCCGGCCAAAATCTGACCATTGTCCGTCCCACTGCTGTCAGTGGGCAGCTTCTAACCAAAATCTGACCAAAATCCGTCCAAAAGCCGAACCCCCCTCAACTTCCGCCCAGAAGTTGCAAGCCGACAGCCGAGACGTTAAACCTTTCTTCGCGGATTTAGAGTTGGTCAACATCTGCTGAAATGGTGAAGATAAATGATTTTTGGTCCAATACCCTTTACCATGTGAATTAGGATATTCCAGCTCATATCTTGAGCGAGTTCTGTAGATCAAACCTTGTGATCAATGCTCACACAACTCATTTTTGGGGGGGGGGGGGGAACCCATTACTCATCTGGTGCCTATGATTGACCAGTTAGATTGTTGATCATTTCCTCTTCTTTTTCTTCTTTCCACTCATTTTTCTCTGGTCTGGAGAAAAAGAAACAGAGAGTGTTTACCTAGATAAGTAACTAATCCAAAAAAATGGAATCTGGAATACTTTTAACAGTAGTAAAGCTTCCTCATTCAACTTTGAGTTGGCATTTAAAGTCCATCTAACCTCGCTGTTTAGATTTTTGGCAGATATTAGTTTCGGTTACGAAAGCAGTAAAGCGGACTAAGCTCCAGCTCTTCCCAAAAAGAGTGAAAGTGACTCATTGCCATTTGGCTAATTGAATTCTGTATTTCACCAAAAGTCGTTTGGAAGAAAGCGACACTTAATGAGATTCCTTTCTATAGCAGGCTCCAGATTTCTACCCATTTCGCAATTTCATCAAAAAGAAGAATTACACGGGCACCCCGTTTCAACACATTTTATGGGCGCCGTTTCCCAATGACTCTTGGGACCCTCTCTCATCTGAATACACACACAAATACATCATCTGGCTCCTTCGAAACATGTTGACGTCTTCTTTGAGAAGAGGGAGAAGACGTCTTAAAAAGAGACTTCAAAAGATGTTGGAGGCATTTGATGACTCTTTTGGGACCCTCTGTTGGAAAGAAACACGAAAAAAGTAAAAAGGGTGGAAATTGAAATTGAAATTTATCGAGAAAGTATGTACTACTAGACACATTTCTAACAAATTGAATTTTTTCTATTTGATCAAAAAAATATCTCCAGTTATTCGACACATTTTTACAGGACATCTTCTTTTTTAATTAAAAAGTGCAAATGCGACTTTTTTCAAAAAAAAAATAGAGAACGAAAATAAAAATAAACTTGAGAAAGCGAAAATATTGAGTTACAAAACACTGTGGGAATTTTCAAGAGGCTCTTTTCATTTTTGGAAACCGGATATGGAACTTTTCTGTGTTTTGGATATTTTCTTATATAGAAAAAATTCAAAAATTCTGAGTCCAAAATTCATTAGAAAACTTTTCAGAAGCACTGCAACACTCGCGATCGTCTGTTCGGACAAGAATCTCCAGCTGCGGCTTCTCCAAAACGCGTTACTCCAACCTACAAGTCTCAGATCTTCGATGATGTTCCAGCTTCACCATCCAGAACTCCAAAGAAGTCGATCCCAGTTCTTTGTGAGTTTCTTTTTTCATTCGATTTTCAGAAAAAAAAACATTGTTCCTTTAATTTCGAATTTCAGCTCGCAACCCAGTGACCGGAGAAATCAAGCAATCGCCATCTCAACAAAAAATCGCTGCCTAAACGAAAGTTTAATTATCAATTCCTAATTGTGCAATTTAATATGATTCTGACATTCAATTTTCTCGCTTTGCCCACTCTTTCTGTATTTGCACTTACAACTTTTTCGGTTCTGATCAATGTTGTAAAATGCTGAAATATAAACAAAATAATAAAACTTCAAATTATCAGCTTTTTAGATAACATTTGGGCCATCAGGAAATCTGGAAAAAAGTGGCATTACTATACTAAAACGCACCAAAAGGAAAAAAATATAGGAAAAATGTCCATAATATTTCCAGATCTATGGAAAAAGCCTAACGTCCAAATTTGCATGATCAAAGGTAAACATGAGGACAAATAGATCAGTGTCTCCCTGTAAAACGGGTTTTCACTACGGCCAAAAGAAGAAGACATAAAAAAGACGTCTTGATTTAAAGGGTAGTGTGGCTGACCCCCAAAAACTTTGATTTTTTTTCTCCCGCTGAGTGAGGAGACAGAATTCCTGATCTCTGTAGTTCAGTAGTTTTTTAGGTTCCCAAATTTTTGATAGTATATATTTCGTTATGACCATCCCATCTTTATTAATACCAATTAAGTCTGAAAGATTGTCAAGTATTTCTTCTTAAAGTGAAATAAGACCTAGTTTAGGTGTCTGAAAGTTTTTTAAATTGGAGACTGTATGTATTCAATGCAGTACAATTAAGGCCATTATTAAGTTTCGTATTTTACCTCGAAATGTTTCTCTGAAATCTTCCAAGTTCTATTAAATCAAAAATTCAAAATAACAAGGTCATTTTTCACTCATCTATTTCAATTAGCCTCCCCATCTCTCCAAATTTTTTCTCTAACTAATTTCTCCCAGTAGATACAGAACGTACGATTCGTATTCTCATCATTTGATTTCTTTTTTTTTCTTGAACCGTTTGGTTTTTCTATGGTTATGAAAGGCCACTTGAGATTTTGAAACATAATATTTTCGTATTAGTCATTAGACGTTAATCTTATGTCTTTCTATCTATTTCTAAAAACAAAAAAACCCTAATTACAGATTTTCAGACTGATTTATGGGCCAATAAAAGTTTCTACTAGCCAAAACATCTATTGTTTTCCAAATGACTGTTAATTACCAACTAGATGTCTCCTCTGGGAATCCCTTACTGTTTTTAAAATTGTTGAGTCGATGGAGGGGTAAGCAATCTGAATGGATGAACACTTGTTCTATTTCTAGGATCCATCTGGAAATCAGTGGCTGGCGACTTGGCTGTGTGGTTGGTATTCTTTTATGCTGTACATTTTACATATCTATATGTGCTTTTAAAGGATTGGCAGCTGTTAGTTCATTTATCTGTTTATTCAATTTTGTGAGCATTTTCAGAATTTTCGATAAAATTTCAATACATATGGATGACCGTATGAAATACCTTCCTCTGACTTTCATGCTTGGATTCTTCGTGACTACAGTTTTCGAAAGATGGAGAAGTGCTCTAAACGTAATGCCTTTCATTGAATCGGTGGCTCTCTCTGTAGCAGTTTTGTTGCCAGGAAAAGGAGAAGAAGATCGATTGACGAGGAGAGCGATAGTCCGATATGTAGTATTGCACCAGGTACTATCTCCATCTATCTTCAAAAGGTTCACTTAATTTTCTAGGTCTTGGTCTTCCGTGACATCTCAATGCGAGTTCGTCGTCGTTTCCCAACTCTTCAATATGTTGTGGATGCTGGGTTTATGGAGCCAGAAGAGCGAGATGAACTAGAAGCAGTGTGCTGTAATCCCGGACAAAACTATTGGGTTCCTATAAACTGGGCAAATTCCTTGGCACTAGATGCTCATCAGAGAAAATTGATAGATCAGCCAACAGCGTTTAATAATTTGATTCTGGTGAGTTTGAAATCCTTACTGGCTCGACTCAAATGATTAAGGCTATCAAAGAGTTCCGTGTATCTATGGAGACGTTGATCAAGTTCGATTCTATCCCAATCCCAATTGCATATCCGCAAGTGAGTTCTTTTTCAATGAGACCACTAAACTTAAAATTTGAAGAAATTCAGGTAGTCTTCCTTGCAGTTCGTGTCTACTTCACCATCTGTATAGTTAGCCGTCAGTTTTTAATATCCGATTTGAAATCGAAAACCCAAATGGATTGGCCTGTTCCAATTATGTCAATTCTGGAATTTATATTTGTTATCGGCTGGATGAAAGTGGCTGAAGTTCTTCTAAATCCACTCGGAGAAGATGATGATGATTTTGAAGTTAATTGGATTATTGATAAGAATATTTCTGTGAGTTCGTTCCTCCCAGAGATGATTGTTATTTTTCTCAAATTTCAGACAGGAATGGCAATTGTAGACAACACTCATGGTTACCATCCTAACTTGGTTAATGATAAATTTGCAGATCCCGGTGAGTTACCAAAGCGATACTAAAACTACACACCAGTTTTCAGACTATCTACCTGCCTATTCTGAAAAGAGTCAACTGCCAAGAACACTGACTGGATCTGCTGCCAAAGTGGAGTTGGCTTCTCCAGATGACGCTGTAAAGATTGTGAGGGTGAATCCAGAAGATGCACCGCCCACAAGCGGTAAGAACCCGGACAAGTTTATCTGGCCAGCCGTGAATTTTTTTAGAGCGTGGAAGCATTTTTACAAAACGGAACGCTTTTTCTCTCAGAAATCGAACAATTTCAATTTCTTCTAATAATATTGAAAGCCCTAGTCAGGAGAGAAAATTCAATCTATCAATGCCTGCAACAATGTTGAGTAAATGTGAGAAAGTTCACTCGGAGGATAATTCTGAAAAAAAACAACTTTTTCAGCCAAACAACCAGATCGGCCTGGTTTGGAAACTCTCAACGAAGAAAACGAGCCAGCTTCAAATAATCATTTCCGCAGAGGAGATAGAATTTATTCATCGGATTCGGTAAATGCGCTCAACTGACAAATTTTTGAAACATTTATGATTGCAGGGTAAAAGCAAAGGACGACAAAGTTCGGAAGAAAGTGAAAAAGGGAAGAATCAAGTTTGATGATAATATGTGTTTTTTTGTTAATAACTTTTCTTGTTTATGTTTAATGAAGGCAATCTCTTGATTCTCCATCGTACTTTCCAGCTAATTGAAGACGTCCCAAGTTGAAAGTCTTAAAATAAAAGTTTTTCGTTATTCGGCTTTTTAAAAAACTGTCCGTACCTCAGATGGCTGCTTGGTATTGGACACGTATTTGCTGGGAATGAAGATGGTGATACGACGTTGGCAGGGCTGAAAAAGTTATAATTTGGGAATAATAAGGGGTACAAGTATCGTGACAGCTACCTTAATTCCATCGTCACAATCGTGATAGATATTAATCTTTGGATCGATTCCGGAAATCTCATCTGCAGTTCCACTCAAACGAAAATGCCCATTTGCATCGGTTTTTGCAGAATCCATAAGCTCATCAGGAGAAACTGAAAACTCTTTATGTTCAAGAATCTTCTAGAAAATTGCATTCGCCTGTATCATGATCATACAACTTGATCAATAGATCCTTCGCCGGTCCGTCTTCACACAAAAGTATACCTTCCACTGCGGTGGATTGAGTTCTACCAATTGCTTGACACGTGGAAACTAGGCAGAAAGCTAGAAGAATATGATGGGTAGATGGCATTTTTATTGTTCTAGGGGCAAAGTGGACAATGAAAAGTAGAGGGGTCGCTTTTTTAATGAAAGGAAAAAAGATAGATGATGTGATACTGATAGATCAATCACTCTTTGTTTATCGAATAGAAAAGAAGACCGAAGTCAGAAGAGGTGACAATGACTAATACGAGAATGGGATGGTAGAAAACCGTATAGTGGATACCTGGAAATATAAAAGTTCGGAAAATTGGAATCTGAAGATATGGACCTCCCAGCTGACAATTTTCTGGTACATTCGAGGCCTCTTCGAAGTTGTACCGAGCTAAATTTGTTTTGAGTTGTTGTTAACTAGCTTTAAAGGTTCTTGAGATACCGTAAAACCTGTAATAGAAGGCTCCCCACACTGTCAAATTTGAGACATGTTGAATTAATAATAATATCGGAAATCTTTTCAGTTATAGACTTTTTTTGGACCATGAGCTAAAATAAAATTAATAGTTTAGAATAACTATTGATATGAATAGAAAAAGTAGGATTTTCTTCGGATTTTATGTACTGGATTAGCCAGACAAATGTAGTCTGTTGATCCCTTTCGCCACGTAGAGGCTCAGTACATAGAAAGGGTAAAAAGGTTTATTTACCAATGGGATCACCTTCAAAAACCCATTGTTCTCAGTCTGATCAGTATTCGCAGTATGAATCCTGTTCTAGCGATAAGCTCTTCCAGTATGAACCGAAGTCCAACTGACCGATCAGACCAACTAGCCCATTATCCAACTGGCCTACTTCACAAACGTCAAACTGTGTCCTCAGTCTGATCAGTATTCGCAGTATGAATCATGTTCTAACGATAAGCTCTTCCAGTATGAACCGAAGTCCAACTGACCGATCAGACCAACTAGCCCATTATCCAACTGGCCTACTTCACAAACGTCAAAATGTCTTGGAGAACAATGGACCAGGTGTTCCAAGTGACGTAGGACAAAAACTGTTCGAAAATGGGAAACAATTCAAAAGATTTTTTAAAAATGCATTAAATCAGAAATTCCAAAAATTTAATTCAAATCCCTAACGGGTTCCAGGATGTTTCAGTGAAATCAATTTGTTGTGGGGCGACTACAGAAGTTGGAATTGTTTGAGATAATATCGCTTGTGGTACTATTCAGCACTTGCACTGCGCAATTCTTGGTCATCCGCCTGGAAACGCTCAATATCTAAATACCATACACCATATAAACTGTGATAGAGGCCCCTCACACTGGTAAGTTTGATCTGATTTTTCTTGGTTCCTACTCAAGATAAAAGTTCTGTCAATTGATAAAATGTTTGTGATAATATGGTGTACAATTCATCTGTGGACAACTCACTTGCATCTTTTACAAGAAGTGAGATATATAGGCTCAAAGTTGACTAATTAGTAATTATATTTAAAGGTTCTAGAGAAAATTCCTCTAATTTTTATTTGATTTTTTTCAAGTTTAAAATTAAACTTCTATTAGTCATTCATACCTTTCTTCTCATTATCAAATGATGATTTGTGTGATGACTCTCCGCAAAAATGACATTTCCCAGACATTGCACCGGAAATTATACGCCCAAGTTTGTTAAGGTTTTTTGTTTTTAATTTCTGCTATACAAATTTCCTCTATTACTTTTAAAGAGTATTCTCTGTAAATGATTTGACTTTAAATCTTTTTCTACGAATTTGAAATTTTTTGATTAAACCAGGTTGTGAAAGACACAGTTTTGATTAAACCAGGTTGTGAAAGAAATAGACTAGAAAAAATTGGGCGGAGTTTTGAAAAAGTGTCAACACTGATAAAAACTCCAAATAAAAGGGGAATGGTTTGGTGTACTCCTGACTCTTTTTTCTGGAGATTAGCAATATGATTCATGACAAATTTTTCTGCGTTCTAGTAAATTCTATGACTCATGGATTGATTTGTATATCGCGCCATCACATTGGTATAAATAGACGAATGATTTGTTTGCTATTCTCCACTATTTCGCAAGGTTTTCTAGAGAAATGAAATGATTGAAAACCCAACTTTCCATCATATTTTTCTCAAGCTAAACTACTCTGCTCCGTACTCCGACCATTTGTTTACACAATTCTCCATTTTTTGTCTCTTATCAACCATTTTTCCCAAACTCTCTGTCGTTTTGGTCTTTGTACAAAACCAAATCACTGTTTCTCATTTAGGCACGTACCTAATAAAAACATCAATATTTAGAACTTCAGCCATTATTTTACTTCTTTCAGCACTGAAACATGATTGGAGGAGGAGCCGGCATTAGCTTCCGAAACGAGTTCTTCGAGCCACCAAGCCCAGTGAACATCCCAGTCCAGGGATTCTCCACTGGATCTCGCCTCCGATTGGTTCTTCTTCCGACTCACGACAACACCAGCTTCCACGTCAATCTTCGTACTCCAGACGACATCGTTCTTCACTTCAATCCACGTTTCGATGAAGGAGTCGTTGTGAACAACTCCACAAGAGCCGGTGGGTGGGAGAGCGAGGATCGTCACGATAACATCTTGGAGCAGAACAAAATCTACACTCTCGAGTTTGTCTCGAACGGAGGAATCATTTCGGTTAGTCTCCCAAGCACTTAATTTCTAATAATATTATAATTTCAGATCTTCCTCAACGGAAACCATTTCGCTGACTTCGTCGAGCGCGCCTCTTCTGAAGGAGTCCACCTTATCGAAATCGACGGAGGTGTCCATGTCCACTCCGCCCATATTTCTCACTAAATTGTTTTCTTTCTTTCGTTGTATTCAATTTCCTGTTCAAATAAATCGCTAATCATTTTTAAGAATCATTTTATGCTTTATAAACAAGACATAAGAACTTCAGAAAAGAATTTAGACAGCATCATTCGTGATAAGAACATTTTTGACCAAGAAAAAGTTGAATGTTGAAGCCACATAACTTTGTCAAGTTTTGAAAGCTGCGCTCTAATTCGTTCGCCATTGCTGACACTGATCGCCATCTACAGTACCTCCCAAAAGATGTAACAACTCTCCCAATCCGCTCAGTTTTTATGCAACAATTTTTTCACACTTGTTATTTTTTCTTTTTGAAAAAAAGAAGAAACAACCAAAAAACATCTCTTACTTTTTAGAAGCCGCTTGAAGCGGTTCGCTTCTCATTTCCCATGAGTTTCCCTCTTGTTTCCCCTCGTGGGAACTTTATTAGTGTTATCGCGCTCTGTCGAACCGTGTCTGCGTCTCCTTTCCGCACACACTATCTCGGCGACTTTTTCACTCACGATCAATAGGAGAGAAGAGAAGCCGGATTATTTTGCGCACTTTTCCACTGTCTCTCTTCTGTTTCACAATGTTTTCTTTAAATCTCTCTTATTCGCGCATTCTCTCTCTTCCTCTCGCATCACCAAATTCCCGGATTCTCGTCTATCTTCTAAGCTTTTTTATCTCACCATTCTAATCGCTCTAATTTAATTTTATTGGATTTCTCCCAACTTGAGAGAAGATCTTCTAGAAGAGAAATAGCCAATTTCTTCGTCTTCTTTCAGAAATGGCCACCGTCGCCGGCCCACCGAAAGCCTACGAGTTCACTATCGACGATGATGAGTTAGAGGTAAAAGATAGAGTTAGAAAAAATTCCTTCAAGATTTTCTTGCTTTTCAGGACCCTAAACCATCATCTGATCAAGCCACAATGTGCAATTTTTACAAGTTAAACTTGCCAGCCAGCGCTTCAATACTGAGCAAGCAGATAGCAAAATCACAAGCGAAACGAGGTAATTTTTTAACTAAATTGCATGGAATGGCACATGACTATTGTAAATCTGTTGTATCTGCACATTGTGTGCCTTTTTAGTTTCAAATTATGCAAAAAAAACACTTTATTTGAACATTTCTATGTGTCGTCGTCGTTGTCCACCACAATTTTCAGCCAAAAGAGACACTCGTCATCGCCACCGAAAGGATCTGTCTGTAGTTCGGGAGACTGATGAGACACGTGGATCGAATTCCGAGGAAAATGCATCGCCCCGACCTATCACCGAACTCTCCTTCGATCATGACGCTCCTTCAGCTCCACCATCCGCTCCACCTTCCGCCCCTGCTTCTCAATACGGTGGACGCTCTAGAATCGATTCAGAACCCGTGGGAGTCAGACTGCAACGTCAATCGTCACTTCCAGAAGCTCAACGAGAAATAGAACCAATGGATGAGGAAGAAGCGCAGCTTCTAGCAATGCTACTCAAAGGAATAGAAAGGAATGAACAGGGAATACCACTAAATGGAAATCAGCCTATTCGAAATCCCGCACCAATTCCACAAGTTGCCCCATCCCCAGGACTCCCCCACCTCCATCCCGGCGCCAAGGTGTCCGAGTGGCTATTCGAGAGATCCACGTCACCGGATAATTTGTCAGTAGTGTCTTCAGTGCTTCTAGAAGATTCGGGCCTTGTTTTGAACTACAGAAATTCTGATGATGATGAGGACGATATCTTTTTCGATGCTCCAGAAGAAAAGTTGGTTGATGAGGAAAAGGAGGAGAATAAAATAGAAAAGAATGTTGATGTTGTTGATAGTTGTGGTATCGAGCATGAGATGCAAGGCAAGTCGGTGTTGCATGATTTTTCAGTATACATTTAGGCGGCCTATTAGGTCTAAATTAGGCCTAAGGTCGTATTTTGAATCCAATTCCAACAACTTCTTATTCAGGTCTCTCTCTCAACCGGAATATCGCTGCTATGACACAATCGTTGGTTCGCGTCGAAGAGGAAATCACAGTTACTGATGGGCCTGAATTGCGGACTGGTCGGAGCACATCAGTTAGTCCAAGGCCCACGAATAATGAGCAATTTATGAGAAACAGTAATGGAAGTGCCACATTTAATGTAAAACATTCGGTAAGAGTTTCAAAAATTTCTCACCCAAATATTGCTGTGAAAATTAACCCCCTTTTTGAGTTCCATTAAATTCCTTCAATTATCTATCCCTAATTCTCTAACCTCTCCATTCAGAGTACACTGGCACGACTTCAAAAACTCTCACCTCAATTTCAAGGGAACAACGGAAACTCTAACACTCCTGTCTCGACAAGAACTACCAGAAGTGTGCTCCGTGTGCATAACGTTAACTCAATGCCACGTCCTACTACCGAACAGACGCCGATCAGAAATACGATGAGCAAGTCGAGTGTTCAGACTCCGCGCGCAGCTTCGGGTGTCAGGATTATGGTAATCTGGGGTTTTTTGGGCTTTGTTCTAATCAAAACTAATCAACCTCTGGAATTCAGAGTCTGAATTCAAAAAAAAATCATAACAAGGTCCTTTATTTTTAGCCTCCAAGCTCCCAAATCACCCCTCCTACTGTCACCATCAACCCATCAATCCAATCTCGTCCTGCATCCGTTGTCTCTTCTGTCGGAGGACGTTCCTCACAAAATGTCACATCGGTGACGGCATCCAACCTCGAGGGACTTCAAGACTTGATTCAGATGCAAGAAGAAGGTTTGTGCTCTTTAGTCTACCGATTTTAGAACTTTGGATGGTTTGCAGCCCTCCGACGCGCCGCTCTTGATAGCCAATCAGGTGGTGCAGAACGAAAGATGTCATGGCACAGCGATCAAGATGCTAATCGTCAATCTACGTCGACCCACTCATCTCTTGGCTCTCTATGCTCCAGTAAATCGATCGATGGAGCTCATGCATTGAGCAAAATGACGACACCATCAGCTTCGCGGATTCCGACACCGAGGTCTCGCCTCCCAACGCCACGTGGATCAACACTACCTAAGAGAGTGTAAGTAAGGTTTAAAATAGATGTCTCAAAATTGAAATCTAAAACTTTGTAAAATCTCTTTTCTAGGTCCATTGGCGTTCAGACAGGTATCAAAACATTTGTGTGTCATTTTACACGCTTTTTACACATTCACAGCTCTCCAAAATGAACTATCCCGCACTTGTAAGGTCCTTTGAATCATATTTTCTTTCCAGACATTCCGTGGCCGCCGCCGTGCGTTTTACGACATCGAAGCCAGAGTCTACCTCACCTTCAGCCAACAACGATGCCGATGAATGCTTCTGAAATTTCAACGAAGCCAAAGAATTCACGTCGTCAAATGATCCGAAGTCTACTGATAACTCCATCGCTGTCATACGATTCTTCATCACTCGCTTCATTTTTATTAAGCCCGCCCTGTTGAATACTCTTTTTTCTGTTTTTTTTTCTATGTTTTCTCCCTCTGCCTTTCTTCCCACTATTTCGCTTGAAATACCATGCATTTTCTATTCGACCCTCTTGAAAAGGGGTCGTCGTCTGAAACCGGTTTTAACATGACTAGATTCAATATGTGCAAGATCCCGTGCACATGTGAATACCCAATTTTCAATCCAACCATCTACTTAGCACTCCGGTTACGTGTTAGCTTCTATCCCTTTAGAAATATTCTAAATACTGTCCGCCCTGTAAATATACATGCACAATTGTTTCCTCTTTCCTGGTCCTTTTCTTATAAATGAGCTTTTTCATTTTTTTTGAACGAGTTTTTTGGAATTTTCAGATTTTCTAACACTTACGTTTCAGATGTGTGCGATATCTGATTCTAACCTACATCTTTAAAAATAGACTGAAAAATATTTCAGTAGCATGGAGAAAACTCCGGTACGACGGAGTAAGTCTGTAGATTTAGATGATCCATTCACACCGATTCCAAAATTGTGTAAGTTAACAGAAGCCGAATAAATTCCCAGAAAATCTAAAAATTTGTATATTGAGGAAGGTTTTCCAGCCAATCTCCGATCCCCACGAACATCCCGAGAATTCATATGTCCTCTGAGAACCACGCCTCCTCCAGAAGGCTCTGAAAATTCAACGACTATTCCACCATCTCCAGTACGAAAACGTGGCATTGAAGAGTCTTCAGTAACCCCTCTACACCGAAAAAATGGGCCACCACTGTTGAAAAAAAGCTCGATGAGCAAATTAGCCGATGGCTTTCGATCGGCTGCGAATCTAATAAACGAAGGAGAGAATGATGATGATCCCTTCGGATTGTCATTCCGAAACTATCAAATTCTCTTGTCGAAAAAGGTTCCAGAGACTTCCAGACGAATTCCAGATGAAGAAGAAGTGATAGATCCATCGAAATGTCTTCCAGAACGAGCTATGGAAAAGTACAAAAGGATAAAAAAGCTAGAAAAATTTTACGACTGGCAGCAAGAGTGTCTTTCCGATAAGCGTCTGTTAAACGGAGAAAATTGTATTCTTTCATTGCCAACTGGTGCTGGAAAAACGTTGATCGCTGAGATTCTGATGCTTCGAGAAGCCATAGTGCACAAGAGAAATGCGATTCTGGTGCTGCCCTACGTGGCAATTGTGCAGGAAAAGGTGATTGTAGAAATAAACAAACATTTAAAGCAAACAAAGATTTTCAGATTTCCTCGCTGGCTCCATTTGAAGACGCATTCGGCATAAATATAGAAGAATATGCATCTAACAAGGGTCGTTTCCCACCTATAAAACGAAGGAAACGAGTATCAGTCTACGTAGCAACCATTGAAAAAGCCAATATGCTCATCAACTCTCTTATCACTCAAAACCAGCTTGACCAGATTGGGATGGTTGTTGTCGATGAGCTGCATATGATTGGTGACGGTGGACGTGGTGCAATTCTAGAGCAGCTATTGGCTAAATTTCTGTACAAAGGGAGCGGACAGATAGTTGGAATGTCCGCGACACTTCCGAACATTGATGACCTACAATTCGCCCTTCGATCCTTTGTGTACAGCACTAACTTCCGTCCTGTGGAACTTGCAGAATTCGTGAAGATTGGCCAAACTATGCATCAAGTGGAGAATGGTGGCGATTTAAAACCAGCTGGTGATCTTCCAACGAACGTTAGTTTTGCTTTTAAAACATTTCTGAATCCCAGAATTTCAGAACTTGAAATCCACTGATCCCGATGGCATTTGCCAGTTGCTTGCTAAACTGATACCAAAAAGTTCCGCCGTCATTTTCTGTCCAAACAAGAAAAATTGTGAGAATGTGGCTGTGTTGATTGCAAAAACTCTTCCAGCGTAAGACAAACCTAGAAAATATTTTCTGAAATTTAAACTAATTCAGCCACATCAGACAAGCAAAACGAGCGGAAAGTGAAGCATTTCTGCAGTCCTATCTAACGGATAACGATGATGAGAGGATGGACGCGGATCTGAAACAATGTATTCTGTCTGGAGTGGCCTATCATCATTCAGGTTTGACACAGGATGAGAGGAAGTGTGTGGAGGCGGCGTTCATGGTGAGCAATCTAGAAGTTTCCCTACTTTCTGATTTTGTAAGCTACATAAATTTATCAAAGTCATTTTTTAAAGGAAGGTCTGATCTACGTAGTATGTGCCACATCTACTCTAGCCGCCGGCGTCAATCTCCCTGTCCGTCGTGTAATCATCAAATGCCCAATGGTTGGTAGAGAGCGACTAGGCAAAGCTCAATACCTTCAAATGGCTGGGAGAGCTGGAAGAGCAGGATTCGATACCAAGGGAGACTGCATCACAATAGTGAAACAAGGAGAGGAGGAACGATGGTTCAGGGAAATGCTGAAATCCGATATTCCCAGATGTATGAGCTCTTTGTCGAGTGTTGAAGCGATGGGATCTTTTATTTTGGATATGATTGTGCTGAAAATCGCAAAAAATCTGGAAGAAGTGTTGCTTGGAGTACAGTACTCCTTGTATGCCGCTCAAGAGTCTCCGGATAAGATTCGGGAACTCGTGGAAAAAAGTTTGCAACGTCTAGAAGAGCACCGCTTCCTCACCATTGAAGATAGAGAGATCACACCCTCAGATTTGGGTAGCGCAGTTTTCAATGCTGGATTTGCTCCGGAAGAGGCCACACGTCTACATACCGACCTAATTTCATCCCTAAATCAAGGTGTCATTTTCTCTTCTCATTTCCATTTGCTCTTCATTATTACACCTTATGAGCAAGTTTGCAATATCAATTGGGATCTTTTCTTGCTATTGGTATTTTTTGAATATTTGCTTCCATCTTTTAAATTTGAATTTCCAGTACAACGCCTTACCACAAAGCGAACGAAAGCTATTGGGAGAGTGTGGTCTCGAAGAGAAATTCATACTGGAAGCCATAATCACACGCGTAGATCTCATTGCTGGAACAACTCGAATGCGTCTTTACATTGCTCTCATGCTCCAAAAAATTTGGAATCACGAGCCAATGTTCCAGGTGGCAGAGCGGTTTGGTGTAGAGAAGGGATGGTTGCAAGCGACACTTCAGTCCTCGATTTCTCAGGCTGCATCGATTGCAAAGTTTTCGGAGGTATACTGTATCATCATTTTCTCTTTAAAATTTTAAAACAATTTCTCAGAAAATCACCACAATGTGGCCACTGCGAAAATTGCTCCCCGAGTTGGTACAGAGGCTTTCCGAAGCTGCTCAACCTGAATTATTACCTCTTATGACTGTGGATGGGGTCAAAAAGGCGCGTGCAGCGATTCTGTTCAAAGCAGGCTACAAGACGGTTGGAATGGTGAGCACTAATGTCTTCCTTATGACTACAAACTACAAATTTCAGATCGCTCGTGCCAACCCGCTGAAATTGGTTCAAGAGCTAGGCACGATTCGACTCGCCCAGGCAAAGTCAATCATCAACAGTGCAAAAATGGTTCTTCGTGATCAGGTGGATGAGAAAATGGAAGAGTTGGACGTTTGGGGTGTTGCCACTGATAACTTTGATTATTTTTAAATTGCTAGCTTTTCTGTTAAATATGTGATCTCTAATTATCTCTGATTATCTCTTGATCTATTTGTATTTGGCATGCGGATCTTTTTATTTACGGATTTCTCACTGTTTTAAACATCTTTTAAATACATATTTTCTTTTTTTTATTTCATGATCCAGTTCCCAATCGGTCGCTAATACACCGAATTTTCTATTTCCCCCTCTAAATTTAAGATTGAGTCCAATTTCCTGTTTAGATGGTGAACGTCAAGAAGGGAGTGTTGGTGACCAGTGATCCAGCGTTCCGTCAGCTTCTCATCCATTTGGACGATTCGAGACAGCTCGGATCGAAGTTTATTGTTAGAGTAAGTGGATCTCTCGATTCTATATAAAACGTAAAATTCTGTAAATTTCAGGAACTGGACGACACTCATCTCTTTATCGAAAAGGATATTGTACCAATGTTGGAGAGCAAGGTGGAGCAAATCATGGAGAACATGAATCCGGAGACCAACGATAACAAATAATCACTCAATTTGTCATATTTTTCCCATCGATATATATTCTGAAACTAAAATAAATATCTGACTCATAACATTGCTAAAATTCGAATAGATTTGGATTTCAGTTTAATCTCATTAGAAATGTATGATTTTAATTTTCATTAAATTGTCATTGACAGTGTGTACGGTAAAGAGATTTCGAAAATGATGAGCATGGAGGAAATTCAAAGAAAATGTTTGAAAAAAAACAGGAATGTATAAGTGGAAAGTGAAGGGTTTTGAAAGGGAAAAAGGCACTTTTGATATAGCTTTACATGTTTGAAAATAACGGAAAAAAGGCAGTGATGGATAAGAATTAACCGAGAAAAAATAAGAAAAAGGGATGAAATATTTAAAAAGTGATGGTAGAATTGGAAGAAACACTCTTCCGAGTTCTAGACAATCCCTGGGAATGGGTAGTTGGAATCCAGTGGACCCATTCTCCGTTTTTGTCTCTTTTAGTGCTCTCACTAGATAGCGGATATTTCCAGTGGCCACCACCAATGTCCGTTTCGACTCTGGAATTCTTTGCTAAAAATTAGCCCATCTAATACTCCGAACTAACCTGAAATTCCTCCACTCTGGAACGTACAACCTAAAGCAGTTCAGTCTTCTGACACCTAGTGTAGATTCATCCTCGTATTTCTCTTTTCTAACCACCGCCCAATCCGGTAGACAAAAATCGTAGCAGTCTGAACAGGAGGCGTCTGAAATATATTTTTATTTTTTAAAGTTTACAATTTGTACGTTTTAGAACTACCTCTAGCATGTACAGTTTGTTTCAGGAGGTACCATTTTGCTCCATGGCAATCATCAATTTGTTCGGTGAACTTTTGATTAGCAATCATTGGTTCGATGGGCTCCGGATCGAATTGGTAGAACTCTTGCCAGCCAAACGTTGATTGGATCTGAAAGTACCACGAAATTATATCACAGACAGAAAAGTTTCCATAGTGAGAATTGATTTTGAAAAATGGATTTTCGAATTCTCCGTATTTCAAAGTGCCAGTCTACCAATTTTCAGCGATTTCCCTCGACTTTCCGTTGCAGAACAGTTCTTAAACGCAACAGATAGAGCCCAGCACGCGTTCCACAAGAAGCAGCCGACACTTCCCGGGTTCGCGCCGGCCACTATACTTTGTGTTGCGAAAGACTCCGCCCACTTTTCTCTCTTGAAAGCGGGGGAAGGCGACCAGTGGAAATGCGTTTTCAGAAAAAAACACGATTTTGGAGAGTTTAGATATTTTCTTGATTTTTTCGACGGAAATGGATAAAAGGCTGAAAATGATTATGTTTGAGACTAATTTCAGCGTCTAGGGTGTACAACAGAGTTGCACGGACAGTCCGTTGTCCGTTGTCCGCTGTCCGTTGTCCGGCCGTTTTTGGCTGTCCGTTGTCCGTAGAAATTGTCTTTGTCCGTCCATTTACCAGAAAAAATTAAATTCAAGTTTTCCGTCTAAGAAGGCATTAAAAATGGTGGATGAGCTCCGAACTCTTTTCCATCGCTATTTTCAATCGTTAAATTCTATTTTTTTTTCAGCAAAAAATCGTCTATTTTGGAAACATTTGTCCGATGTCCGTTGTCCGTTGTCCGTTGTCCGCTGTCCGTTGTCCGTCAAAAAAAATGTTGTCCGCTGTCCGTGAAAAAAAACTTCCCTGTCCGTGCAACTCTGGTGTACAATGAGCCAAGTTATGAACAAACAAGAACCGCGACTTCCAATGATATGGGTGGATCAGCAAAAACTCGAAGTGCTTTATTTTTTTTATAATATACTTTGAATGAATCTAGCATTGCAACTAAATATTAAAAGTGTAATTTTGTTGTGTGATTTTCAAGAAATTTGCATTCAAAATTAGAGTACATCAACATTCTAATAGAATCAAACTTAGAGTATCTACAAAAAAACATCAGTTTGAAACCCAAAGAGACCAACAGAGGCGTTTTATATATAAGTAAGGTAATACTCACCTCATAATCGGAATCCGACACAGCTTCCGATAACTGATCAATACTATCAATCGCACTTTTGTCTAATGGCATCAGGAAACAAGTGAAATGCTTTCCACTGGCATCAGTTAAAGAATGATCTGCATATGCTATGTATCCCTAGAAAATTGCTTTTGTCCATTTTTCCGGAACATCCTAAAACTTACGGTATCGAAATCGATAGCTGTGAAACTATTCGACTTAAACGGTGAATTTCCACGAAGTTCAAAGTGAGCCTGGTATTTTGAGAAGAAGTGGACAAATACTGAAATTGCCAGTTGTGGATGTTTATTCTAATGAAAACTTACCTGATGATGGTAGAGCCGATGAAACCAACGCTGGATTCTTCCTACGACACTCCTCACAGACTGGAGGGTATAGGAGAAATTCGGAAACAGCATATCGGTTGAAAATTGCGTTGAACATTATGAAAAGAAGGAGGAGCAATAGAATAAGGAAGAGGAGAATGCAACACATGTTGCGCATGAATTCTGGGGTGTAGTCGGCGGTTCTGAGACTTATTATATATAAGGCACTCAAAAATTTTAGACCCCAAACTCACTTAAATGCATATCTGACTCCATTGATAAATGTTCGAATCTTCTTGAAACATCCCACTTTTTTCTCCGTATTTTCTGTTTCTCTGGAAACTAGAGACGTCTGTGACTGTGGTGGGAATCTTCTAGAGCTGAGATTTGGGGCAATTTTCCGATTCTCCTCTCCATCCCACGACGATTGCATTGCTCGGTAGCTGTCTTTTCGGGCCAGCGATCTGGATTTTTAGTTAAAGAGTTTTTAACAAGAAATGGTAAACATCTTACGATGTAGTTTTTAGTTCTTCCATTTCCAGAATGGTTTGCATGGTTTTAAAAAGAAAAGAAGAATATTTAGGAAAAAGTATACCAGAACTCAGAATATTAGAAAATGTAGGCGTCCTTGTATTCTACGAGGAAGGTAAGGATACTATTTACTTTTCCCACGCTTCACCAAGTTCTTCCGAAGGGACAACGACAAACATTGAGAGACGCGTTTTCAGCTATTTTTCCCTGAATCAAAACAAAAGCTCACTCATTATCACTAGCAAACTCTTGTCTATAAGAAATATGTGTGGGCGCTGCTGGAACTGTGAAAATGTTCGATGAGCTTCGTTGAGCAGCAGCTGAAGAGCTTCTCATAGCTGACGGCCTGGTAATGGTTTCTTCCACGTGTTCGATTCTGCTGGTCTCTCGAAGTGGGCCACTTCCATGAGTTTCGATGATACGAGCACCTCCTTCTGTAAAGCTTTATCTTTAATGCAAACTGAGATACCATAAAACATGTGATAGAAGCCCCCCCCCAAGTTTGAGCTCCATTATCGCGATTCCTATACGAGACATCAAAAATGCGTCAACTGCAAAAACACTTTTGATAATATGATAAACAACTTACTTGTTGACAAAATTCATATATCTTTGACAGTAGCTGAGATAAATTGGCTCAAAGTTAAAAGGTAGAGGACCATTCTGTTACAGGTTCTAAGGTGAACTAACTAAACTCACCATTAGTATGAACTTCTGTAATATCGTATCCATAGTTATTGATAACTGTAGTTTCGTTGCTTGTATTCGCGGCTCCAGGATAACTCAAACGACTATCTCCAGAAGTGTTCAGAAAACTGGTGTTAGTTGCTCCACTGACATTGTATCTTTGTTGTGGTGGCGACATTTCTATGTGCTGACCATAGTCTGAAAACTTTGCTAAATGAAAGTTTGCAAATAAAAACTCACTAGCAGAAGTGTGCAAAAATGATGGCTCTCGACTGACATCCCGTTCTCCTGTGACCTCATATCTTCTGTCATGAATCGTTCCATCCGCTCGTTGCTCATAGGATTCACGGCTCTCACGGATTGTGGAAATAGGAACAGTATGGGGGAGAAGGGCGCCTGGAAAAAAAAGTGTTCCATGTTTGTCTGTTTGCTTAGCCGATACCTCCAGAAGGTCTTCTGCCCTCTTCTATAATTCGGTGTTCAATGACCTCGATTTGTTCCACAACCATTTTGGATGACCCCAATGGGTCTGAATTTTCAGATCTGGAATTGGAGAAATGTGGTTGGAAATAGTAAATGAAATAAACCAATGAGAAATGTACAAAATCTAATGTCAAAGATATTTAGAAGAAGAAAACAACAAAAATACTGCAGATCAACAGAAAAGAGACAAACGGAAAGAAGAGAGGAACCAGTTTTCGGGAGGTTTATGACATCAGCTAGTTGGTGACTGTCAAGTAGTGAGAAGTGGTCAGTTTCGGGAGAATATTTAGAGTGTGTTTAGAGGCACAGTGAGTGAAACGAGAAGTTGAGTTGAATAGGAAACGATGAGTCAGATGAATTTTAAATAAGAAAGAATAAAGACACCAGAATGTTTGAGCTCCATGAGCTAACAGGGGGCTCGACCTCCGGGCGTTCGCTAACTGTAACTTACAGTATAACAGACGCAAAGAAAATTTCTGAAATTTTTTAAATTTGAAGACTTGAGCTTAAGTTCTTATGCAGAGCATACATAGACCTAAAAACGTTTCAGTCCATGACTACCTGAAAGGTGTTAATATAATTGAAGTCAAAAATAATTTCATACTTGCCTAGTACAAGACAAACGATGTTTCGAATTGAATATTTTAATACGAAAATTTTCATACTTTTTGTATACTTTCAATTTTGAAAACTTGATTTTCGGATTCTACGTATTTGAAAGTGTCAGTCTATCAATTGTCAGCGAATTAACTCGATTTTCCGTTGCAGAAGAGTTCATAAACGCAACAGATAGAGCCAAACGCGCGTTCCTCCACAAGCAACCGACACTTCCCGGGTTCGCGCCGGCCACTATACTTTGTGTTGCGAAAGACTCCGCCCACTTTCATCTCTGGAAACCGGGGAGAGGCAAACAGAGGAAATGCGTTTTCAGAAAAAAACAAGATTTTTGAGAGACAATAAAAAACAATGACATATAGTAATTCGGGAATCAATATAGTAATTCGGGAATCTATTAATCTGTAAGTCCAAGAATTTTTGAATTAAGAAATCAAGGAACCTGGAAATCCGAGAATATATTTGAGAAACCAAAATCAACATTTCTGAAACTTCTAGATAAACGAAATGAACAACAATTTGAGGGACGGGAATGAAATTGAAATAAGAATACGATCTCAGTGGGATATCTGTTTCGGAGAGACGGGGAAAAATGTGTCTTCTTCTCCTGGTGGCTTCCGAAAGTTAGCGGGTGGAACAACACTTTTTGGTGAAATATTATTAGAGATCCGGAGACACATACAGATCACCTAATTTCAAGGACAATGAAAATGAGCGGAGGTGGGAGGGTTGGAAGAATGACGCCGAAGGGCGAGGGAAATTAAAATTGAAAAGGAATTTGGAAAAGAGAAAATAGGGAGAAGGATCGGAACGTTTAACCTTGTTTTGACTGGCATCTGGTGACAGGGAAGGATTTGAACAAATTTTCTGAAGTCTTTACGGACTACAATTTCGAATTTCCAGATTCCGATATTTTCGTATTTAAAGGCTCATTGGTTCCTACACTTTTCGAGATCAATAGCTATGTTCCGTAAACACTCTAATAGGGTGGTGCCATCCAAATCATCAATTTTGGGCTTGTATATCTCAATTAGTATATCTCTCTTCCTGTAAAAGATATCAAGAAGTTGTCAACTAACAAAATATTATTGATACTGTAATAAAAAATTTTCCGGTTGACAACATCTTGATATCTCTTACAGAAATCGATATAATTGAGTTCAAATGGACGGTTTGGGTGAGCTTCCATTAGAGCAAATACGGCAATTTCTAAACTTTCAGAATTTGCGATTCCAGGCTTCCAATATTTCCGGATTGTTAGATATTTGGAATCTAGAAAATCTAAATGTCTGGATTGTCAATTTCTAAATTTTTAGATATTTATAGATTCTACATTATTCAGAAGTTGACACACATGACTAGACTTGGTGAGGAAAACGAAAAGGAGAAGAAGAATAAAAATAAGGGGAACTGAGCGATAAAATCAAGGCGTATTTTGATGATCAGGATGCGTCGGGAGAGAGACAACGATCAGCAGGAAGCGCTGTAAACAAAAATAAAACTTGATGAATCAGAAATTAGAAACAGTTGGAGACTCGAAAACGTGCCAAAAATTCAGAAATTTTTTAAGAGATCATTAAATATGAGTACTTTTGTATATTCAAAAAATTAGATATTTGACACCAAAACTTTTGAAGCTTAAAAAAGAAAATAAGATTTGAAACAAAACCGTTGTCCCTCGAAAATGAATTTCGAGAAAGAACACAAAGACTCAAAAAAATCTGACCTAGATATCTAAATGATAGTAATACATACTACAGACACACAAAGACACCCGAATTACCAGTTACGCCTCATAGATTCCGGATCCAATCCGTTAGAGAGACGGTACAAAAAATTTGTCTTCTTGTTTTTTCTCCAGAATTCCGAAGGAAAGAAGGTAGAACAACATACGAACGAAAACGTTTTGAATGGAAGTTCATAGGAAAATGAATAGGAAAATGAAAAGCGAGTGACCACCACCCAACCAACCTACGTCTCCATATAACAATGGAGGGGGCGCCGCCACCTCTTCAGGTCTCCCCAATTTGCATGTGTTTCAACTTTGAAATTGTGTCGGACATTTTTACTTTCACTTGCTGCTGGACATTATCTGGACAAGAAGGCATGCCTCAGCATAAAAAAGTAATTGTTCTAGGTTCTACAAAAAAAAACAAAGATTACCGTGACACCCGTAGTAGAAGAGCGCCCTAGCTTTTAGCTTTGAGCTACATTTTCTCGGTCCCCGATAACTGAGCTCATAGTTGACAGTCTGGGAGCTCTTCTATTACACGTTTTAGGACATAACGGCTGTATGTAGTTAAACTCAATCTTCTAAAATTTGTCTTTTCGTCTCCCGATCTTCTATTTCCGCCCTTCCTTCAGTATAAGATATCCTTGTCCCACCCGATACAAACACTTGTCATGAACCTCCCCATTTCCTTTCACTCATCTAGATAGACGAGGTGATGTTCATTGAATAACCCACACGGTTAAGTGCACTTCTGGCTTCCAATACACATTTGGTGTATTTGTCGTCTTTCACGGATTCTCGTAGTTTCTGCGAGTACTGGGGATAAATAACTTTGAAAAAGTGTATGCCGTGAACACTCTATTAGAAGGCCACCCAACCCGCCATCTTTGAGCCCATTTATCTTGATTCCTGTAAAAGATATAAAAAAGTAGCGAGCTAACAAAATGTTCATCATAAAGTTAAATTTTTTCAGTTAACAAATTTTTAATATCTTTGACAGGAACCGAGATAAATTATCTCAAATTTGAAATTAGGGGGCCGTTCTATTACAGGTTATACGGTAAGTGTGTTTGTTCGGTACAAAACTGTAGGTATCTGTGTCCAGCAGCTTTTATATTATAGGACATAGCCTATTTCACATAGGCCCTGAAAAAAAAACTATGTATTACATTATAATTGTCCTTCCGAAGTAACTAGTCTACCAGATTTACACAAAAAATGATGAAAATGGCTATTCATATAAATCTGTAGGAGGCCTCGTAATACAAAGTCGTAAAAAAAAGAGAACCAGTTACCGTAAAACCTGTAATAGAAGAGCCCCCTAGCTTTTAACTTTGAGTCTATTTGTCTCAGCTCCTAGGCAAGATATCAGAAATGTGTCAACTGATAAAATGTCTGTGATAATATGATAAACAATTGATCAGTTGACAAGTTTTTAATATCTTTGACAGGAACTGAGATAAATTCGCTCAACTCTCGGTGTCAAACTGCAGATCACTAGGCCACGCCCACTATTACGGAAAACAGTCCGTCGGTTCGAGCTGGGACTTCCGACCAAAGTCAAAAAAAATTTCTGCTAAAAAATCCAAAATGACATATTCCATGAAAAATCTGTCTGGTCAAAATGGAAAGAGAGAAAATGTGGAGGATTTCCGCGCAGCTTACACCACCACTCGTCAGATTAAAATGGCATGGCGGAACGGCGGAAGAGTCGAGAGAGTGTGTAGGTCAAAGAGACGCAGCCATCATTTCCTATAATTATGAAATCCACCCATTCAGTTGGGCGGAGGGGTAGAGAATTGGAGTAAGAAGAAAAGGTGGGGATTTGTAGGAAAAATCTAAATGTGTAAGAATAACAATTTTATTAGAATTTTACTAAATAATTCAAGAATAAGACGAAAAAAAGTACAACCCGTCTGGTAACACAAAATTAAAGAAGAATTATTTAAAAGCAATAACACACACCCTCCTGAAGTAAAAAAAAACTTTAAATATCACGAATCGTGGACGGAGCAATCGTGCTCTTCTGGAGGTTGGCCTCAACGTCGAGGAACTGTTTCATGGTGTCTACCTGGAAATGTTTATGATGGATGACCCAATTTTGGATTTCTAGTTCCCTTACCTTGTCCTTAAACCGTCCCAAACTGTGTGAAACTCGATTCTTGTGGATAAGATAACTGAATAAAACGAAGACGATTCCCACTGGAATCAACATTGCAGTGGTTATATAACCCGCAGTCGGATAGCCAACAGCCGTGAATTTCACATAGAAAATGACTCCTATTTCCACGAGGAAGAGAAGTAGACCGATGCAAGTGGAGAATAGCCATGAGAGATCGATGTAGAATCTGTAATCATTACTTAGAAAAACCTAGCTGAAATTTCAAAAAACTCACTTCAACTTCAAGTGCGGCGAATCTTGTGTACATCCAGTGGCCTCCATATACGGCAGTATACATGTGGACATCATCAACGCCAGAAGATGTACAGATACCAGAAGACTTGTCACCACACCCAGCACAATCAGAAGGGGTTTCGATGTGCTATCATCATACTGTAGCTCCACAAGACACACCATTGCGAACCCAGCGAGCAGTGCGGAAGTCCGTGAGCTGGCTTTCAGTTGGGCTTTACTGAGGTCATAGTTGTATTTTTCAGAAAGATCCAACTCTCCACGATGTCTGAAAATATGCCCTGTTTAATGATTCTAGTCACTTATTTTTCTAAACTACAGTACCCCAAATCCACATCATCATCTGTTTTCTTTGCATACGCTTGCATTCTCAAAGAGTTCATGGACCCATTTTTACTGTTTCCAGCAGCCCCATCTCCACCCCCAACATTCCGGCTTCCACCGCCAGACGACGGTGGTTGAAGGAAAAACTGTGGAAGTGGGTACGGAGTAATAGGTGCTCCAGAAGTGGTCTTCCACGTGGCGACTGCACCACGAATGTCTTCGACAGAAATCGAGACGCGTTTCTCATTCATAGTGGAGCCTTCCTGGCGGAGAAGCTCTACACGCGAGGGATCATGAGATCGAGGCATCTGAGAATGGTGTAAGATTCGGAGGAGAGAAGGATTTAAAGAACAAAACGAAGCGAGAGTCGAAATTTGAAAATTGTAGATCTCAACGGACTGGAGAGAGGAACAAAATTGATTCAAACGAAACTTTTGTGATGGTTTTGAAGAGAATAATGGGTGCAAATATATCAAATTCTGATCCAAATTCCCAGACCGGATAGTTTTAAATTCTGGGAGAAAAATGTAATCCGAATCACAATTATATCCAGAAGTTTAATAGAACGCCACCCGAATCGTGAAATTTGAGCCCATGTATCTCATTTTCTGTGAGAGATATCAAAAAGTGGTCAACTAATAAAAATGTTGCTGATATCATGATAAACATTTTGTTATTTGAAAACTTTTTGATATCTTTCAAAAGAAGTGAGATATATAGGCTTAAAGTGTACGGTCCGGGTGGCGTTCTATTAGAGTGTTTACGGTATATTTTCAATGATTGCCCTGAATGTATTGGAGCGTAGTTTTCAAATGCTATAGGATGTTCACTAAAAATCGGTTTCTCAGAAATTGTTAACAATTTTCTCAGCTATCCTTCCCACTGGGTGTTGGATATGATTTAATAGACTGTTTAGAATTATAAAAACCCATCCTAGAACGTCTTGGTTAGACAAGAAAGAGAGAGAGAGGCGCAGAGAGCAAAAGAAGGGAAAAGCTTCTTCTTCGTCGACCAATACCATACGACAGTGAGGTGATGATTCAACACGGCGTGTCATTCACATGCATGTATAAATAGTGTTACTTTTATGATACCTCTTTTTCTTCTCTTTGCCACGCGGCAAATAGATGAAAGAGAAGGACCTTTTCGACAGAGGAGTACCGTGTGAAAAAACTATCAAAACCGAAAGAAAAGCGAAAAGTTGTGAATCAGCGAGCGAGAACAACAAAATTCTTTCAGAAAGTAAGAAGAAATAAACGACCGGAGACGGTTGGACAGAAGAGGAAAGAGGATCATGAGGCGGAGGCGAAGAATGCAAAAATGTTTTAAAGATATGAATCTTTTGTTCGGTCGACAAAACATAGGAATTCTGAATTTAATTTTGAAGGTGGAAGAACAGAAAAAAATCCACTTAAGGAAAAAAGAGAGTAAGAAAAAGGAAACACCTTTCTAGCTGCTGATAAGAGTTATCATTGAATAATGACGCAGATTATTTTCATTCTGGTCAGAAATGAAAGTATAAGCAAACTGAATGATTAGAAAGCTGCAACATTCAGAATTTTACAGAAAAAAATTAAGTTTTCGGTAGAAATCTAAATTCCTCTAGTTTGATTCTCTAGTTGAATAGTTCTCCTAAAAATAACACAAGATCAATATCAAATGAAATATAAAAAAACGAGATGTATGTTTTATAAGACCGGACTAACCGCACCTAGTGAAAGGATGATGATGAGGTTGGGTATCAAAAAAAAGATCATGATCATCGTTAATATAACATCTATCTCTCTTTTTTTCTTTTCGGATTCTCCAAATATTTGAAATTCCCAGAAAAAACTCACTGTGCTAGAAGATGAACCATGTCGTCCTCCATGGAACTTTTGTCACTATCACCGAATATTAGAGGGAATATCATAACTCAGTAGATGATTCTTAACGTCTATTATATGATTAGATCAGAAGCCAAAGATTCAGATGACCCTAGAGGAGGTGCAAAAACTTTATGTCTTGAGGTGTCGAAAGTGTAACAGGAGATGAACAATAGGCCTATGAAAAAAAGGAGGGACATAAACAGAGAGACTGTGTAAAACGAACCAAAACTATTGGAGATAGTTGTACGTTTGACGAATATATATGACAACGAATACACCGAATTGCTTATCACGAGAGAAAAAAGAACGCAGCTATCATATGCCAGAAAAAAAAGAGATTTCTTTGATCGGCCGGATGATATCAGAAGCCGGAAGTAGCTGGCACAACGCCAAATTGACTTTTTTGTTTTTTTTTGTTTTTCAGTGAATCATTTTTGTATCTAACTCATATTGATACATTTCTCATCACTCACTTATCATTTTGAAAGCACTGTATCACTGGAGACAGTGTATGATGCGTCGTCGCACTTGTATTCGATATCCCGGCGCTGTGCTGATGACGAGGCGGTGTTGGTCCCGAAGCAATGACGGTTTCGACCGGTGGCGTTTGCGATAAAGCGAATTGAACTCTGAAAATTTGAAGTTTCGTTTTCAGTGGAGCGAACTTTCTGCACAGTATTATTCAAATACAGTTTCAGATGATTTTCGAAGTCTAAATCGCTAAAATTCTGTGTTTTCTTTGTTAGACGAGGGTCTATAGAAATTTCAGTTTTTAAAAGTACATTTTCTGAAAAACTTACTTTGAATTCATGAGCGAAAAGTATGAAAACTCGCTTTGCCGGCGTTCGAAATTCAAAAGGTTTCTCTCTTTCTTTGATTTCATTATTTTTCTAGGTTACTTTTTGAATGAATAGAATGGGTTCTTGTTCTTCCTCTCAGACAAAAAATAAGACGGAAAATCGGAAAATAATTGTCAGGGCAGGCTGGCAGGGAGATGACACATATTTGAGACAATTGTTGTTTTCAGAAAGAATTCCTGCTCTTTTTTATTTTTTTTGTTGCTGAAATTCCAAACAGCTCACCTTGCCTCTCCCACCGCAGATCCTTGAGACTCTCGTTGTTGCGCATCTAGAAAAAAATTAATTGATTATTAAATTAATTAAATAATTGCAATTTTATGTAAATAACAAAAAAATCAAAGTTAAACACCTGCTCCTGCTGAAAAATTCCGCATCTCCATGTGATCCTCGCTGCTCAGCAGACTGTAGTTATCCATTGCTAATCACTATTAGTGATTCACTAGTCCTTTGCACTTTTATCAGTGTGACAAAAGACAACTACGTGGCAAGAGAAGCGAACACTTCGGGTTAGAGATCTTCCGGAACGAGGAGGGTGTTAGTAGAAAGAAAAAACAAAATGGGTGGCGAGAGAAATAGTGTGAGGATTGGAGAGAACTAGGCAGTGAATAGTGAAGAGGGTAGCGGAAGGTCAAACTAAATAAACATTAGGGGCTTTAAACTTCAGATTCTGAAGTGAGTCGTTTTAAATTTGGCTCAATTAGCTGGGAAATAGCTGCGAATTTCAAATGAGAAGACAGATGGATGGTCGTTCGCGTTATTCCACGTCACAAAACCTACCTTCTTCGCCGGTGATCTTGTTCAAACGTCGCTTAGCAGACTTCAGAAGATCTCTTACATCACGATGCTTGAACGGTGATGACGTGTCGAAGCGCTGGAATTTCAGAAGTTTCAGAAAAAGAAAACATCGCTGAACACAAAAAAAAAGAGAGCGCATGCGCCTATAATACCGTACCTAATACCGTAATTTTTGCCTATTTCCCTCGATTCTAGACTCGATTCTGCACGCTCTCCCACAGAACAATTCCGAACTGCAAATTAATTTTTGATCTACAGAAAAAATGTTTGGCGCGATCACAATTGCAGGTCTAAAACCATAATTTCAGAATTTTTTATCTGATTTTGTGGAGTTCCAAGATGATTCAAATAATTCTAAAAAATTAATTAGTGGTTATAGATTCATGTATGGTCGTTTTCCGGAAGAAAAAAAATGTCAAAAATGGTCATTTTGAAAGTTTTTTACAGAAAAAATCTATTTTTTTTCTTTCAGTTTTTGACATTTCTAGGAGTTCTAAAGCTCAAAAAAAAACCGCAATTATTTTCTCTACATTTTCTATGGATGAATTTTTAATTCGTCTGATAAAACTTTTTTTATAATCAAAAAACGCAAAAATGCTATTCTGTGCGATTTCATGAGGTTTTATCAGACAAATTAAAAATTCGTCCATAGAAAATGTAGAGAATATAATTGCGGTTTTCTTGAGCTATAGAGCTTCTAGAAATGTCAAAAACTGAAAGAGGAGATAGATTTTTTCTGTAAAAAACTTTCAAAGATGACCATTTTCGACATTTTTTCTTCCGGAAAAGGACCATACATGAATCTATAACCACTAAATAATTTTTTAAAAATTATTTGAATCATCTTGGAACTCCACAAAATCAGATAAAAAATTCTGAAATTATGGTTTTAGACCTGCAATTGTGATCGCGCCAAACTTTTTTTCTGTAGATCAAAAATTAATTTGCAGTTCGGAATTGTTCTGTGGGAGAGCGTGTTCTGTCAATTCTCACCTGATTTTCATCAAGCGTTGATTGCATTTTCTTGCAAAATAGAAAAAAAAACTGAAAATTAGCAAAATGTGATTAAAAAACTCACCCGATTCTTTTGCATCCTCTGATTAACGGTAAACCGTTTTGGAGAAAATCCACGTCTTCCAGATTTTCCCGCATCAGATGACCCGGAATTCAGCACGATATCCGGAATCAGAAGCTTGTCGGGGACTAAAACTTAATTTTTCTCGTTTTTGGGTAGTTTTCTAGAAACCTCTATGGTTGAAAGTTGCACGCGGCGTGTAGAATAGCTCATAGTCGTCTGGCGAGTTGAGAAAACTTGAAGAATTCAAACCACCACCCAAACTGGTCGATCGATAGATTCGTTGATCGGTTGGATAGATGATGTTCAGATTTCGAGGTCGAGTAACGGTAAATTCGGAATTTTCTAGAAGATCGGGATTCGATTGCCATGCTTGCATGGACATTTTCTGGAAAATTTCTGAGTCGAAACTTACATTTTTGAAGAAAAAAGAAAAATGTCCCCAAAAGAAACCTAACAAGAAAAGAAACAAATACTTCCGCCTACTGAAAGTGCTAATTCTTTTGGCAAATACATAGCTCCTCACTATTTGTAAAATGATTCGAAATTGATCTGTCTATTTTTGTGACTCCTATGGAGATTAAAAGGTCAGCACCAGACAGAAAGAAGAAAAAAAACAGGTTTTCATTTTAATAATATTCCAGTGTGGGGCAAAAAACAACAAGTTCTGAAAAAATCAAACAACAAAAAATATGTTATAACAACAGAAGGATCACTTTTTGGATGTTGGAGTTTTAGGTGCCACGTGGAATGACTTCTCGAGGTCGTTGAATGTCTGGATCCACTTTTCCTTCTCACTGATGATGTGCTTTTGCATAGAAGGGCTGAAAAAGAGGAGATGAGTTTCAGATCACATTGGAGCGCACGTACTCATTCAAAAACTCTGGATCTCTTTCCATCCGGAGCTTCCAGGATCGTGCAGCTTCACACTTGACACCAAATGTGCTCAAAATCTCATCTGCATCCTTGTCACTCAACTTGAAGCAGGTCATTAGGGATAATCTAGTCACCCTATGACCTCCATCAATTAGGCAAAGTGCAAGATCACGGGCGTTTCTCCATAGCTCAGCACGATAGAGATCAGTCTGGAAAAGTTATTACGTTTAGGGAAATTGAGCGAAAACAAAATTTTGATTGATTTACAAATTCTTTTGGGATCAGCAAGACAAAAGTTCTCACCTTTCCAGCAACATTCGAGTGAGCGGGTGGCAAGTTTTGGAACATTAGATTCGAATCCAACACCCATACTCCATTGACCAGCCTAGAGCACGCCTTCAGGTTTTGAATCAGTGCGTCAGTGCTCATAAGCGATGAATCAATCAATTTACGCATTTCGGATGTCTTCATAACATGCGATTTAACCATATGTGCCTTGAGCTTCATTTCCGGAGACGATAGCTCATCGATTCTTTGTTTGGAAAGCATATGCTCTTTTCCTGCTTCAATGACTCTGGAATTTCAAAATTTTCAACGTTTCCTGAACTTTCTATAAATCTCACAATTCTTCCTTAAGCCCACAGATAATCGCTCGATTCACCAGCTCCTTTATACTCATATCAGGTGGCGGCAACGTTTCCGCACCTCCTCCTTCCGTTTTCACCGAGTTACTACTAATCATTTCCTTTTTCCTGCCAACCGACTCATCATCTTTCAAATGAACCTTCATAGGAATCCACAGATCACTGGCAATCTTCTTCTCCCTGTGCAACGCCGATGCCTCTCTTCTCTTCTTCTGTCTCTCTGTTTCCGGGCGCGAGAACTTCACACGAATCGCTGAGGACGTTCCTGCTTTCTTTGGATCTGGCTCGTCCTCTTCTTCAGAAGAGTCCTCATCAGAGCCTCCTTTTCCCGACTTCTTTTTTTTGTTCAATGCGTGTATCGATCTGTGCATTTCGAAGGATCCAGTGAGAGGATGGAGGAAGAATTCTCCGTTTTTCATAAATCCAACGGCGTTGACAATGGGATGGTCGTGAATAAATGCTCGACCTTCATAGACTTCGTCATTGGCCCGGATAGCTTCGACTCCCGATTTATGACCTCCTTTTCCAGAATCCGCACCTCCAGAGTACATCAATTCCGCCTTCTTCTTGTCATACGATCCGACCGAGGTGTCAGCGAGAAAACGCATTTCTAACTGAAAATGCATTTTCATAGCTAAATCTGTTAGCTTTGTGTTTTCTCACCAATCGAACATTCTTTTTATATCTAGCCACCGGAAACTTTTTGGCATCCCACGCATCTCTTTTGCTCGATGGATAAGAGACACAGAACATTTCAGTGTTCGGCACGGAAGTGCACACTGCTACGTTGCGCTCCCAAACCACCTGGTCTTCTTCCTCTTCTTCGTCGGAGAGGAATTCTGGCTTTTTGACAGTTCGTCGGATAGGAAACTCCTCATCATCGGATGCTCCGTCTACTTCCATTTTTGAGATCTAGAAATTTCGGAAAACTGTATTAAAAACTCAGCATCTGAGTTTGCCAAAAAATATAGTTTTTAGGTCAAAACCAGATATTTCACCGAAAAAAGAAGAGAAAGGGAAAACTTGTTGAGTAAAAAAACAAAAACAAACAACAATTGAAGAGAAAACAAATGAAAAAGACAAAAGGATATAAAAATCAACAAATTCAATTTTTAAGAATATCATAAAGCTGTCGGGGCTGTCCAGAACCATCGGTAGTGGTTCCATATGCTTTGTTTCTCTGCTGACGTGATTCCAAATCCAAAACGGCCGTCTTTTTGATTTTTCGAAGAGCGGGATGTAGTACTGTGGTAGTGTCATCAGCTGGCTCCTCGCCTTCTTCGTAGATCGAACCACCCAGATTCTTCTGTTTCACTTCTTGGGGAAGAATGGTGATGGAGCCATCGACAAAGTTTCCTACAAGAACATATATTTGTAAAAAACTGAATTATGTCTACTCACGAGCTTTAATATTTTTCGAATCCTCTTCCTCTCGTTCTCTCACCGCTGGAATATGAACCATCCGCTCTTTTTTAGCCTTCGGAGCCACAATTGCACGAAACACACCGGATTCTGAAATAAAGCCTTTTCTTTAATATTTTATAAAAATTAACCTACCAGTTTTAACTTTGGTTTTCGATAATATCTCATCATCGCCCGACCATTTCAATGCCTCCAAATCCGTCAGACTCACTCCAATTGGCTTTTTAATCAGGAAGACCTTGAAATTTCCGCTATCCGCGATTGATATGTTGGCCACACCGTTAGTTTCAACATCCTGCAAACAACAAAAATTGAATGTATATTTGAAAATCGAGATTTAAAAAAACTTACCTCATGTTTGGGTTTTTTCATCGAATCGTCGGTTTCCGAGTCCTGATGCTTTCGTTTTTTGCCCATTTTTGCACTTAAAAATATATGCTTTTCACTTAAAAATATATGCTAAGTTTAAAAACTTAAAAATATGTGCTAAGTTTTCGGGCTGGAAAATAAATTAAAAAGAAAAAAATTCAGCGAAGAAAAAAATTTTTTCACAGGGTGTGCGACAGGGCGCGTTTGCTCGCGAAGCCACGAGAGTCCTCATTTTTAATCGATTTTTAAATTTATCCAGACGGCTCACACCAAAAATTCGCATTTTTTCACTTTCTCTGTGTCAATAATCAAAATCTAGGTTATTGTTTTTGTGCTCACCTCCTAATTCTAGTATTTATCCTCCGCCGTGGCTCCCAGAGAGCATTTCCAGTCTGAAAACAAAAATGCTCCAAGACTTTAATTTTTCATTGCATTCACAAAGTTATAGGCACATATGTCACAAGTTTCTCCGGCGCCATCGACGGCTCCACCGTCGGCATCGGCGTCGTCGGATGTCGAGGAGCCGGAAATAGATGTCATTGCGAGCAGCGACGACGAGTCGGAACCAATTTACATACACAAGGAGAAAGACCCAATTGTAATAAGGGGTGTTGGAAATATCACTGTGTAGGTTTCCTTCAAAAGACTTGTCTTTCAACTTTTTCTCTCGCACGGAAGTGCAGAAGCAGGTGAAATGTTTTGTCTACTTCCAGATTCGGCATGAATTCCCGCTTCAACACTGAATATCCTCCTGAGCTAACCGGATACATTGCTCCGGAAGAGCTATCCGCTACACTATCTCGAGTGAACTCCGTTCTAAAACGCCATGTACAAACCTCATCTCGATGGCTTTTATGTGGTTTGGCCTTTTGTTGCTGCTCACTGGGTTGCTCGATGTGGCCAGTAATTTGCTTGAATCGGAGAGTAAGTTATTGTTTTTTTTTAATTTTAAATTAAAGTCATGTCTTATTTTCAGACCGTGATAGCTCTTGAAAAATGTCTGGATCATGAAAATGTTAGCCTCTATCACAAGCTGGGTCTTCATTGGTCACTGGCTCGTCGCCCAACGGAACCATCGGACCGGCTTACTGAATATGTTCTTGAGCTGAAAATTCTTCCTAAAGCTGCATTAAATATTCCTGATTAATCGTTAAGCCTATTTTGTCCTTTTTTTATTCTTGAAATCTGACTATTTGCATACTTCCACGCACTCGTTTGTAACTCGCACAATATTACTGTCTTTTGTCTATTTTGTACATACATATTTTTCTTCGAATTTTCTATTTTTCAATAGTCCCGCTTTACCCCTCCCCGAAAACTTCAGGTGTTGATTAGAACTCTTTATTTTATATACTAGTTCGGGTTGCAAATTGCCCTTGAAAAAATTAAACAAAAATTTTAAAACAAGGTTTTTCTTTATTGAGCGATTCGATTTTTCTCCCTCCGCCCCACTCTCTCTTCAGCGACTGGTTTCTTCCTTCCTTTGAAAATGAATATTAGTTTTATCACCTTTTTTTTCTATTTCATAATTTTACCTAATTGTGATGATTCTATTACTCTATACTTTTAACCTTTTTTGCCAAATTCGCAACTAACTTTCTACAGATGTCAAAGAATATCAAAACTCCGACGAATCAAAAAATCCTCACTAATGTGGCAGTGGTGAGAATGAAGAAGACTGGAAAGCGATTCGAGATCGCTTGTTATAAGAATAAAGTTGTCAATTGGAGAAACAAAACGTACGAAAAAGATTCGACCTAAGTTAAATTCAAGAATTATGTTTTCAGCGAAAAAGATATTGACGAGGTGCTTCAAACTCATACAGTATTTTCCAATGTTTCCAAGGGACAACTAGCGAAAAAAGACGAACTCATTGCGGCGTTCGGTATTGAGGATCAGTTCGAGATTTGTAAAATTGTAAGTGGTTTTGAAAATATCAAAGACACAATGTCTTCTTTTCCAGATTCTCGACAAAGGAGACCTCCAAGTGTCCGACAAAGAACGTCAAGCAGCGTCTGATCAGTCTCTAAAGGAAGTGTCTCAACTGATCGCGTCAATGGTAGTGAATCCCGAAACAAAACGCCCTGTTCCTCCTTCAGTAATTGATAAGGCCCTCCAGGAAATGCACTTTTCACTAAAACCCAATCGATCATCGAAACAACAAGCACTAGATGCGATTCCAAAACTCCGTGAGACTATCAAAATCGAAAGAGCCAAAATGAAGATCCGGGTGGCGATTCCAACGAAAGAGGCAAAGGCAGTTCATTCGAAATTGAAGGCATTGTTCAATGAGGTAGAGCAGGATGATTGGCAGGACGGAAGTTTGGAAATGGTTGGTCTCATCGAGCCAGGATCCTTCCGCGCTTTGGACGACTTGGTACGAAATGAAACTAAGGGACATGGACGTTTAGAGATTCTAAGCTTGAAGGATGTCGTTGAAGGAGAACTTCAGATTTCTTAATTTTTTTATTGAATGTCGCTTCTGATTTTGGCTGATTTTGCTGATCTCCTGTTATCCCGAGTTATGCATGAAAATTCCAAATAAAAGCTTTTATTCACACTGGGAGCACAATATAAATATCACAAAGTTTATCAAAAATCCCAATTGATTCATTTTTTGACATCCGCTGCTTTTACAAATGCTGCTTCGTGTGCTCCAAAAGAGCAAATCCATCCTCCAACTTCTCCCCACAGATTGGACACACGAAGCTGAAACTCGCGATGCCATTTGGACTCGAAGGCTCCACCGGTGACGTGGACTCTTCCGACGTCTTGACAATTGGTGTCATATGATACGCACAATGCGTCTGGATTTGCGCATCCGATCGCAAACTTTGTCGGCACACCGGGCAGTGATGAGCGTGGTCTTTGGCGTGACGAAGGCAATGCTCAACGAAATTGGCTTCGTTTAGAAGCAGCTCTTGACAGTCTGCACATTTGTCAGCGTAGCGGACTTTGCAGTGCTTGCGGAGGCGATGCTCATCAAGACCGTCTTCACCGACAACTTGCTCATCGCAAACGGAGCATTGGAGGGGGCGGTATCGGAGAATAGGCTTCGTGGGGGTGGGAGTTGGTGGAGCGGCTGGCGGCATTGTAAGAGATGGGGCGAAGAAGGTGTCCCTGAAAGATGCATTGTTTTGACTACGATCCCTTTGTTAATGGTAAATTTCTGCTAAAACCATCTTTCGAATTGACTTTATCAAAATTTCCATACTTTTCTACCAAAATTTCCATATTTTTGAATTATCTCTACTTTGAGAACCGGATTTTCGGATTCTCCGTATTTGAAAGTGCCAGTCTATCATTTTCAGCGATATCCCTCGACTTTCCGTTGCAGAAGAGTTCATAAACGCAACAGATAGAGCCAAACGCGCGTTCCACAAGAAGCAACCGACACTTCCCGGGTTCGCGCCGGCCACTATACTTTGTGTTGCGAAAGACTCCGCCCACTTTTCTCTCTTGAAAGCGGGGGAAGGCGAACAGTGGAAATGCGTTTTCAGAAAAAAACACGATTTTGGAGAGTTTAGATATTTTCTTGATTTTTTCGACGGAAATGGATAAAAGGCTGAAAATGATTATGTTTGAGACTAATTTCAGCGTCTAGGGTGTATATTGAGCCAAGTTAGAAGGATCTAAGAGCGACGACTTCCAACGGTATTGGAGGATCAGGAAAAACTCGGAATGCTTCTTTTTTGGTCTAATATATTTTAAATGAGTCCAGAAAATGCTTAAAATGTTAAGAGTGTAATTTGGTTGTGTGGTTTTCTCGAAATTTCCATTCAAAAGTGTGTACATAATTATCTTGTTCTAGTGCAAGGAAGATACGGAAAACTAGTTGTAGGTTGAATTCTTACACCACTCTTGCAATACTAGAAACCTATATGATTGAATCTAACTCACATCTTTCCGGTATCCGCTTTCCTGCATCCATAAACCTCTCCGAATCCTCCTCTTCCAATAATCCGATGCACGGAAAAGTCGTTCATGGTCAATTGCATATTCAATTCCAGATTTTTCCACTGGCAAAATCTTGTAAACTTTTCTGACTCTAGAAATCGTTGGAAAATGTCTCCTCTCAATTGATCACAAATTTCCAATACATATCTATGGAAAAGGTCTGGAGGCACGTTTTGTTTGAGCAAATGGTACTGTACATGTTGGAGTGATTCTTTTGAATAGTTCTGAAAATTTCCAATACGTTTCATGCTAAGGTAGCTCGTGTGAAACTCACATGAGCATGAGCCAACATTTCCACCATAATGTGATGGTCGTAAATTTCTCGAGCTTTGGTTAGACGCTCATCTGGTGTCTCCATTTTTTCGTATTCTTTTATCTGAAATTCTTTTATAACAAAATCTAAAGTTTGCAAAACTTACAGCTTCATAAAACTTGATCTGTGGACAAGGGCTCTCCGACACGTTTTCAGCATAGTCTTTTAACAACAAAAATCCCAATTTCTGATTGAATATCTTATCAAACTTCATATCACCCGATTTTTCCAGAAATTTTTGCATGATGCTTCGAACACTGAAAAATTCAAAATTATACATTTCTTCAGCAAGACCTTATTTCTATACCTAGGATCAGGTAGTACAATACGTTTACTGGCTCGAGCTGCCGGTTGACTTCGGCTCTTCTCCATAGCCATCAGGTAGCTGACATCAGCCAGCACAGCTTCCAAGTCTGCCATGTTTTGTTCTGAAAATAAAAACTAGAAGACTAAAAAAAAATAAATTTTCAATGAAGTAAAAAAAACACGATGCCACCAAATCTGAATGAGTGAGAGGATATAGGAGCGGGATTCCGGCGGAGAAGAGCGGCTAGAAAAAAATTGAACAACAATCAAAAAAATGCAGTTTTTCTCCTCCATCCCCATACCGCACCACATCTCTCAATGGACAGAAGTGATAGAGGAGAAGAGAGTGTGTCTGGATTCATGGATGAGAGAAAACGAGAGAAAAGTCGAGCCAAACGCGGGGGGAGCCCGAGACGGGTCGCGGGGGCCACAGAAGAGGGCCCCCGGCGTCCAAATCGAGTTATGGGGTGAGGCGAGTTTTTACTGGGGTTTAAGGTTTTAGGTACGGAATTGGGGATGGTGAGAGTGAATAAAAAATATGGAGGGGCTAGAGAGAAAAAGAGCTTTGAAGAACGGATGGAACGATAAGAGAACGAATGAATAGAGAAGAAGGATTATTCTAATAGTCATCGGGATTAGAAGATTGGAGAATTTGTGTATAGATGAAAAGCGGAATCAGACTACTGTTTTAATTTTGACAAGTACTAATACATGTTCTATTGAATCAACCATGCTACATTTTGTATCCGTCCTTTGTTAGGGTATGGAACTACCCACTTATGATTTAAAAGAACTTAAGTCTGAAAACGCTTAAAAGCGGATGCGGCAGTCTTCGTACAAAAACGTTCCTCCTAAATTAGTACACTTACTAAAAACCGACTTCAGATCTTTTTCCAGGATATCTAAATCGACATGGCTTTTCTAAAATGGTATACTTCAAAAATGAAACGAGAAGCTTGAAAACAAAAGTGTCATCTTCGAAATAGTGGCTAAAATGATACTAGAATACTTCTGCTGAACTGGTTAGTGAGATACAAGCTCATTGGTTAATTAGTTACCTAATATTACAATTTTCAGACAGATTCGCTTCTCCGCCTACGTCTATAGAGACCTAATGAAGCTGCTTACCATATTCCTATTTGAAGCAACAAAAAAACAAATCTCAAAAACCCCATGAATACTAATTGTGGATTTTTTGTTATCAAAGAGAACGAACAGTGGTATTCTTTGTAGTGTCAGATCAGAACACATATATATATAAAATAAATGCATGAGGAGATGGGAATTTCCAGACATCATTTCCAGATCTGTTATAGTACATATTAGAATGATCACAAGTTTCAAAATGTATGGAAGAATGACGAAATAAATAAAAAACACGAAAAAGTGTTTCGTGGTCCCTTTCTCTCCTATCTACACCAATGAAATCACTTTCTTTTGATACAAAGTTCTCAACCGGAAAATCTCCTCTTCTCCAAGACACACCCGACGACGGCGAATTTCTTCTGACTTCCGGACGGCGGCACCAAGGAGAAAAATTTAAAGAAAAAAGAAGGAAAGAGGGGGGTATATATGGATATATAGCCAGCAAATCTCTCAGAGTGTGAAAAATTGGCAGAATAGAATTTCTCAAGAAAACGACGGGAGGGAAGAAAAAAAATGAAAGATTGCTATGGTTACCGTTGTTCAGTATTTCCTAGAGAACGTGTGTGAGAAGAAAGCGTGGGGAATGACAAATACGAAAATTGGATTTTTTCCTGGACCCAGACTCAACGGGAAATTATTGAAGTTAGGGATATCTTGGAAGAGGATGGAGGGAGAGGGATAGGTAGAGGTTACCAATTAAAATTCAGGAATCTTGGAGCTAGGACTCTAGAACTGTTTGGATAACCAAGCTTTTTTTTGGTATAACTTGGCACAACATTGGAGAAAAGAAAACCGTGGTTTTTCTGAACGATTTCTGCTACTAGTTGGATATAGAGAAATATATCTGAACAATTCATTTTATGGGATAAGTTTGGTTTATATGTATTTCAGGAATCAAGATACGTAGGACAAATCGGTTGGCATTAAAATTAGATCGGTAATAAACAAATTATAATGAACTGTATATTAGCATTATTATAATTTTTAGATGTTGAACTAAATACCAATAAGTATCCAACAGTTATATTTGTCGTGTCTATTTCTATTTCTTCCGCTTCTAACGATCTCATGAGCTACATCCCTCGCGTGTCAAAAACACGGCGATATCAAAAATAAACACACACACATGTAAATTTGTTACATAGGAAATTGCGGCAAAATGGAGGGGATTAGGAAGAAAGAAAAATGACAAGATGGATAAGACGATGAAGAGAGAGAACAATGTTTGTTCAGAGCCAATTGGATGCGATTGGAAGCGAGAGAGACGACTTGTGATATTTATCGGAAGAGAGAAAGAGAGGAAGATTGGGAGAAAGGAGTAGTCAACTGATTAATGATCGACACGGAATATATATATGATGGAACCAATGAGATGGGAACATATTGTGTTTACAAGTAATTGATAAGTTAGAACAAAGTATTGGGAGCCTAGGACACTGTGATAGCTTGCTTTTTCAAAGCGCGTATCAACAAAAAGTGAAATATTCGAAATTCAGTCAAATTCTGAAATGGTGCTAATTTTAATTCATAAGTCTCGAGATTTTCAGAAAGTTTGGACAAGCTCACTTGAAGCCAAGGATAAAACAAATTCGATTTCAACATTTTAAAGCACGGATGAATAGATTGAGCAGGTGAAAAACTGGAATATCCCCAAAAACAGTTGCTTCTGACCTTTTAAAGCTAGTTCTTCCAAAAAGATACAAATTCAAAACAGAAAGTCAGAAAAACAGAGAATCAGTTCGTCGCCGAAGAAAAAAAAGAATAGGTCAGGATTTTTGTGGTCGTCGTCAATTCGAAATAAGTAGAATGCAAAATATAAATCGAGCTCTCTGTTTCTCTCTGTGTGGGTGTGCGAAAAAAGTGTGGTAAAACGAGCAAATCGTCGCCTTAGGGGTAGAAGACTCCTGACACACAGCCACAACTTAGCGCCTCCTCTTAACTTTTCCACTCACGACGACAACGTCTTCTGAAGTCACTTCAGAAGACGATGGAGAGGCGTACGTCTTCTTTTCTTCTACTCCTGAAAATACGAAGACATCTCTCTCTCTCTCTCTCTCTCTCTCTCTCTCTCTCTCTCTCTCCCTCTCTCTCTCTCTCTCTTCAAGTCGGTGTTAATCGAGTTGGAGGCTGCTTGTGTGCAAAAGAGGAGAGCCAGAAAAAAATAGAAGAAGAAAAACGGGAAGAAGGGTAGAAAGGGATGGCTAAAGAAACCGGGGGACCACTAAAGACTAAAAACATTCAGCAATTTGGAGAGATGCAGACATTTCTCTGGGCCTTGTGTCCAGCAATCGATGGGAGACAGCGGGCACTCACGTGCTCTCTCGATTTGCTAGACTATTTTCGATTCGTCCCTTCACTTTCAGATTTTCTGGCACACTCTCACTCTACTTCATCCTGAAAAAAGTATTTGGCCGTCCTGGTGCTGGGGGCTGCTGTGCGGAAAGAGAAATTGAACCGAATCAAAAAATCAGAACCGTGCAATAAGCATTGAAAGAGGGAAGTCGTAGACTGTGACATATTCTATGTCTGGATGAGCACGAATGCTTTTTTTCTTCTGGAAATCCCCAAAAAGACGTTTTAGATATTTGGAGATGCGTCTTTTCGGATTGAAACATCTTACTATAAGAGTTTAGAAAAATAATTAGGATTGCACAAGGAAACGTTTGAAAATGGGTTTCAAGTAACTGTTAATTGCAAAAGTCTCTTGATGAAAATCTCAAAAAATAACTACACATTGAAAAAAACACATGTCTCATCCTATTTGTAAGTCAAGCGCAAAACATTTCCATTTTCTAAAAAACTTGTTTCTCTTTGTTCTACTTTTTAATGTTCCTGCGGACTACCTAGAAATTTTTGACTGTGCTAAAATTCATTCACAGAGCTCCAATTTTTAAAAGGTGCTCCCTCTCTGCTCTAAACCGAAACATTTATATCCAAAAGCAGCAGAAGGACCAAAAAAGGAAAAAAGAAAACCTTCGGACTACGTAGTGCTTGGTGGAAGAGAAATTCGAGATTCCTTTTGCTCCCCCATTTTTTCTCTTTTTTCATACATAGGGACATTTTGAAAGATGCAGGAAACAAGAAAGGAGGAAATAATGAAAGATTTTTTCTATACATACAAAACTAAGGGATTTCACTTTCAGAATATTTCAGTTAAAAAGTTTGAAGGCCTGGTACAAAAGAGATGCCTATAGATAAGTGAAAATTACGGAAAACGTAAAAATGGAGAAAAAGAAAAGGAGGTAAAAGAAAAATGAGAAGAGGAACATAATTGGGAAAATTTAGAAAAAAAAGAAGAGGAGGAGGAGGAGGAAAGAAATATATTTTGTTTTTCACCAGAGATGCATGTCTATTTTGGGTAGACAGTCAGTGATTATGAGGAGAGAAGAAGAAGAAAAAGAGCCCAAAAATCTTTTAAAGTCAAAGTTTTAGAAGTTGTTCATGATAATTTCAGTTGAGAAATAAAAAAAGTGTTTTGCCGATGCCTGGCAAAATCACATAAAAATATCCACCTTTTTGAGCTAATTTTTTTTCTGGCTCCCATGCAAGGTATCAAAAATTTGTCAATTGATAACTTCTTTGTGATATTATGGTAAGCAATTTATCAGTTGACTACTTTTTCACTTACTTTTTACTTTTTATATATTTGGCAGGAACCGAGATAAATTAGCTCAAGGTCGAAAAATAGCGGCCCCTTTTTTACAGGTTTTACGGTATATCAAAAACTCTTCACAGTTTGAAAAAATCTTATGCTCACAAGAAATGAGTAGAAACAAATCAAAATAAAAGTAAAAAGAGTAGATTTCTCTTTCCTTTCCTATGTTCTTCTTTTCCGTTTTCCTTGAAATATTCACAAGTTTGGGGCGACAGGCCGAAAGTGTGCCAGTAGGAATGACCGATATAGTACAGAGAGTCATAAGAGAACCAGAGAAAATAGAAAAGGAAAGCGAGGGACGTAATTGCAAGTGGCACTAACACATGGATCTGAAGGGGAGGAAGGAGCACATGCAAACACATACACACTTACACTTTTCCTCTCTTTTTCCATACAACTTTGACACCTTCTGGGTCTTCTGAAAAACTCTATCTGAAATTTCTTTACGTTTTCACAAAAGTTTTTATTTCTGGAAACAAAAGGAGAGGAAGGGAACAAGAAGAATATTTTTTATAATTGCTTATTACGGAAAAGTGCAGTTATATAGATTCCGAGAAAGAAGAGCTACATATGTAATCATCAAAGATCTGAATAGATATTAATAGAAGAGAAAACAAATCTACAGTATCCTATTCTACAAATTAAGACTGTTTTGTATTTTTGTAAAAAGGGAACAATGAAAATAACAGAAGAAAATATATATAATTGTACGAGAACAAAAAATGAAAAAACAAGAGGGAATACGAAATTGGAGACAAAAAAGTAATAATAACATCTGACTGAGAGAAAGATGTCTAATTGATCACAAGGGATTCTAAATATATATAAATGGCTGTGCTTATGACGTTTCAGTATTTAATTTAGGCTTGAAACTTTGGTCAATGCTTCGCGAACTTTCAGGAAAAAGTCATTGGAGAATAAATAAGTATCTTCTGAAACCGTACGGCTTTGAAAATAACACTTCCGTAAAACCTGTAATATAAGCGCCCCAACTGTTAAGTTTAAGCTTTTTGGCCCTCATACAAGATATTAAAAAAAACAGGCCAAGTGATACAATTTTTGTGATGTTATGATGACCAATGTATCAGTTGACCACATTTTCCTATCTTAGACAGGAACCGAGACAACTTGGCTCAAAAATTAGCGGTCCCTTCTAATAGGGTTTTACGGCACATCTTAAGACAGTCAACATCGACGCTCTGATTTTGGAAGTTTGGGAGAAAAACAAAACTGAAAACCAAAACCGCAAGAAACAAAAGAGAGCCGACTCTTTCTTCTCACACATTTCATATTTTTCACGATGATTTTTATATGAAAAGGCGGTTCGTTTTTATGATGTGAAACATGAAAAGAAAATGTTCCGTTTCTTTTTTGTTTCAGTTTTTTTTCTGTCAGGGAAAAAAGACAGAGGGAGTTACAAATGTATGTTATTACGAAAATGGAGTGAAAAAAAACAATGGAAAGATAAATGGGAGATTGGAAAAAAGGTAGATCAAATGAAATATAATAGAGTTTATATTAAAATGAACGCACTGAAGACAATTTATTTGGTAATCAGCCCGCTGGCGCGAACTGTGTGCATGCATAGCCGTGGTGCGGACAGTCACGGAATCAGTTTTGGCGCCAGCGAAACTCTCATTTAAAAATCCATAACCGGACAGCCTGACATGAGGACCAACAGACGTGTCTAGTGTTTTGTATATAAGGAAGATTGTCCAATGTCGAATTTTCCTCCCAATTACAAACTTCATACCAATCTTTGGAATTTTCAGATATTTGTTCCAATGATCTTCAAAAATTCAATTTGCATTGAGAACCGCCAGGATTTCTTTTTTTTTCATTTATTTTTTTTTCAATACCAGGAAATTCAATTTAAGCTTTTTTCATTTTCTTTCTTCCGTTTTCTTCTAGAATAGAAACTTCCGCTTGATTTGCTACTAATTGTTTTCAGCGATTATATGAAACTTTCTTTGATTTTTCGACAGTTTTCAGAAATAGGCCAAAAGTAGGTACAATTTAACCTTATAAAAAAATTACTTAGGGATCTAGAAAAACTGAAAATCTAATATTTTACTGAATTGCTCTACTTCTTCGGCGAATTAACTTTTCTGTCTTCTTCCTCACTCAGTCAACTGAATTTAATTTTTTCGAGTTTAATTTGATCATCTGTTTAAACTAGACTACCCGGTTTCTCCAAAAAATTCTGTGAAAACCTATGAGCCATCTTGATTTTTTTCTCTGTCATTTCTTGACAAATTAGCCCTCTTTGGTTTTATTTTTATCCTCTCATTTACCCCTTCGTCATGCTTTTCTTCTTACTCATCCATTTATTTTTCTCGAGAGTCATTTTTGCTAACCTATATTTTTCACGCATTTTTTCTCTTTCTGCGAAAAAAATCCTAAAATGTGTTGCAAAGTTTTTGAGGTGTTTTTGAGCACTTTCAGAGTTCAATAATAAAATGGAACATCACTATTTTTATTCGAATAATCTGTCCTAACAGGAAGTAAAAAAAACTGCTGTTGGGGGTCAGTGACACAACCATAGAATATTTTTGGTTTCAGTAACCATTTCCTCATGTTTCATATGACTGATAACTTTGCTGACTACAGTTTTTTCAGAAACGTTATTCGGAAAGGTTATTTTAGTTAGAAATGGTCAATCTTGATTATTTAAAAGTCTCTGACTTGCTGGAAAAAATTCTCATGTGAAAGAGACCAAACTTTAACTTTTTCGAAAACAGAAGAACCGCCAATTAGTGGGAATAGTCAAAAATGAGAGTTTCGGGTTCTCTAATTTCATTCAGATCGATTCTTGACTTCAAATTTATTATCATTAACACCTATCAATTGCTCTGACCCTTATCCATCTACACTTTCTCCCCTATTACGATTTCGATAGCCACTCTCTGTCTCTCTTCCACTTTCACCCTCCATTAATTCTTGTCGGACACCACCGCCAGGAAAACGGAAAACGGCTAGTACTAAGTAAACACATGGATCCACCTCCCCGGACAGTTTCGAGTGCGAGGGGCGCTCGCCGGAAAGGTCGCGGCGCCCCGCCCCACGCGGAACAAAATGTGGGCGGAGCTAATGTAGAGAATGCGGGAAGAACAGAAACAGTAAAACACGAACACATACACTTTTCTGGTTTTCCGTGATCCTTGTAGTGATCCTTGTATTATTACTTTTAGCTTCTAGAATTTATTCAGATCCTCATATATTTTTTTCTAAATAGTATGCTCCAAATCCAAGGACAAAGGGCACCAGAACCATTGCTACTCGTTCTTGCTGATAATTTAAACATTTTGAACTCGGATAGTAGTAAAAACAACAATAACAATGATTGCGATGTTAATAGTAGGGAAAACAACGATGAAGATGAAGAAGATGTGGCAGGGAATACTGTAAGTTTGTCAGTTTATCTGCTGGTCGAAATTTCTATGGTTCTGCAGGACGTCGAAATGAAAATCGAAGAAGGGGTGGGCAAATGGCCCCGTATCGAACGTCCCACTCCTAAATATGCGGACGGTCGGAGGATTTCGGCTCCAGCAGTTCTAGCACACGGTCTTTTTGAAATTGTAAGTTCCCCCGAAAGTGTAGTTTACTGTCTTTTGCAACGTCATCTCGACCTTAGGACTCTGTGACTCTGCTCCTTATCAGTTAGCAGATCAGTACGGAAAAAAGAAAAACGGGGTATGAAAGGGCGGAAAAGGGTGGACTTCCTGATTTTCGTCTTCCTGAAATAATTGCCATTCAATAAAAAAGTTAAACAATCTAAAAAATGATATCTACTCTTGTTCACATTCCTATCGTTCATCAGCCTCAACAAATTCAGCCAACGTCCTGTTCCGTCCAGATTACTGTACTACAGCAACTTTTGGATCGAAGTTCCAACCTGAGTCTAGAGCCGACGAACAGTCCGGATTCTGGAGTTGGTGAGCTTTTTTTTTTGAAATTTTATGGGGATTTTTTGAGAAATTGGGATGTTTATAAACTTCAAACTCGTGTTGGATAGAGCTCCATTTAAAAATTTCCCACTTATTGGTACCACCAATTACTGAAAAATGAGATTCTTAGAATTTAAGATTCCTGAATATGACTGGAAAATGGAGACAAGGTTCTCTCCGTGTCATATCTTTCCAGGAGCAGTTTGTAACAAAAGCTTTCAACTCCAAAAACAAAATTATTTTTGAAATTTTCATATTCTTAAATTTCTTAGGAACTTTGTACACAGAACATACCATAATCCCAATCTTCAAATTGGACTTCAACCCGAAAAGCTCGACTTTACCAAAAGTCCAAAGGTCTCCTCCACTCTCTTATCACTGAAAAACCAGTAATGATCTGGTTTCCGTTTCCCGTATTATGAAAAAAGTTTATACATAGAAGTTTATTATAAATCTTAATTTATCAAAGTCTTTAGGAAACGATTCGACACCGGAGACATCACCATCCAGCTCAACTCGTCACGCTTTTGCTCCTCCTCCAATTCGACCTACAGTAATCTCATCAGCTATAGTACCCCCAGCAGGACAGCTCACGTGGCAACCATCCACGATATGGCCATGGATGCAACATTCCAATACGGCAGGTGAGTCAGTTATCGGGTTTCCTAAATCACTTTAACTTGAATAATCTAAAAGTATTCTGTACATATCCATCAGTATTCTGTACATTCCCACTTCGTAGTCCACTTTGAACAATAGTGAATACTGGATAACTTTTCAAAGAAAAAACGTATTTGCTAGAGTTTTTTTTGCTAAGCTTAATTGCCCTAAATAGAGTAACAATTAGTTTCTGTATTCTAGTGTGAGGGAATTTCGGAGTCTCTCTTGCGCAACGCATATTTACTCAATCGGATTGTTTATTTTAGTGTTCGCTTTTTCCTGCCTCCCCCAATCCAATTTTTCCATTTCCATGTACTAGTACAGTATATTAATAGTTCAACAATGTAATGATAAGTCTGGAGTTTGATGATAAAAATTATAAAAGTGGTTTTGAAGTGATCGTATGGAGGAGCAGGAAAAACGAAAAGGGAGAGTAGGGAAAAACGTGATAAGGACAAATAGGGGAAGTATTGGAAATATGGAGTTTGAACAGGAATTTTTTTGAGGAGTTAAAGCAAAAGAGGGAACAAAAGTACTAGAGATAGTACAGAAACACCGAAATGTACATGTGCTTTAAATTGCTCCAAATGTTCAACCATCTCTTTCTTGATCATTGACAGTTTGATGAGCCAGCCTTTTTTTTGAGTGCTTAAACTTGCTAGTATCAGAATCTACAACTCCATGATTTCTATTTTACCGCGAAGCCTGTATTAAAAGGGCCTGCCTTTCAATTGCTCCAAGGTACCTCCGGTAGGCTATTTTATTTTTCCAAGCCACTCTGGGGGCCTTTCTATTAGAGGGAGCCTTCTATTGAAGAAGCCCTTCTAATACGGGGTTCCCTGTATATTCAGGAAATATCAAATGCTTTTTCTTTTTTGCTAAAAAACAAACTTTTGACCACTTGCTCTCCTTCCCCCTCTCTTCCTTTCCGTTTCCTTGGCGAGTGTTTCTGGTGGTGCAAACAAAACTAGCGGGGTACATGACAGTTCACGCATCCTCTTCCTCCCCCTCTCTCTCTCTCTCTTAACAAAGAAAATTCACCCAGAACTGAAACGTTTTCAAAATGCAAACAACGTGATGAACCTCGGAGACGCGGGCGCTCTGTGCGCACGGTGCGTGTGCGGAAGAGGACGCGGAAAATTTTGGTGGTGACCGAGAGAGGCGCGCAGTTTTGTTTGGGCAAACACACGACGGGGGTCACGCAGATACGAAATATGAGATATGAACGCACTCTGGGTGCTCTGCTTGGGGAAGGTGTGCAAAAAACTGGTGCCAGGCGCCTGGAACCATGTGGATGATTCAAGACTATTTTAATACATCTATACCAGCAAGTTGGTGTCTATATCCTTCTCGCCAACTTCGAAGTTGCCTGAAGGATCCCAGTTGTCTGGTTTGAACCATTCCAGAAATAGGGTTTACAACGTTGTCTGAAGTTCGAAATTTCCTTCTCGATTCATTTTTACAACCCCAGCTAACCACTCTATGACACCTACTACACCCTAGAAGTGGTGCCAATTATTTGACAATCAAGAGAAAAAAAAAACACGAGGAAATACGGATGCGTCGTCTTTAGCACTACATCCTTAGATTCCCGAGAGATCACACGACGCAGACACTGCTTATTAGCCGTAAGAAGCTCTGGTCACTTTGCGGAGAAAGCGAAGCTTTGACGCTTCGACGCTTTCTTTGAAACGATTTGTTGGGTTGGGGGAGATTCCGGGAGAGGGAGAGAGAGAGGACAAGAAACTAGTAAAGAAAGATCAGAAGAGGCAACTGGATGGATTATGAATTGGTGTGGTAGGGATTGAGAAGAGAGGGGGGGGGGGATCAGGAGGACATGAAAAGTCATATGTTACATTACAATATTTTTGAGGGGAAGGGAAGAAGTCAAAAGCAGTTTCAAAAACTTTAAAAGATCAAATCTTTTCAATATTTCCGACTTTTGGGATTCCTAATGAATCTGAAAAAAGTCACTTTCTCCAATTTCTGTTGAATTTTTCAACCCACAAAATATTCGAGTCTTTCTGAAAAAAAGTTTTCTGAATACTATTCTTACTGAGCTCAGCAATGAATGATGGTACGTTCCGATTCTGTTAAAAATAAATAATTTTGGGGTCCAGCTATTCAATTTGCCAAAACTCGCTAAAAATATTGAACCAGAAGAAAGCTTCATTCCTGAAATTGGCAGTGGACCAGTTTTTTGAAAATTTTCTTTCTACACAGCTCTTCTTCCATGGCTTTCAGTCATACATCAATTTCTCTATCAGCTATTTTTTGTCTGCCCTTCTACCGGTTCACACTTTCGCCGTTCCTTTCGATTTCTGATCCAGTGAGAGGAGATTCTCGGCAAAACGGAAGCAGTAAAAGTGGTTTTAGCGAAGTCCATCCCCTCATCCAGTCGCACTTTTTCCCTCCTCCAGAATGTGTTCTCGTGGAGACAAGTGTATGTGTGTGTGCGTGTGGCGCCCGTGATGAAAACTGGCGGATCCTCTGAGGATCAGTGAAAGGAGTGGGCGAAAGTTATATGGCCGAGCGCCCGGGAGAGGCTTGTATTATTATATGTTGATTGTTATTGGTGTTATGTTCCGTATACGGAACATTACATGGCGAACACTCCAGACACATATATCCTTATACTTCTAGGAATGTCCGTATGGGGATGAAGCCTTGATTGTTCTCGCTGAAAGATTCAATTTCAAATTTTAGAACTGATACAAGAAAATGAAAAATAAGGCACGTATTAATTTCAGATGCCACCCAACGCTGGCTCCAATCTGCTCTTCTCTGCCCAACGACATCATCTTCCCATCCGAATCTTCTCACAATTCCACAACTACCACCTCCACCTGCACCTACAGCAGTCCCAGCTCCTCCACCACAAACTCTTCTTACTGCTGCTCCATTTATCAGTTCTACAGTGTTCACTCCAACTTGCGGCGATCTTCTTACAACGTGTGCTCCAACGAATCCGTCTCTTCTGCATCCATATCTTCTGGAACCTCGTCGCTTCTCGGAGCCCAATCCCACACTTTCAACTCATCTGGCTCAGCGGAATAGCAATACAGGAAAAAAGCAGAAGGAGGGACAGGTGACCTACTTATGGGAGTTTCTGCTCCGTCTACTCCAAGATGATCAATACTCGCCAAAGTTCATCAAATGGATAGACCAACAGAAGGGAGTGTTCAAGTTGGTGGATTCGAAAGCAGTTAGCAGGCTATGGGGAATGCATAAGAATAAGCCAGGGATGAATTATGAAACAATGGGCAGAGCATTGAGATACTACTATCAACGAGGTATTCTTCAGAAAGTCGATGGGCAAAGATTAGTCTATCGGTTTGTCCATTTGCCGAGTGATATTGCTAGTGTGAGTTTAAAAAAGTGTCTAGTGGTATAATTAAATGTTTTATGTACTTTTTTCAGGAATGCGACTCTGCGTGTGAAAGTGCTGACTCATGCCAAAGTGAATCTCCGAAAATCAGCCCAGTTCTGAACTCTCCAATCATTAAAATCGAAGCGTCTGATGAAGCTTGACTCAGTGTAAATAACTTTTCTTCGTCGTACAAAACTTTTTGAATCTGATACTAATAATAATAATTTATTTTCTCTGCTTTAATTGTCTCCATCCGATTTTCCATAATTGTTTCCTTTCTTTCCAATACTTTCTCTCTTTCTAACACTGCCTATCCTAAAATGTTTCCTTTATATATTTTCTTCCGAATACGGAGTTTTCCAAAAAAGCAACTTAGTTTTGTAATTAATGATCTATAATTAATTGTTTAATTATCTCTAATAAATAAAATCAATTTAATAAATTAATAATAATACCTGAAAAGTTTCAAGAAAAACAGTTATCCTGGCATTGTGTACACATTACACTGTTGCACCTCAAGACGCAGGAGCAGAAATAGAGAGACTACATGAATCAGAGAGACGGAGAGAAACAGAGGAATACTCCCGCGATTGCTTTTGAAGCAAACAACTTTTGCAGTTTCTATTATTGATTAATTTTACTAAATATTAGTACTCGTCTAGAATTATGTAATTTATTCATGAAGAAAAACAATGGGAAACTATAAATCCAGACCATTAACTTCCTGTTCAGGTATTTTTCAAGTTTTTTGTGTGACTCAAAATTTCGTAAGAATCAACAATGATATTTCTAAAATTTATTTTTGCAGACGAACTCAAAAAGAAAATCTCCGAGGGTTACTCAGTGGTCAGAAGTCGTCTCAGTGATGACGTCAGATCCAGATCAAATTTGGGATGGATAGATGTACAAATCGCGGCCTTGTGGGTTTTTTTTGGATTGAACGGAAGAAAAGTGGAACACCTATAGTCCAAATAAAATATAACTTTCAGTGAAAAATCGCTAGAAGAATTCCAACAACTTGTCAACACTGAAAACGCCGACTCAAAATCCGCCCAACATCTGAATTTATATCACATCATTTGTGCTGGTCACGCCGATTCTCAACCTGAAAAACTGCTACACCTTATCCAACTCCTACCAACGGACTCCTCGAAATTCTTGATATCCTCCCAATCGGCAAATGGTTTTACCCCTTTACACATTGCTATCTATCGAGGGGATCCAGCGATTCTGAAAGCGTTAATATCATCAGAATTAGTAGATTTAGATCAATCAGGACGTCATCTGTTGCCCCCACTTCATTTGGCTGCCATGATTGGTGATTCAGAAATGTTGACGGTGCTGTTGGCGGCTGGAGCAAATATTCATGTTGTTGATTTTGTACATTTCACTGCTCTTCATTGTGCAACCTATTTTGGTCAGGAAAGTGTAAGTAGTAGTCTTAAAAGCTTCGGCAATTCGTGTACTTCTGGTTCAGGCCGTTCGAACTCTTTTAGCGGCTAATGCCAATGCAAATCTCGGCGGAGCAGTTAATGATAGACCAATCCATCTGGCAGCTGCTAAAGGATTATCAGTTATCACAAAATTAATGTTAGAAGCTCAAGCGGATCGTGAGTTTCAACTTCAATATAGAGATTTCTGAACCTACATTTTAGCTCTGCTAGCTGACGACGAAGGTAATCAAGCTCTGCATTACGCTGCTAAATCTGGAAGCCTTACTATTCTATCAATGCTAATCAGACATGTAAAAGGGATCAACGATCGAATATGTTCTAGGAATCTTTACGGAGACACTGCACTTCATTTATCATGTTACAATGGACGTTTGGATATTGTGAAAGCTATTTTAGAATGCTCCCCAACTAACATTGTGAATATGGAGAATGTTTTTTCGGAGACCCCATTACATGCAGCATGTACCGGAGGTAAATCATTGGAGCTTGTTTCCTTCCTAATGAAGTATCCCGGAGTAGACCCCAACTATCAAGGACAGGATGGACATACTGGTAAGAAAATAAAATTTTTAGAATTTCAAACAATGCATATTTTCAGCTTTGCATTCTGCTTGCTATCATGGGCACTTGAGAATAGTACAATATCTTTTGGAAAATGGAGCAGATCAGTCATTAGCTTCAAGAGCATATGAAGGAGGATCATTGAGGCAACAGGCGGGGACAGGTTTTCGTTTATAAGTAACATCAGGTAAATCTAGAAATGTTCCAGGATCCACGCGTCCTTCCAAAGTGGCTTCTGCCATAATGGCTCTCAATCGAAGTGACACCCCATCATCAAACGCTTCCTATAATTCTACAGTATCCCTAGACGATCAACAAACACCGGTTATCTGGGCATACGAAAGAGGCCATGATGCAATTGTAGCCCTTCTCAAACACTACGCATCCAGGACTGTTGAAGGAGACGTGTGCAGTGAATACAGCTCGGGGGAGTCTTCATACACTCCTCTACCAAGTCCTATGGGTCGTTTGACAAGTCTAACTAGAGATAAGGCAGAACTACTGCAACTGAGATCTGCCCTACCTGCACCGTTTCATTTGTGTTTGGCTGAAATAGAGTTCCAGGTATTTTGTAGGTTTGATTCACAGACTTTTAACTTTTTTAGGAATCTATCGGAAGTGGGTCGTTCGGAAAAGTTTACAAAGGAACCTATCGTGGAAAGCTGGTGGCCGTGAAGCGCTATAGAGCAATGGCGTTCGGTTGTAAATCTGAAACCGATATGTTGTGTCGTGAAGTTTCGATCCTTTCCAGATTAGCGCATCCTAATGTGATAGCGTTTGTAGGCACATCGTTGGATGACCCAAGTGTGAGTTTTTAAACTAGCTATGTTTACTGTCCGGATTGGCTATTTATATAACAACTAACGAGAATCAAAAATATATCTTACAGCAATTTGCAATTATTACCGAATTTGTGGAAAATGGATCCCTCTTCCGACTTCTGCATGAGGAAAAGCGGTGATTTAAAATTATGAAACTTTTAATTTATTTCAAATTTTCAGAGTCTTGGACCCAGCTTTCCGACTGCGGATATCACTTGATGTAGCTCGAGGAATGCGATACCTACACGAAAGTGCAGCAAAACCAGTTATTCATAGGTGAAAATTGCATTAATTAGAACGTTGGTATCTCTTACCATAACTTTGCAGAGATCTCAACAGTCATAATATTCTAATTCACTCTAATGGGAGGAGCGTAGTTGCAGATTTTGGAGAGAGTCGGTTTGTTTGTCAGCGTGAGGACGAGAATTTGACCAAGCAACCAGGGGTAAGCAGTATAGTAGTTCACTATTTATCATACTTCCCAAATTACAGAATCTCCGATGGATGGCTCCTGAAGTTTTTTCACAGTCGGGAAAGTACGACAGGAAAGTGGATGTATTCAGTTTTGCTTTGGTACTTTGGGAAATTCACACAGCAGAACTCCCATTTTCCCATCTGAAACCTGCGGCTGCAGCTGCCGAGATGACCTACAAACGGGGGAGACCTACGTTACCCAATCAGCCGACAGTTCAATTCCCAGCACATATTTTAAGCTTGATCCCTCAAGCGTGGCATCCCGAATATCAAATGAGACCTGATTTTGTAGAGGTAATTTTTTTTTCTTGATTTTCCGATTGAGGTATGTTCTTTCAAGCTCGAAATGCTTTCAGATCGTTCCCTTACTAGAACCTCATGTAGAATCGACACATACGGATATGAATGCCCCATCTACCGTATCCCAATTAAAATCACAATGGGAGCAATTGAGTGTGGCTCCTCCCCCTACTTCCAAATTCCCACCAATTTTGTCAGCGTTACACGGAATCGCAGCGACTGGTACTGTAGAAGAATTGAGACAACGGATTGATAATAATGGTTATGTTATTAATAAATGATTTTTTTTCTCTTTGTGCTGAAAGTCAATGTGGAAACTTAATGTTTGTGAAACTGGGTTATAAGATGTGAGATTTTTCAAAAAAGACAAGTTTAACATTTTGGAGTTATATTCTTTCTCTCGTGTCATTCTTTTCAATACCATGAACAGAAAACATACAAATCTTCTGTTCTACATTTGCCTTTCATCTCTAGCTATTTTCATTTACTATAACGAAATTCTTACATCTCCAATCATTGATCAAGAGGTTCAGACCATTTTAGAACCTTCCATTTCATAATTTAGTTTCCAGGTTTTTTATTTATCCTGTGATAGCTTACTGGATTATCTGAAATACCCGGCTCCAGTTTTACTGATTGATCATGAGATTTTGGAGCAAATTGATAGAAGTCATTGTCATTTACAAAACGATAAACCGGTAAAAGTGAGTTTTGTGGTAGTTACGATGGTTTTCGTAAAATGATTTCAGATCGGAATAGATGTTTCATACGAACCACGATTAAGTGATCACAGATTTCATTTGGCTTATTTCAAAAATTCTAGTAGTGCTGATTTTTTGAATTTTGGAATTCACCACAAGAAAAAACTGATTCCGAAGTGAGTTTTTTTCCCAGATACATATATATCGAATAGCTCAAAATTTTCAGAAACTACCCTTCTCGAGTTCTGGGTAATATTCAAGTCCCCACCGATATTCAAAAATTTTTAGGTTTTTGGCAGCGCTCCAGTTTCATAGCATGTTCGAATCCAAACAACCAAAAGGTTTTCAAACGTTCCATGTGAATTTTAAATTGTAAAAACTTGTAGAACATTTCCGAAACAGCTGTTACTGCACTAGCCTCGATGAGAGAAGAACTAATCAATCATGGAATCTTCCCATTTTTAACTGGAACTACTCTTCTGGAATGGTACAAAGAATGTACTATTCCAGCGGGAAAATTGAATCTGGCAGTGATGGCTACAGAATTTTCCAGAAATGTGTTGACTGAACTAGAAAGTGGAATCAACGGTTGGAAAGTTGTCGGCACAACTGGAAATGTGAGAGCCCTAAACTCTGAAATGTGTTTTTTGAATTACCTGTTTCAGATAGAGAGGTCTCTGAAGATAACTTTATCCCAAAATCCCAATACTTTGATAGAAATCTCTCTGATGTATAAGGATGTTACAGAAGACAAGGAAGTTATACATTATACGGGTCTGCATTGTGGTTGTTGACATTTCTAGATTTTGAGTTTCAGGCAACAAAAATTTTGTATTCTCCAATTACGACCCTTGGTGCTCTACCAGCATCCATGGACATATATTTTGGATTACATGTACTCCGGAGACTCGTTTGGCGGTGAGAATCAAATTGGAAGGAAGATTAAGAAAACAATTTTCAGGAAGAATTTGGGGAGGATTGGAAGACGCACACTCTATAATTATTCTTCGAATTTCTACCAAACAATTATCTGACAAAATTTTATGAGCGGCTGAATAAAATTGACAAATTTTTGTACCTTCCACAGATAACGCAAAACACCAGAAGAAATTCTCGTATCTCTTATCAAATCCTTTTTCCGAATGAAGAGAAAAACTGATAACCAAAAGCCTGCCGATTTCTTCAAATCCCCTTATATACGAAATCACTGGATAGAGGATGATCATTACGACATCTCTTTTTCGTGATCTGTTTTTAGTGGTAGATATTTTCATCGGCATTTGTAGCTCCCTTTTCTTTCCATTTGGCTGTTTTTCAAATTTATATCTTCAATTTTTCAGCTCCTGTTATCTGAATCCTACTGTAACTACCTCTTTCCCCATTCCAATCAACACGCCATAATCTATAGATAGCACTTTTCCATTCAGTCTAATTAGTCAATGTGACAACATCATCTATCTTTTATTTTGTTTCTTTTTTCTCCCATTCTGTTTCATTTGTGTTGTAATGGGAGTCATAAATGCCCTTCTTTCTTTTGTTTATGAAAGACCAACCAGTCGACAAGAGAGAGATGGGAACGATTGAGAGGAAGTCTGGAAGAGGAGGGAAGTAACAGATATATTATAAACAAAATCATTTAGTCCTTCATTCTCTCACTTCACCTCTTCCAAACTTTTTTGTTTCATATGTTGCAGTTCGATCAACTTTGAATTTGATCTTTGGCCTGAAAAATCGTATTAAGCATTTTTAAACTTTTCCAAAAAAAAGCCAATCCGAAAAGGTATACTTGATTCTCGGCCATTCTGACGATTCTCAATCTAGGCATGTTTAAACCTTCCAAAACTTTTTAGCAGAGCTTCAGCCTGCTGAAAATGTTCAAAATGAAAGAAAATCAAATTAAAAATAGGTTTTGCATATCTTATGAACCTGTACTGTATATTATTCTTTCGGTGAACTGTGATAAATTACTTTATTCTGACAAGATGAGTAAAAGTATTGGTTTTGAGTAAGAATCTAAAAATCTAGATCTATAAAGATGTATGTTGGAGAGCCGCCGGAAGCCCGCCCGGGGAAGATTTACTTCACAATACCCAGGAATATTTCTTAAAGCTAAATTTGTTATAAATACCAGAACTATTCTCATAAAAGAACATCAAAAGTGTGAATATCCTATCCGTACCCTCTGACTTGCATCCATTGACGTCACAGAGCTCGCCGTGCAAGTGGGACCTCTCCTCATCTGATTCTTATAAATTTTCGAGTAGGGACCATCGATAAAAGATTCTTTCCTGGAAGAAAAATATCTTGTTTTTTCTATTTTTTTTCTTTTAGGCGTTTCTGCTTTTTTTTCGTCTTGTTGTTTTGGGAGTTTGAGATGGTGACCTCGAAATTTTCACTGATTTTTTTGGAACGCATGATTTTTGGTTCCAGTATCTAGGTTCTAAGTAAATTGTTACAAAAAATTAAGTTTGTATCCAGCGAGGCGTGAAAATAACAGAGCATTCGAAACAATTGTTTGGTTAGGATCCACTGCTATTATATGGTGAAAATTGAAAAAATAAAAGCTGAAAAAATATTTTTTAGCAAGTTACCTCTCTTTTCAGACCAGATGACCATGAACAATTTTTTGTTTTCCTTTTTAAGTTCCTTCTAAATTTTCTTGACAACAAAGAAAAACACAAATCAAGTCAACCATCTGTTTCTGCGCAAAATCTCTCATCTGCGTCTCTTTTAAGTTTTCTTAACTTTTTCGAAATGCTTCTAATTTCCTATCTCTCATAGTTTTTCCTTTTAACTAGAAAACCAATTTTCGGTGTGAAAATTTGTTCCTCTTATACTATTTTTTGACCTTCATAGCCACATTTTTTGGTTCCGGCTGTATTTTAATTGTCGTTATTAGACCAACACCTTAATGCCCAACGCTTTGAAACTGATTGTCTTGATCCATGGATATCAAGGCATTTTCTCACTTTTTTCTCCTCTACCCAAATTTTCTTGATTTCCAGAAATGCGTAAATATCTGGTTTACTTCTCGGTTCCATGCTTTTTCATATTCCCGATGCTTTTTGTATACCAAGCCAGTCTTTTTGGAAGTACGCAACAAGGATTATCTGATGAAAATGACTATCCAGTAGATGTGACGCACAGAACTCCTCAGAGAGTGATGGCTTTCATGAAGAGATCGGTTAGTGTTTGAAAAAAAAAAACAAGGTCAACTAAATAGTTTCAGCCAAAGTCTTGTGAATCTTGGATTTCCCAACTCAACACCTCTATTCCAGTCTTGCTAATTGACGTAGACCTTCTGAAGGCTCTCGAAAAAAACAACTGTGGTTCTGTGTCCCCTTTAAAGCCAATTACGGTAATAATACTTGTAAAATTGAAATTAACTTTTTGTTTTCCAGGTCGGTGTAGATGTGACACACCTATCTGCTAAGTGGCTTCTGACTGACCCCCGATTTGTGGTACTTTACTTCACTAATGAAACTGGAAAAGACTATTTGGATTTTAGATCGGACCCGAGAAAGATTATACCGAAGTAAGAGCTGATAAGAAAGTTTGAAATCAAGAAATTTTTTTTCAGAAAGTTCGAAACTCGGTGGGTTGGGAATGTTGAGATTCCTGTGAACATACCGAGGTTCTTAGGATTCTCCACACGTGGCAAATTTATAGATTGCATGAATTTGCATATACCGAGAACAGGGATGAAGGTATAACGGAGGGTCTTAATTTCAAGCTACGATGTATTTTCTCTATTTCTGATTTTCCAGGTACGAATGCCTGCAAAACCATCGTCTGCTGCTCTGGCTCATCTCCGAGATGAAATGATAGAACATGACATGTTTCCATTTTTGAATGGTGGCACTTTGTTGGGATGGTACCGAGAATGCTCCGTAATTCCTCACACTGGAGATATGGACCTTTCGGTTTTCGCGGAAAACTACAATCCAGCGTTTGTAGATAAAATGGAAAAAAATCAATCGGGATTTCGTATCAGCAGAAAATTTGGGATGGTGAGTCAAAGAAGTAATTTTTATTTCGAAACATAGAAGTTCAGCTAAATGACTCTTTTGAACTCACTCTTGCTCCCAGGGAAGGGTTTAAAGTATACATAGATATCTTTCTTATGTACCAAGGAGTGGATAATGGGACTGTGACCCATAATTGGGTCGGAGGACTTTCCCGTAAGTTTCTGGATGTTTTAACCCCCGAGGCTGCGATTTTTCAGCGGATGGTACGAAATACAAATACACCTATCCTGTTTATGATCCATGGTGTGCTGCAGATCTTCAAGGACACATTTTCTGGGTGACCTGTACACCAAATGAAAAAGTTGTGGTAAGATTATGAGTTGGGAATTAGCACTATCTTTGTTTGATGGTTTCTGAAATTTTGTTTCAGAAAGAATAAAATTATTTCAGAAAGAATATGGCGCGCTGTGGTACCTGGACCATCTGACCTCCAAGTACTCATGGAACTCTTCTGGAAAAAATGTGAAGAAGAATGGAAAATTCACGAAAGACCAGATGAAGGATGTCTACAAAGTTTTCAAAGGAAAAAAATAGACACAATTATTGATAATTTAGGAATTGCTTTAGACTTTGCTTTAGATTTTGTGTTAATTGTGTGTTCCGGTGTTGAAAAAACATTTTGCTATCCAATCTCCTTTAATGGGTTGTTAGAAAATTAATAAATTCTTCACAGAAATTCGAATTTTTTCTTATTTTTTAAAGGAATCCCGCAAAAATCATCTATTCTTATTTTGCATAAAAATGCCTTTAAAGGCTTTCTTTTCAGAAAGTGATCCTAAAAACAATGACGAATAAAAAGATGACAACAATAAGTCCTAAAAACTAAACGATTTTTTTCCAGATCTTCAGTTCTATAAAAGAAATGCATGACGTCAATGTATACAGAATTGTGATAATCATAGAAATCCAAAATCCACAATTATCCCATCAATCTTCTTGGAATTTTCCCTCAATTCCGTCTTTTCATGTTTTAAAACGATTTTCTTATTCGAAAATCGTCTGAAAAACGGAAAAGAACAATTTCCTATTTCGATTTAGCGGTCTTTCCTGTGATTTGTCTTTTTTCCCAAGGCCTCTATAAACACCCTAATGATTGATGAGAAGATTTTCGCTACGAAAATGGGCGTGGCCCACTTTACTCTTTTTCTTAGGCAAAAATATGGGTGGAGCTTAGCCTAAAGATTAAAAAGGTTCAGAAAATGTGTTCACTCGGAATTTATTTTGTTTTGGGTTAAGGTTCTTTAGAATTTTCTGTATCAAATCTAGAAGTGTATACCACCAAAAACTATAATGTCAAAAGCTTTGAATCGAGCTAAAAATTTTTTTGACAAGGCTTCTGAAATTTTTTATAACAAATTCTTAATTCGAGTAAAAATATAATTTTCTAGGACATGAAATTTTGATAGTTCTGTTTACGAAGTGCTGTAATTTGAGAAAAAAAAATGTCTAGTCCCGTTATGGTCTGGATCCCAAAAATAAAATAAAAAGACGTTTTGAGCGCTCTTTATAATATTTAACCCCTATTTTATACCGTAAAACCTGTAATATAAGGGACATCACACTCTCAATTTTGAGCTCAATTATCTAGGCTCCCCTCAAAGATATGGAAAAGTTGTCAACTAATTAAATGTTTGTCATAATATCATTAACATTTTATCAGTTAAAAACTTTTTGATATCTTCAACAGGAATCGAGATACATTGAGAAAAAGTTAAAAATCTTCTATTACAGGGCTTAAGGGTTTACGGTAAATTGGCTTATGAGATAAACACCATTTTGAATACTACTATTTTTCAGGTTTTCCATCTCCTGTTCTGAGAAGTTTTGATACATTTATAGTAATTTCGAATTTGACTTTTCTAATCCAAAACTCATTTTTCAAAATGCTGGCCAAAAGTGTAACTATCTCATAAATTTGATACCATAAAACCCCGTTTTCTTTATTTTCAGATCCTGAAAAATGATTCCAAGGTTTTTTAAACCATTTTTTAAATCCCATGAGCTTTCTTTTACTTGTTTTATTAATCCTCCCATTTCCGAAAAATGATGTCCTCCGAAAAGTGACGTTTTCTTCGTTGTGCGTTCAAATAGTTTGCAGCATGAATAATGTATTATTCGGAAGTTTGGACTACCTTTTTATTGAAAGTCGCCCATACATACCCACTTCCTATTTTCCAAAAAAGTATCTAATTTTTTCCAGGAAAAAATTATTCAAGTTTAAACTTTTTCATCCAGAAAAGGAACAAAAGAAAAAGGGGATAACAAACATAAAAATTCAATTATGCTGGTTTTGTTTTGCTACTTTTTTCATCCTGTTTTTTTCATACCGACGTTTTTTTTCATTTATCCGATGGCACGTCTTCTGGATGTGTCAAGTTAGGAACATCGTCTAGAAGAAACGTATTCTGAAAAAATAATGTTAGAGGATTCAGGAAGCAAATGGTAAAATTGTTTCCTATAATGTTTGGCGATTAGCTATTTACCGTAAAACCTGCGATAGAAGGGCCCCACACTGCCATTCCAAACTCAGTTACAATTCCTATGCAAGTTATCAAAAATGTGTCAACTGGTTTGTCGACAACTTTTTCATATCTTTGACAGGAATCGAGATATGTTCTTTCACAATTAAAAGTTAGAGGCCCTTCTAATACAGGTTTTACGGTATACTATTTAGATGCTATTATTGAGAATCTCGGACTACTCTGCACTTACCTAGTTATTCTCAATCTTTGCCTTTTTGTAAGCCTTCTTCTAACTCATTACAAATTCTGAATCTGTGTTTTTTGTTTTGAATGGGCACTTTTAGAATTCCCTCGAAAATCCAGAGATCCTTCTTGAGCCAACAAGATTATACTTCAAGATGAAACTTGTCGAGTATCAAAATTCTTGAGACTTTGTGGGAAAATTTCCAATTCCCAGTAAATTTGGTTATTGGAAATCGTGAGAAACAGACTTCTTCAAAGATTTGTTGCAAACCTTTCACCTTTTCCCTCAAGAATGTTGTAATTGGACTATTGTATCTAAAATGTTTGCAAGAAAAAATAATTTCGATCCTTTCTCATGACACCCTTCCGTTTCAATTTCACACTTTTCTTGACCCCGGATACGTCACCCAATAACTTTTGACACATGGGACAAATTTAAAATAGCATAGAAGAGAGAAAACATCAAAGTGCTTTTCTAGGTGAAGTTTGAAAGTTTAATTTGGCTTTTCCACTGCAGAAGTCCGGAGACCCTGTTCCAATTTTTCTTTGAAATCATTAAAAAATTCCAGCAAATGCTCATCAAGATGAGCATTCGAGATTAGTACTATAGATAACATTACGATGACTATAGTCCTACTGTAGTCATCGAACCCACACAATATTCTAAATCTTCAAGATTTATCTAAAAGATATGTACGTCATCTGAAAATCTCGTATTCTGAAAACTTTGTTTTTCCAGAAGTCAGACGCGGAAATTAAATGATTTCTGCTGGAGGAGATGATGGTCCGTGTGTTGTTCATATACATATGTACACACCCCTAAGTTTTTTGTTATTCCAAACTTTTCCCTTTTTGTTTTCTTGATTCTGGCTTGTGGAATACTTGAGAAAGACATTCGTGGAATATTGTACTTCAACTGAAATCTAAAGTTTCGATCATTTTTTGATATAGGTTCCCGCTGTACAAATTCACATGACTCATTTGCTATTCCGTCTACTCTATTAAACACACATTTCTTTTTCTGCCCCCATCAGGCTCGTTCTGTTCCATCCCATTTCCTGTGCATCCCAATTGGCTTACTAAAAGACTGGAAAGATCAGATTGGGATAAAATAAAAAATAGCGAGGTCAAGGAATATCTAGACTGCAATTCTCTGGGAGAATCTTAGAACTCTTGAAAATCTTCATTTTTTTAGTCTAGCTTTATCATTGTAGACATTCCAAGTTTGCGGAAACGCCATCAAGAAAGTATCTCTAGAATTGTCAGCTGCAACATTAGCAATCGTTTTTTAATTTCCAAAGGTTCCCAAGTAAATGTTCCTGACTTAGTTTTTGAATTTTCTCTACTATTACTCACTGATTCTAATCTCCAGATTTATCGAGCAATTCTACTTTGCACCCGTAATTACCTAGTTATCTGATAGTTCTATCTCCTTTTCCCTACTTCTCATTCACTTCCTTCTAGTATTTTAAAACACAAAGCATACTCTAAATCCAAAAAAAAAGCTTAAGACCCACTTTTGAAACTAACACAAAAAGGGAAACAAAAATTTTTAATTGCTCTTCACATCATTTGTTTCAAAAAAAAAATGATTTGCGTTGACAGGGAGTGAGAGAGAGGGCGATGGAAGGACTCCCCGGGGTGTGCTCATTGAGCTAAGTAGGGAATGAAAAAAATGAAGAAGTTCTTTTGTTTCATCGGATTCAAAAGTAGTAGCTTTGTTCCTGGTTTTTAGGTAGTAGAACAGATATCAAACATCATTTTTGTCAAGGGCTGACCAGGCAGTAAACATTGAGATAGGTCTCACGGGACCTTCGATATGAGACCTATGTCAATCGAAATCTGTAAGAATGCGATTTCCAAACATATATTTTGATTTTGCTACGGGCATTCCAGATTCAAGAAAATTGTGTTTCAAATTTGGCTGAAATTGGAATTGCCAATTTCCCGCCACCAAGAAAAGCCATAGTCCCCGCTAGACTACATTCGGGTCCAACGTGCAATTCGCAGATCCATTTTCAATTATTTACCTTTCCCATATGCACATCCCTCGTGTCATCACCCTATTCTCATGCCACGTCATCATAGGTAGGCGTTGAACTCATACTCCCAGACTTTTCTATGTAGACAGGATGCTCACATGTGAAAAAAACGCACAAAGTTTCAATTTAATTTCAATTTCCGTTGTTGAAAACGGATGTGTAGCACTTTCCCATAAAAAAAGCATCATTCGAAGTCTGAATAGAGGTTAATTTTTTTCGGCTACTTTTTTCAAATAATGATTTAACTGATATTATTATTCTAGACAAAGTTGGAAGTGAATGATATCACAAGTTCCTCCGCCTTTTCAAAAACCAAAAACCTTTTCAACCTACATGTTTTCTCACGAATTTCAAGTTCCTTCTTCTGAAATTTTGCGTGCGTCTTCAAAAACTGATTAAAATATTCAGGGCGGAATAGTTATCAACCCAATATAGAACGAGAAATGGAAAATAACAGGGACCCAGCCGAAAATTGATCATTCCAATGATTCTAAAACATGCGATTTGTTTCTGCTCCTATTTGAAAAATCAAAGAGCAACTTAATTTACTGGAACAAATCACATTGACCCATTTGGTACTCGTGGTGCAAAGACAAGGCGAAAAATTAGTAAAAAAAGAGCACTCTGAAAAAATGAAAAATTAATCCAATCGACATTTTCTCACTGTTTCTCAATTTATTTTAGTGCGCTCCAATCCCAAATTTTCACCAAAATGGATCACATCACTCGCCGTCCCATCTAGTATAAAAGCCGGGGAGAGATGCACATGGAATTCAAGACACGCCCATTTTGGGTTCTCTTCTCTGGATTCCTTCTCGCTCCCCATTCCATTTTTCTTCTTCTCGTTCTCTCTTCAGATTCGCACATTGTTTAACCTCTGAAAAGGAGTGTTTCTTTAGAAAAAGTTGTTTCAGAAACTTGTACCCCTTTTTCAATTCTATTTGAAAATGTCGCGCACATCGATCATCTTGGTCCTCGCCATCTTTGTCGCCATCGCGGCTATCGCTCAATGCCGGAACATCCAATACGGTAAGTCCAATAAGGAGGATTTCTCGTAGAAATGCCCGAGAAGCGTCGGGGTCGTTCCATACACTACAGATGTCCAGCAGGTTCCGGATTCCGTTTTCCCGAATCTTGACAAAAAAATTTTCTTGTAAAAGTCATTCCGAACGTCTCTAATTTCCTGTCAATCCTATTTTTCCTTTCCGCAAAGACTTTTAAAAACGTACACACTCAAATTTTTCAGATGTTGACGAGATCTCCCCAGAAGCCGCCTTCCGTTATGCCCAATGGGGAGAGATTCCACACAAGCGTGTGCCATCGGCTGGTGATATGATGGTTCGATTCGGAAAACGAAGCGTCTAGAATTCGTCACGCCTTCTGGATTCTTCTCCACGTTACATGATCTCCAATCGCACAAAACACTCCCCACAGCTAAATTTATGATTCATTTATATCTAACACCCTGAAAAAATGTTCCATCAGTTTTTTCTTGATTTCAAACGTTGACAAATTATAACTATCTGATCTCTTCTCTTTTTTCTTTTTTTCTCAAAAATTTCTCTCTCTTTCTCTCTTCCCCTTTTACTTGATGCGCGACTAACAACATCTACCGAATAAACCGTTTTGTGTGTGTTAAACCGATGTGATATACTTTGAAACTGTAAAGAGCTCGAGTTACAAAAAATTTGGACGTACCGAGAAAAAAATATCTACTGGAACGGCACAAGGGTCCAAATAGTTAGAATTTGCGGGACAGATAACTGTTAGGCTAGAAGATACTTATTAATTTCAAAGCGGGCCTGGATTTGACCTACATTCGATACTGAGCCAATAAAGTTTAATAAAACGGCTCAAAAATGGCACGGTAAGCTTTTCTGTTGGAAGTTGAAAGTTGAAATACTACTAGATCGGACGCCCGAAAAGCTTGAAATTATAAATTTTTGACCTGTATATTAAAATCTAGCCAGAAAAAAATTTTGGCTTGCCGCTTACGCATCCTGTTCCTCTATCAAGATGAAGAAATACATTCAAGAACAAAAAAATTCAATGAGGAACGAGAAACATCGTTTCTTCTAGATGCCCATCAAGGATAACGTAGGTTCCTGTATAAAATTCTCTATAAAAGCTTACGGAGATCAAATTTTTACATTGGAATTTTTCAAAATTTTCACCAAAATGAGTACCGCATATCGCTACAAACTTCTGGGTGGCGGCACCTATGATGGCAGTTCTTTTCGACAAGGTTTCTTATCAGCTTTCATGATAATGCTCACATTTTTTGGAATACTATACTCCTACATAGATACAACAGATTTAACGGAGTGTCCAGTTTATAAAGAAGAAGTGCCAAAGCTCAAAATTTCATTTGAAAATCAAAGTTATGAAAATCAGTCTGTCAAACTTAAAGTTTGGGATACCATGGACGGAGAGGGATACCAATTTCAAAAAGAGGTAAGTGTTTTGAAATATCAGCTATTATTGAATTTATATTTTCAGCCTGCCCCAATAATCTTAGATCCTCGGTTTGACCAACTTGACCATTTGCCACCATGTGGAAATTTAGAATCTGTGCTAATCAAAAAGGATACTAAAGAATTAATGGAAAATGTTAAGAAAAGTTTTTTGGAGTGCATCAATCCGATAGTTCAAGAATATAAAGGAAAACCAGAAGAGGTATGAATGAAAACTTATATTTTTATAAATTCACATTTCTCAGATGTTTGTTGATTGGGTTCCAAAAGCGGAGACATGTGATAAGCTTGGAATTTTTGACAAGTTGGGAGTAGTCCCATTCGAAAATTTGCATGAGACAAAATGGGCGGTCCTTCCAAAATGTGTAAGTCTCCGAATTTCAGTAGGACAACTTAGAAATTTCAAAACTAAGAAATTTCAGAAAGAAGAGCACACTCTACTTACTTTGGGAGTTGGTCATGATACCATGGCTGAGGAAAAATTCAATGTTACTCTTCCAAATACCAAATTTTATGGAGCTGATCCAATTATTGAGCCAAACCGTCAAATGTACTCTGCATTTGGAAAATTCTTTCCATTCGCTATTGGAAAGCAACCAGGATTCACAAAATTCCGAGTTCTACCTAACCAGAATCAGAAGACTCGCGAGTACGTCTTCCAGGATGTGACAACAATTCCATTTTTATATTTTGTTAATGACATTTTGAAGTTCAAGGTTAGTTTTGCACATTGAAGGTTCAAATCAAATAGTTTCTTGCAGAGAATCGATTTTGCTTGGATTGATATTGAAGGAGGAGAGTTTGAATTCCTCGATCAACTTCATCAGGATGTTACAATTTGTCAATTCAACATTGAAATGCATATGAAGTTCAGACCAGGAGATGGTGCCCAAGTCTTCTCTGAATTCATTTTCAAAGTTCTAGAAAACCAAAAATACGTTTTCCTCAAGTCCACGCACACCGAAGTTGGAGTGCATCGAATGTTCTTCATAAATATTGTGGACAAGGAGTGTTTAGCTAAATTCTTCAACTAGTTTTTAAAAATGTTATTTTGTTGTATCTAGATGAATTTGTATTTACGTAAAATAAATGAATTATAATTTCAACTTGCCGTCCAGACTTGGTGCTCACCGGAGGACACATCCCGGTTTGAAATCAAGATGAAGCATCTAGAGAAATAATTCCATTCTTGTATTCTTGATGCTACTCAGATAGCGCTTTTTTCACCTATCCAAAAATCTCCGGTAGAAAAAAAAAGAAAATCCATTGTTCTTTTCCAATATTCGATTTTCTCTTCTGCCTTTTTAAAATTCAAAATTAGTTCCTCATATCGAAATAAACTTCTTGGCGGAATTCAAGCTCATCTCGGAATGGGATCTTTCTACATTTTTGGTGTCTTCTTAAAATCGCTGCAAACGGACAAAGGAGTTCACAGGATGATATTTATAAATGTAGTGGATAAGGAGTGTCTTTCTAAATTTTTAATTTCCTTCTTTTTTATTCTTTTTTATTTTTAATAATCTCTTTTTCATATAACAAAACGCTTTTAAAGAACGAATTTTATTATACATGTCCATTCGTGCAAATATACAGAACCCGTCGAATCTTTAATTAACACCCTTTCTGGTAACAGTGAATGGGTTCTCAACTGGAATATGTCCAGCCTCTGAGATCACTACATCCTCAATTGGTCTGTCTCCAGCTCCTTTTGGTGTTGCCTCGATCTCTCTAACCACATCCATTCCTTCCAAGATCTTTCCGAATACCACATGCTTTCCATCAAGCCATGAAGTCTTGGCGGTGGTGATGAAGAATTGAGATCCATTGGTATCCTCTCCAGCATTGGCCATTGACAACCATCCTGGTCCGTAATGGGACAGATCAAAGTTCTCATCCTCGAAACGGTCACCATAGATGGATCGACCTCCAGTTCCGTCGCCACGTGTGAAATCTCCTCCTTGAATCATGAAGTTTTCGATGACACGATGGAATTTGCTTCCGACGTAGCCTTCTCCCTAGAAGAAAAGTGCATTTGAAAAGGAATACCGTTAAGATCTTGTTCGGAGGAAACCTGGCGTTTGAAAATTTTTGTCCTTTAAAGATAACATCTAGAAATAGGAAAACTTTGCGCCGAACAAAGCATTATAGGTAGAAAGTATTGAATCTAGATTTGAGGCTAGATATAATATTTTTCTGAAAAAAAATGCTTCAGACACTTGGACCAAACCATAATCTATCTAGACCAACTTGAAAATATTCTCTCACCTCTGGTCTCTGTGCCAACTCGACGAAATTCTTTACAGTTTTTGGCACAACTTCTCCGAATAGTCCGATGACAATTTTTCCAACTGGACGTCCTCCGATTGTCATGTCAAAGTAGACTTTGTCGGTGACACGTGGTCCACGTGCCTCCACTGAAAGGATAATAGCAACGGCTACAAGGAGGAGAGAACGGGTCATCTCTGAAATAATATTTTGGATATTTTGAATAGTTAAGAAGGCGTATGGAAAAAAGAACCAGCTGAAAACCTCAGCAACCAGAAAATCAATAAGTTTCCCGTCTTCTTCTTCTCCAGTTAGCCGGAAAGCGGGAGAGAAAGAAAAGAGTGGACATTTTCGCTTCCCTACATCCTTTTTTATACTTGTGCGTATGTGTGTTTAACGGAGCGTTGAGGAGAGAGGGTCACATATAAAAATTGACCTTGACCTATATTGTTAAAAACACGATAAAAAAGAAGGTAAGACAACACTATGTTTTGATGAGATGATAACATGAAGGTTACTGATAGACCGCATTTGAACATTGAACATACTTTCTTTGCGTCTAAAGTTGGGGACATTTAAAAACATCGCCAATGAAAATTTCGAAAATTTTCAGATTTTTCTCTATTTATCCGAAAAGTTAACTACAGAAGATGAGAGTAACAAAAAGGTTAATTACTAAGATTTCTTACAGAGGAGAGGTCCCGGTCTGAAATTTGAAAGTTATGCCTTGAACAAGAAATTTTAAGACGCATTTGAACTTTGAACATAAATATTTCATTTGTATCTAAAAATAGTATGGGACTTCACGAATAAAAATTTCGGAACTGGTAAAAATCATCATCAGCGAACATGGAATAATCTGGTTTCGAGCTCGATGTGTCGTATCCGAGAACACTTAAAAATGGTGCGACGTCGTCTAATTTTCTCAAAGTATCCTCGCTGAAACAGTCGAACCAAGAAGTCAAGGCTTTTGTGTTGATTGAGTTCTTAACTTGAGACGCGGAGAATTCTTGGCTGAAACCAAAATTGGCTTAATTAGTTGTACAAAGTTTATTACTCATTAAGATCAACTTCCGCTCCAATAAGTTCATGGTGATGAAGCATTTGTTGGGAATACTGTAGGTCTAGAAAATTTGTGATCCGCTGAATTTCTTCCTCCGGTTTTTGTATGAGCCGTTCATAGTAAACTTTGATACACTGGCCCGGAGCATTGTTACATTGGAATAGCATTTTTCGAATTTCCTGATTCCATTTCACAAACATTGATTGCTCATCCGACGTATTATATCCAGCCACTGGAACCTTCCGTTCTATCATACTATGGATTACTGCTCTCGCATCCCGAATCATCAATATAAATTTAGAATTCGGGTACAACCTTTGAATGGTTGGAAGCCAAAGAGCAGTGTATGGATCTTTGTTGCATAGTCTTGGGGCAAGTTCTCCATGCTTTGCGATTATCTGAAACTAGCCTTGACTAGATAATATTCTCTGTAACAACCTCCGTAATAAATGCGGACACTGCATCATCAAAAACTTCTTGGGTTATACCGGAATTATTAACCCAATCTGTCCGCCAGCCGGCTTGCCAAGTAAGGAAGCTTGGAAGGAGCATAGTTTCACCTCCGCTGTAAAAACCAATAAATTATGAAATTTCGGACTGCCCCGTGGGCTGGGGGGAATCCCGATGAAGGCCGATCTACTGTGTCTAGGTAATTCCCCTGAATGCTCACCATCTAACATCCGGATGTGCATCCAAAATTGCTCTCATTAGTGTTGTCCCTGATCTTGGTACCCCTCCTACGAAAATTAGTTGCTCGAAATTAGAAAGCATATTTCTAGAATGTCTTGCATCATTTTCCCCAAAAACTAAAACTTCTTGAGATAAATTTACAGTTTCCAGTTGTCTTTGAAGTTGTTTACTGAATAGTTATAATGAATCAAATATAAACCATTTTTATGGATTACCATTTCATTGAGAAGAAGAGCATGAAAAAAGTTATCAAGCAAAATATAAAGCAATAGAAGAAAAAGCTAAAATGCTGTGAGAATAGTCGTCGGGTGTTGAACATTTTCGCCATGGTAGTTTTTCGAAAAAGGATTTCCGAAAACGGATTATAAATTCAGTTTCAAAGTCATCTGTTTGCACTGTATTTTAATTTTTGGCTAGAAGCAAGCATATTAAACATTGCGATTGAATATAAAATCAGAAGACAACGGATAAATTGCTCCGGGGAATTGTTTGGTTTGTATTAGAGAATTGCTGGAGGATCTCTGAGAAATACTTCTTCGCTTCATCAATGTCTTTTTATCAATTATTGTTGCTGCCATTTTCGGACGAGCTGCCACCTGGATTACGGTCGGACGATTGATGACGACGGGCACTTCGCTGGAAATTACCTGAAAATTTATGTGGGGAGGGAAACACTCAAAAATAACTTTACTATCCAAAAAATATATATTCACATGTATTACAAAAATTCGGGGTCAATGGACCTCAATAGATCGGTGTGTGGGATGCTGGAACATTCACATTTGTCAAAAAAAGAAGTGAAGGGTGATAAAAGTCATAAGGAGCTGATATCGATGGTAGAGTGGTTGCGGCTGTTGTCAGTGGAGACATAGCGAATTTTCTCGTCGAATATCTGGAAAAGTGGAAGCGTGATACAGAAAAATTCTCAAATTTGTCTTTGAATTATAAAATTTCAGACTTAGGTGTTCAGTGAGCAATGAAAAAAACAAACTTTAACATTTCCACCTCCTGGTCGATGATTCATATTATCCTTGGATCCCACTTTACTCTCCGCTTTCCAGTTCAACTTCTGGCTCAGAATCTGAAAATAAGAACAAGCTGAAAAACCACACCAAGGAAAAAGCCAATCGTTTCGGTGCTAGTGTTACCTGAACATTTCCCCCAGTTGGCTTATGAGCAGCGTTATCCATAGATCCAACTTTAGATTTGGCATCCCAGTTCAACTTTTCGGATACAATTTTCACATCAGACTTGGCTGGTTGATAATTGGTTTTGGATCCGACCTTCGGAGAGGCGTAAGAGAAATCAAGTCTTCGATTCTCGATATGAACATTTCCACCACCAGCGACATGGTTTGCGTTTTTCATTGAGCCAACTTTGGATTGGGCTACATATTGCTGAAAAATTCTGAAATAGAATGACAATTCTACAAGTTAACGACTCACTCTTTTCTCTGAGAAAATCTCCACATTTCCTCCTCCTGCCTTATGATTGGTCACACTTCCCACTTTACTTTTTACATTCACAAATTTGGCATTTACTTTTGGAGTGAACTTTCCGACATTATCAATGCTCCGAGTAGATGTTGACTTCTGAACATCCGAACGTTCTCGTGACATTTTTCTGAAAATTTGAATACTTTTAAGAGATAGAAGCTTCTGAATATCACTATAATATCATACTATGTGTATATGTTTCAATACAAAACAATTTAACTCGAGAAATGTGAGGAAATCGAGAAAAAAGAAGAGAAAAATGTGAGGAAATGGAAGGGTTTGGACAATAAAGGAAGCAATTATATAGAATAAGCAGACGGGTGCCTATGGGCACACCTTCTGAATACAATTGCTGTCGGGATACAATTTCTGATTTCCAGGGAATATAATGAAGGCTTTAAAATTTTTGTTATTGCTAGTGGTTCTTTTTTAATTCTAATGTTTATCTCAGTGGATTTTTATCTCAGTGGATCAGCCAGGAAATTGTCAATTCTGGTGTTTAGGTACTTTTAGTTACACATAGAGCACATGTCTTCAAAGTGACAATCATGATTGTTGAAATAACTTTTTTTCATTAGTGAAACTCAGTAAACTTACGATATGGGTCTTGGTGATGGAGCAGTTGAAGCTGTCTGTCTGGGTGTACTAATAGTACGGGGAGTATGAGAAGTTGCCACAGTGGAGGGTCTGCAAAAAAAGAAATGCTAAATAAAAGATCAGTGGTCACTAGGAGCTCATTTTCAAAACTTTGGTTCAAAATACACAGTCCTCACTTTATACTTTTAAAGTATTTCGTTTTATAAAAGTTTTCGAAAAATCGCTCACCTTGGGATAGACGCGGTGGGTGCTGGAGGTTTGGGTTGCCTCAAAACCACATTTGGTGGTCGGATTCCAGATCTGACAGGTGTCTTCTGTGCCACTGGAACTGGACTAATCTGCTTCTTGTCTTCCACAGTCTCATTCTCATTGTTCTGCATGATTCTATTATGACGCTCAGTTGGTGACATCTCGGATTCAGAAAATTTGAGAGATTCCAGCTCACTAGACGCTATGTCGTCCATGATGGGTGGGTCGGGTATAGGACTTTGAGATTCTGTTCTTGGACTGGTGATTTTTTCTTCTTGGACTTGTTTCAGAATTTGTTCCTCAACTGGTGAGTTTTCTGGTTGAGGAGTACACGATTTTCCAGTAGGCTCGGATGGTGGACTTGGGATAGTGGCTTCTTCTTCTTCTTGCGGAGTTGGAACTAAATTTGTATTTTTCACTAATTACATTTTTTATAGTATTACTCACCAATTACCAATTCCTCTTCTTCTTCTTCTTTTTCTTGTGTGACTTCTTCTGATTCAACTACCTCCTGAATCTCTGTAACCGGCGTTGGTTCTCTTTCTAGTTCCGATTCTGGAACTTCAGGCTCTGATTCCTCTGGAGTAGTCAAATGTTGTTCCTGAATACGTTATTTTATGTAGAAACTTGAGACAAGCGCAATTCAAAAAAAAAGCATGACGACAAAAAAGAGGCAAATTCAGAAAAGTTCAAAGAAAGCGTGTCACAAAAAGCAAATAGAAGAATTCTGTTTTCTACAGTGTGAAATGTAACACTAGGGGTGTATTCATGTAGAAAAATGTGAGGAAGGATAAATGGTAAATGTGCCATATAAATGTGTCCTTCGCGAGATTTGGGGTCAACAAAAAAAGCGGAAAGGGATCAAAAGGGACAAGGATTAAGAGATCCAAAATTCTGCTCCTTTGTTTTTTGGCTCTATGAACCACGATACCACGTGTGGCTCACTAGTTAGTATTCTATTTGAGATGAGAGGAGGAAATGAAGAAATAGTAGTGAATAATGTACAAACACACAAAGACAACCGCACTGTGAAATTGAATACTTTTATTTTTCTTCTTCTTTTAGGGGGTCTACCAAAAAGAAGGGCTAGGGGGGATTTTGTGTATCCTTTTGTTCTTCTGTTACTAATGGAATTTAATAGTACAGTTACCTTAAATAGACTTATGGTTTTTTTTTGTGATATATTAACCAGGAACGAAAAAAAAACTAAAAATAAAAGAAAAAACTGGCTTCTGGAAGGGGCGAAAAAGAGTGATAGAGTAAGTATCCATAAAAATTTAGCGTTTTTTTCTTCGTTTTTTCCTAGCTGCTACGCTAACGAAAAGCGAGAAAAAAGTGTGTGTATTTGTATTTGGAATAGTGTTTTGTTGCCGAAAAAATACAAACAAATAGTGAGAGGAACTACCTGTGAGGGGACAATAAGCTAAAGAAACACAGCCACTCAAAAACGCAAATGAAAAGGGAAAACATATTATAACGGCGATTTTTTGGAAGATGTTGGTAACTTTTTGATCTGACTTATTGTCTGAAATGTTTTGAAAACGAACTGGAAATCCACAAATTAGGAAAGTTTAAAAGGTTTGAAGTCGTCTCCTAATCAAACCTAACTGGAAAACATTTGAGCTTAATGACCTAAAAACCTAGAAATGCTCCAAAAATCCTTTAAAAATCCAACAACCTCGAAATCCTCAAAACCACTAATTGCATAAATAGCCAGATATATTTTCTATAAACTCTCAAACCACAAACTTCTCAAAACCCACTAAAGCCTCATCCATTGAAAACTCATTCACGATTTTAAATTTCGGTGTATGTGTGTAAGTCTCTCTATGTACGTCCGTTTTTCTCCCTTTCGAAGATGATTACTGTTGTCGGACAAAAAAGAAGGACACCCCTATTCGTGTCTAATTCTCTCTAAAACTTATACTATTTCTCTTAAGGAAGACACTCAATTCATCCTCTTCCAAAGAGGACGACGTCGGTGGGATTCTCTAATTCGAAATGTGAAGAATAGAGAATGAAGTGTGTCTTTTGACAGTCTGGTTAACCCTGGTAAAACCACAGGTCCATAGGAAAAAAACAACCGATCACACCGACTAGATGCTCTTTCTCAAACTGGGTCGAAATTCAAACAACTCAAATAGAGTGAACTAAAGAGAAAACCGATGATCTGATTTTTTTTGCCTTCTTTCCTGTCTTTCTTATGTCAATAAATCAAGGAGAAGCGGGTAGGAAAAGGAGAAAACGAGAATTAGACACCAAAAAATGGCTAATATCTCAGCAGATGGTAGGTAAAAAGTTGAGGCCAGGTGATGTTTACCAATAGTAATAAAATGAAAAAAATTGTGTAAGATGGATGGTCAATGTTAAGAGAGGAGTTAGTCAGGCGTGCTTAATTTGGGAATAAGTGGCCTGATAGGGATTTTCGAGGTTTCGATGTCCTGTCAGAAAGCTAGAGGTACCAGACGTAGAAGTTAACAATCAAGAAGGCAGTTATAGTACCGCCCATAAAATTTAAAAAAAAAGAAAAAAAAGGAAAAGAACATTTGGTTTTGAGTTCTCCAAAGGTAAGAATATAAGACGCAGTTTTTTGTTTTTAGTACAGCTTCAAGGTTCTGAAATGAGATTCATAAGTTTTAATGGTACCGTATCTAGCTTCAAAAAACTAAAGTTAGGACCTCTTGACCACAAGGAACTAGAGAAAAAAGAACGGATAACCCGGCTAAGAGGGAAAAATAAGTGAGGGATAAGGGAGATAAGAAGAGAATGGAAACATTATGAGAACCACACAAACAACAACTAATTCTCCCTCTCTTTCTATGTTTTTCATCTCACAGACCGCCCATTAGACATCACCCATCCCTCATTTTGTTCCGTTTTGTGAGAAGAAGGCGTTCTCATGGATATATTCCACTAATCAAACGAAAAGAGGAGAAGTCGACGTCTTCCGGTTCAAGGACGGCGTCTTCTAATTGAGTAGATTCCAAATCTTCCAAAACTGGGATTTCATTGAAGCCAAAAAACCAAACAGAAACTGGAAATGTTGTATTTAACTAGAAAACAATTCAAATTTAAATTTTTAATGAAATCAAAACCCATGAACCCACTTATGAAAGTGACATGTGCATTGGCAGATTGCCAATTTCCAAAAGAGTGACAAATGAGAATCGGGGAAGGAAGGAGGAGGATGAAAAGAGAGATTTAATGAGGGGAATTGAAATATTTGTCTTTTCCATTTTGACCAGTCAAATGCAAAAAGCAGTAGCTGCGAAAAAGCCACCACACACAAAAGGGAGGACTTCACTCATATACGGCTGAGCACATATCGAGATTTACCAATTGATCCTGCCTTGTTGGATCTGAATTCTCATCTTCTTCAGAATTATGGGATTCAGCAAATTCAGATTCCGGAGTTGACATCTGAAATTTTTGATTTCATAGGAACAGTGAAAAATGTAGCGGTAAGAGTTAGATTTGAGTTGAAGACGAGTTGTAACACATTTTAAAAAATACATATTTTTTTCAGTTAAAAATTTTTCAATGAATTAACGCTCCGGAAAAAAACTGGATCCATTTAGAACCTAAAATTTTTGAAGAGGATGGGGGATAGGTAAGCAAACAGTGCTTGCTTGCCAACGTAAGTGATCGGAAAGAAAGGGGTGTCATTAAAAATTCAATATTTGCTAATGGATGTTATAATCTACACCAGGTGGTAGATAGGTTTCTGATGGAACAGTGTGCAAAGACTTACAATGTACTAACTGATTTTTGACGACAATGTTCTTTGTACTGATAGTGCGAAATAAAGGAACCTATCATTGCGAGAAAAAACAGTAAAACCTGTAATAGAAGTGCACCTTTAATAGAATGACCTCTCAAATAGAAGGGTCCTCCGGGAGAGGTTGGAAACATAGAAGGTCCCCTTCAAAATGTGTTTTTAAGATAAAAAATATTCGTACGTATACATAAGAAAATATTGAACTTTGAACCAAAATTCGCCGAATGTCCAGATGATAAATGTGGCCGGAAACATAAAAGCGCCCCTCTAATTGAAGGGCCCTGGAAGGGCCCTCCGTAGGTATTTTACAACAATAAAAGGGCCGGCCATTACAGGTCTTACGGTATTTAAGACCTAATAACGGCTAGACAAGGAACCATTCAACTGAAAAAGATCCTTGGTAATGGGGCACAGAACCCAATGAAAAAATTCGAAAGAAGTCATGTAAATGGAAACAATTTTCGAGAAATCTCAAGAAATTTTTGAATTATAAAACACTTTTTAAAATGCTAGATCACCAAACCAGTAGAGAAAAAAGCGCTAAAAAGAATCATCTTTCCTTGCTCCATATTTCATGAAAATTCCGTGTTGTATATCCACCCATCTCTCACTCTTCATCAGAAAAGACGTCAAGCTTTTTTCTCGTTGTCGTCTTCGTTTTTCCCATGATCTAGTATTTTCGGAGAAAAAAAAAGAGTGTGTGGGGAAAAAACGAGGAGACTCTCTAAAAATATGCACAAATCAATGAGTGAGACGAGAAAAGGAAAAAAGCAGCAAGAAGAAAAAAAGGAATACGAAGTTCTGGTTCTTTTCACTTCTACTTCTTCTATCTTTCAAAAGGCAAACGAATAGAGAATGTGCTCAGAATATATGAAGAAGTAGGAGGAATAGTGTATAGAGAGGGACCCTTTTTGCATATAGGGTACCTTTGTGGAAATACAAATGAGTTGGCTGACGGGAGAGAGATGGGAAGAGAAGAAAGAGTTAAAGGAAAAAGGAAATGAGAAAAGATTGAGTGGAAAAAGGAAGAGTAGTCTACTATGCCTCTTGAACGGATAGAATATTGCTTTATATGGCACAACGAGAAAATATATTGAGCAGGCTTGACAAACGTAGCTTGATGTTTTTAGATTTTCAAAAAGCCCGAGGTCGTACTATTCGAAAGGTATAAATATTAGACATTTTAGCTGAAGCAATAAAAACTACTTGATGTTTTAGTTGATTTTCGGTCATTTTGCCATTATTAAAAATTCTGTGATTGAAAAGTTTTTTAATCTAGGTCTGTTTTACACCCTCCTAATTTTTCAATTTGATGGGAAGCTTGATAGCCGAGCTCTAGACTTCTGAAAATGTCCAAACTATTTTTATATTTTCTCTAATCTAGACCATCTGGCTCCTAAACTCTAAATACTCATAAGACTAATACTTATGAGTTTCGTAACATATTCTGATTGTGATGGATGGGGTATAACGAAAAGAGGGAAATACGAAGAAGAAGAAGACACACCCATTTCTTTTTAAGACACCAAAAAAGTAACAAAAAGGCAGGGAAACTGAACAAGAAGACGAGAATAGAGGCGTTTTCAAGATAGTGAGAATAAATAGAAATAAGGTGTGAAAATGTTATTCTGATAGGAGACAATATTTGTCTAATTATGTCATGAACAAAATCACAAGAAGAAAAAATGGTTCTACAGAAAAATACTCCATCTCAAAAAATATCTAACTTTAAACCAAAAAACACTTGGACAAAAAATGGATGGCCATCTCAAAAATACATGCATCTCTCATTATTTTTGCATGTGTTTCTCCCTAAGCTCTTTTTTTACCACGAGCATCCCTTCACATTTTTCATCCATTTCTAATTGTTCTGGTTGTTCGGGAGTGATGATAGTCGGCTTTCTTATAGATGAGTCTGTTAGAGGTCCATAGAAAAAACTGGGATGGAGATTTGAAGAATAGTGAGGTATCTGAAAACGGGATCTTGGAGAAAGAAGGTCTTTTTTTTAAAATGCAAAAATGCTGACATGTGTCATTTTTCTTATCGGCCTAATCTTAATTTACTTTGCTTTTTTTTTGAAGAAGAGGTTTTTTCAGAATTTTTAGAAACTAAGCTCTGAAACAATATTTTCAGCATTCTGATACGATTTCCATGTTAACTTGATTAATTTATTTTTGAATAATAACAGGGTTTACAACTTAGCGTGTTGAGAATACCGTGAACACTCTAATAAAACGTCACCCGGACCGTCTACTGTGGGCTGATTTATCTCACTTCTTTTGAAAGATATCAAAAAGTTGTCAACTAATAAAATGTTTATCATGATATCAGCAACATTTTATAAGTGAATCACTTTTTGATATCTTTCACAGAAAATAAGATACAGAAACTCAAATTTGAAGATTCGGGGGGCGTTCTATTAGAGTGTTTACGGTACTTTAACTTAAATTATCTAAATTTTATTTGCGTTTTAAAAAGTATGCTAACTGACGAAATTTTTGTCACAATATCAACAACATTTTAACTGTTGACCCTTTTTTGATATCTCTTATAGAAATGGAGCTAACTGAGCCCAAAGTTAAAGTATAGGGTAACCTTTTAATAGAGTGTTTACGGTAAGTGTCCCAAAATACACTTTTGGGGAGTTTGAAAACGAAATATCATGAATATTTATTATCGGTATATGGAGTGCAGTATATAAAATTCCGGAACATGGTTTTATTAACAATTCTTTATTTCTTTTTAAATTAAAACATTAAGAATCTGACAGGACAAAAACAGGACAAACAGCAAGTTATATTTATTACTCAAGTCGATCAATCAAACGAAGCGGACTCGCGTTTGGCATTGCCAAGTTGCCTGAAAAATTCAATAAATTAAAATTTCTTGAATAATGTGGAACATAGCCACCATCGGCCAAATCAACTGGAGGGGAAACTGCTAAACTTTTGCATGTTGCGAATTTTGAAAAAAGCAAGTTAGCAATTTGCTACTTGTATCTTAAGAATGTGATACTATTTTGTATGAAACAAGAAGATTAAGAAAAAGCAAATATGATCCTACTACAGTAATCCCTAATCTTTGACAGCTTACTTATAAAGCCCATAAAACTGATTCCTCTTTCCAACCATACGGAATGGCGAGAAGAATACTGATGGAACGTCGCTGCGGACTTGCTGAAATATATTCTCACTCAACTTCCAGACATTTGAATAATTAACTCACTCTCTCTGGAACCTCATAGTCCAGAGTGTACGCATTGCTGACACAAATGACAGTAGCCAAAAGGAAGAAGCACATCAAGAATCCGCGAATCATTTTTGAAAGGATGAACTCTGAAACTAAAAGTAGGAAGTTAGGAAAGAAAAATGGTTTTTTCATATGAGAGCACAATGGACAAGTACTAATCTCTCAAAAATGGGATGTGACACAAAAAATGAAAAAAAGGAAAGGCGGGGAGAAGAAAGATTCAAATACCAGTACACTTCACTGAGTGCTCGTTTTATGCCCCCTACTCTTCGGTTTTTTCAAAAGTGATTTCATCACACTTCGGCAATTTTTCAACGGAAGTATGAGAAATGAAATGTAGAGAGGGCGGAATTTTATTTGAATGGTGTAGGCCTGTGGGTGGGTCAGATGTATACGGATTTAGAACGGCCTGTCGTGATTTTTAGTCATATTTATATCTTGTGAGAAAGGTGGGCGGGAGGCGTTTTCTATTCTTTAACTCTAATTTTATTTGGGTCAATGTATTTTCGGAATGTGACTTGGGTACTGAGAAATTGGCAAGTTATGGGAATATCATGCGCTAAAACCAACAAACAGATTTTCGTGATTTGGGTATTTTTCGTCTATGAGTGTTCTGAAAAAAAGACGCGCGCTTCTGAAAACTTTTGAAGCTCAAAGCTTACGGGACCACACAACCAACGTTCATTGGATTTCCGGTCTACCGGAACTTGGTGGTACTCGACATGAGTCATGTGAACGACCAGTCTTCAGCAATGCATAATTTTAGATGCCGGATTCTAGAACCCAGAAATTGAATGAAATGGGAAATTCCCAAAACAGGTCCTTTTACTCATAGAAGCTAAATAACAACTGGTCACGCCTTCAGGATTCTCAGAAGGCGTCACGCTTCTTTAGGTCACCAGATTTATGAAAGATGACGTCGGAACTCCGTTCTCGGACATCTAGAAGAAAACAACTCTAGAAAATTTTTGAAAAGGTTCATAACTGAATTTCCAACTACTACTGATACACATGAAGTATTTTGACGCCCAAAAAAAACGCCAGGAGGTTCTTACGAAAAATTAAAAATCCTAGGAAAAGCAGTGACATCGAAAATGGGAAAAAATGTCTGTTTTGTTTGTCTCGGGTTTCTTTTTTTTGTAATCGAAAATTGATGAAACTGGATGTACAAAAATGAGGAGAAAAAAGTAAATGACACATTAAAGGAAGAAAAATATGGAAGTGGGATATGAGAAATGCATAACTGGTGGTGTGGAATTTTAATGACGCTGTTTTTCGCACAGAAAAATTAGTCATGAGAAATTTTTATGATGTATACTGATCTGGAGAGCTTAGAGTTGAAGAAGAAAAAGGAGAAAATGGAAATTATAAAGATATCGCTGGAAATACTAGGACTCCGGACAATTCAAATTGAAAAAAAAAACACATACAGTTCCGGTCAATAAGACATACAACACCCCAGTTTTCAATTGAATTTCGGCCATTTCGAACCTATTCAAGAGTTTGGATCTCGACTGTCAAGGTTCAGATCACTGAAAATTTTGGAGTCTAAAATAGATTGGAAACTTTGCACTTACAGATTTTGTTGAAAATTGCTAACTTTTCAGCTTATTTTGATAAAATGGTCATCATATTATTGCCAACATTTTATTAATTGACAAAATTTTGACATCTGTAATAGAGACCGAGATAATTGACACTTAAAACAGATCTAGATTGGAACCTTTGCAATCACAGATTTTTTTGATAATCCCTTTTTATTTTCGATTTCAGAAAGACACCTGTTTTCTCACATTTTCAGTACAAAAGCCGGCTAAATAGATGTGTCTTTTAGAAATCGCCAAATAGCTGAAAACTAGCAATTTTCAAAAATTATGCGATTGGAACTTGACAGCCGAGCTCAGACTTGGAAATGGTCAAAATAATCAGGAATGTTGGTTCTTATTGCCCGGTATTGTGTACATGGTTATTGAAATGAATGTTACATCGTTTAGATTTTGAGAATATAAAAATCTCAGTTTCATAAGATATCAAAAAGTTAAAGTCTGGAATCTGAAAATCTATCTATTTATGTTCTCAGAACCACAAGAGATTTAAGGATTGTGTTTCATTATGACTTCCAAGTTTCATCACACAACAGTCTTCACAACTTTCAGATCCATAAAGTTACGTTCCGATTGAGAATTCGTTGGAGATCTTTCGAGAGCCCTCTAGAAATCAAAACTCAAGAACATTCACGTGATCTTCCACACCCATTTTTTTGGTTTCCTGTGATCTCGGAGATTCTATCGATGAACACGATGTTCGTGGTGTGTTACAACACAGACTCTCCTCTTAAACGGAGGGCGTCCTTTTGATCCGCGAAACTCGTTCGCACTTCTCCATTTTCTCTCCATTTTCGCTGCTTTTTTGGCTGTTTCTCCCCCTGTATTACGCAATTAGGATACGCGGCAATACGCGCCGCCCGTTTGCCACCAACAACAATAGATGTTTCTTTAAGTACTCTAAAGCGTGTCGCCTTGCCAACTGACCATTTTTATTTTCCAGTTTCAGATTGAAAACGATGTATGAGAAGATGAAGTTGGGGAAAGATCGCTTTGTGAGTAGCAACATGAAGTAACTTTGGTAGTTTAATATTTTCAATTTTGCTCAAATTCAAACTGTCAAACTTATTCAACTGAAACTGTGTTCAATTTGTCTTCATAATCGTTTCGAGAAAACGAATTGTATTTGATTATGTATTTTTTAAAAATCATATTACAGTATCTTGCCATTCCCATTACCTGGGATAAGTGTAGCACAAAATGAAGTTTCTAGTGTAAACAATCATATCCTTATTGTCCCTTATAATTTTGTATGACATCTATAAAAATGTACTACACTTGCTTTATCAGTTGGCAGCTTTTTTGGGTCAAAATTAAATTAATCCGCCTTCGGATCCCAATCTACCAAAGTCTATAGAGTCTATATATACCAAAGTCTATAATTTCGTCTATCTTGCAAATCTAATCAGATTAAATTACATATTCCAGAACAATAACAAAAACAAACAATTTATCACATGGCTGATTAAATTAGCGTTAACGGGAGTTAATTTGTATAATCTGGAATTCAGATGACAACTAGTCTTAAGGATTTTTTAAGATGACTACTTCAATAAATGAAGAATAAAAAAAAAGAAGTTTTAGAGCTTAAAATGTATTACGTTCAATAAAAAGAAACTGAAAGTCTATGAGCAATGAAGCAGAGTTTTTTTTCGTTTCCACTATCACTGTTTCAAGTATCCGCGTCTGTGACAGAATACTAGTTGCCCCAACCTATTCGAAAACGATTCCATTTATTCCCCGATCCATGAGAAGGCCAATTCTCCGCGCCTCTTACGCAATCATCCGCCAATCCCTTCGTAATTTCCCATTCTCTTACATCTATTTTTTCCGCGTTTCCATTTCTTTCCCTTTTCTGCTTTCTCTCTCTGTCTCTTTTTTCTGATTCCTCTTCTGCTTCCTCCGATACAGTGCCCAAATTGTCAGCTGGTCACATCTTCATACCAACCAGTTCTCTATTTCTCTACATCTCCATAGGTCTCCCTTTGGGCTTTTCCCTAAAGCGAAGGACATGGTTTTCGAAACAAACCGTATCCTATTTCATGTGTCATCTTTTTTTTTCTATTGCATTGCCCTTTTTGAAAATTTCCAAGAATTTCTGGAGCCAAGAAAGTTCCATGTTTAGGTTTAGATTTCTATAGGTTTAGATGTTTGGCAATTCTAATTTTGCATTCAAACAATGATAAAATTGGAAAATTATACTTCACCAGTCATCTGCTTGCCGCGAATCCGGCGCTCCAATCATCTGGCTGGTGCGCCTTCGGCGCGATTAAATCTAGTGTTTTACTGGTTGAAAATTTCAGATAATCCCAAGAAAAACTAATGCTCCATTTCCTTGCTTACATTATTTAGAGCGTTCAAGCTTTCCAACCTAGACGGGGTAGAAGACGTTAGTATAAGTCTGACAAAATCGTTGCAACATTTTCGCAGAATTCAAAAAATAGTATCATCTGGATTTTGTAACACAAACGTTCCTCTCTGAAAATTTTACACCTTTGCAGAACGCACAAAAAACTACCTCCAATCTATTTCGTCACCTATTCCACTTTGTGCCCTTTGATCATCATCATCACTTCTTTTTTAAGCATCATTATTACACTTATCTCTTCATCATCATCATTTTTTATCCCAATCAGAACACACCGTGGCCTAATCGGCTAAAGTACCTCATTTACCATCACATGGCTTCCTTCTGCTTATAGACAAGCCGTCACACGATGTATATATTACAGAGAGATTTGTTGCCAACTTCTAGATGCTTCTTTTTTCAGATAGTCATGTATTCAGTCTTTTAAAAAAATTAAACTTTTCTAGATAATTTTTTCATTTAGCTACCATTAACTTTTAACTCTGAGCCAATTTTTCCGGGTTCCTGTCCAAGATATGGAAGAGTAATCAACTGATAAACTGTTTATGATAACATCAGAAGAGTTTTTTATAGTTAACACACTTTATATCTATCATAGAAATCGAATAAAATCAGCTTAAACTTGACAGTGTGGAGGTCTTTCTATCACAGGTTTCACAGTAAGCCATTTTTCGACTGCTCTGTTCTCTTTATTCCAGTTTTGTACCTCTTACCTATAACTTGTTATCAAAACTAAATCATCACCCTCTTCAAAATTTTCTCAATTATTTTTTAGATCCAATTTCAAAAATGCAAGCAAAACTGTTTATGATCCCTTGGCTCATCGAGCTCGTCTATTCACAACGAATAGTTCCTCCAGCCACAAATCCAGCGGCACCTCCAGTTTTGGTAAGTCTTCCCTATTTTCAATGACGTCACCTGATCCTCTTCGTCTGATATATCATATCTGGTTCAATAAAAATCTTAAGGTCACGAGAGGTCTTGTGGGAGATTGCGAAACTGTTATAGGCATAAATCTACATATCTTTAGAATAGAAATCCGGTTCGTAAATTCTGATATTGGAAATTATGTTTAGAAATCGTACATATTTCGTCGTAGGAGTGTTCTATGAAAAATACCAGAAATTAAATTTTCAGACCAACGACCTTCTAGTAGACGCCCACCGTCGGCACTTTCTGGAAATGCTCAGAAGGCAACAGCAAATAAATGATGCTCTTCTTCTCAACAATGCACTCTTGCATCCTCTTCCACCACTTCATATTCCAACAAATCCAACCGAGCCACTACTTCCACCTGCTCCGCAACTTTTCAATCCATTTGCTCCCGCCACGAGTCGTAAGAACAAATTAGACCGTATAAACAACAACTAACATTTTTTAGAAGGCTCCACCAGCAAATTAGGAACATATGGAAAGGAAGAGGAACCGGAGAAGAAAGAAACGGACGAGGTAAACTCGTCTGTTGAGAAAGACGGAACTGTTGAAAGCCCTCAAAGAACCGACGTGGTTAAGAAGACGTTGGCAGGAGTGAAAACTGTATCAATTCAAAAGAAAGCAAGCGTGGCATCAGATAGTGTTGTAGAGAGCGACATTCGTCCCATTCCTCCAACAACAACCACGATTTCGCCAGAAGATCTTGAAGTCGTTCAGTTGTTCAAAAAGTTGAATTTGAGTAAAGAAGAAACGAAAAGCATAGTTGAGAGGGTCGAGCAGGTAGTCAGAGAAAAACTGATGAGTAAGAAGTTGGAGCAAGAAACGACGACTACCACAGAGGCAACGACGACAACTTCTACCACCACCACAACTAAAGCTCCTACGACTACTACCACACTAGAAACAACAACTTCTACTACAGAGGCTCCTGTGACTACTACAGAGCCATCAGTGGTCACAGAGGAGTATGTTGAAGAGGAGGATTATGTACCACCGACTTCTTCACCACCGTGAGTTTGGAAAATTTTAAAATTTTGAATATTCATTAAACGTTTCAGACCTCAAATGCACATCAGAAGTGGAGAAACCATCAATAACCTAGTGCTTCTCCAACGCAATAACCTCAAACACCATCCTATTAGAATCCAGGAGAAGAAAATCCCAGAGCCATTGGAATCTGAAGAAATCTCTCAAGGATCTGTCAAGACCTCGCTCACTCATCTCCCAATATTTGTGGCCAATGAAGAAGAAGAAAATGGGGACGCTCAGAGTTTGAAATCATCACTTCATAAGAGAATTCTGATTGCTTCAAAAGATAGAGAGAAAGAGAATGAGAAAGATTTGTTAGTGGATTTTGCAACTGGTGCTCCGTTGGATCTAACGGATGTGGAGGTTAAAACTAAGAATCCAGAAGCGCTCCCAGCTGCCACGTCATCAGTATATTCTACATTGCCAACAGTGACAAGTAGGCCCGTTGCTCCACCAAGGCTCAATTATGTAAGAACCTTTTGAAATCTATAAATTATTATTCCCTAAAAATATTCCAGCACGAAAGAACCGATTTTGAGCGCTTGGCATCTGACTATCAACGTAGACTGGAGCACGCTGGAGACATTAACAAGATCCTTCAGAAAATATCAGAAAATGCATATATCTCATTAGGTAATATTTCTAAAATTCAATTGACCTAATTTTTTCTATATTTCAGTAGAACGTGGTGGTCGTCGAAGGCTGTTCGGAAACTGAACTCTTCTTTTTTTCCTGAAATATAATTTATTTTTTATTATTCCTTGTTTGTATATATCTCTCAACATTGCAATCTCCAATTTTTGACCTAATTTATTGAATGAATAGTTTTGAAAACACAATTATTTACGTACGTAACCCCTTTTAGATTTCATAAATCGATAATCAACCAAAATCGAAAAATCAGTCAGTAGTAAAAGTCTCTTTTCTATATCTCTCTCGTCTTCTTGAATTTTCAATCAACTCTCTCCGGGCGATAAAAAATGATAGCAGCTCCGATGGTCGCCGCTCCAGTTGTGGCCGCTCCAATGGTTCAACCGGTAATGGTCGCCCAACCACAGTAAGTTTTTTTCCTGTAACCCACAATTTCATATTCCCAATTTTTTTAGACCATCCACTGTGGTCGTCTCCAACAACGGAAACAAAAATGACGAGTAAGAAACTTTCGATTTAAAAATTGATAATTAGAACATCAAATTTTTCAGCTGCTGCTGTTGCTGCTGCATGTGCTAACATCCGTCCAGAAACTTGGTCTCATTCTCTTCTTCTTCATTGGCCAAACATTCGTAAATCACAACTCTTCTCATCGAACTTCTCGACTCTGTCAATCATTTGAACTCTCTGTGTTTAATGAACGAAAAAAAAAATAAAATTTTCTGTTTAAAAATGTTTTAAGAACTTCTGAATTCAAGACCTGGTTTTTATGTGACTTTACAGCCTCTGGGCGCTTCAAACGTCTGCTTGGCGCACCTACGGCGCGAGAGTTTTTCAGGCTTGCCAACCCCAAAAATTTCATTGTAGATCAATTTTGGTTTGACGGGTTTTTCTTGTGGGAAACGTATCACTTGATTTATTTTTTTCCTTTTTTGTAGAATCATTAAAAACTCTTGAATTCAAGGTCTGGTTGTCATGTGACTATTAGAACATATAATGAAATATCAACAGGTCATATTTGCATTTCCAAAAATGTGCTAGTCCATTAGCAAAGTCTCACACAGAAAAAAAATCGGCAACATTCCCTCTTCCAACTTTTCTTTTTTAACCCAACAAAAAATTCCATGCACATTGCTCATGCTTCTTCTCCTCAACCACCTATGACTATGTTTGCCGTTCTGCTCAGCGGTCCGGTTGCGTTGTCAAGCAGGTAGGAAGAGGAAAAAAGCAACTAACAGATGCTTGGCTTCTCCGAAAAATGCCACAGGGGTTCTGTCGGAGGAAAAGAAACTTTTCAAGTCATTTTTTGTTTCTTGTCTTCTGTTAGAAAGTTTATAGAGTTATTTCTTTATTCTAGTTAGTAGTGATAGGTAAAAAAGGGGAAATTTTACTTTGAGGTAATATATCTCAGCTCCTGTAAAAGATATCAGAAAGGGTTCAACTGACAAAATAGTTTTAATATTAATATATATATTTTGTCTGTTGATGACTTTTCAATTTCTTTGACAGGGACTGAGATATGTGAGCTCAAAGTTAACGGATCGGGTGGCTTTCTGTTATAGTGTTGAAGGTATGCTCAGGAACTTGGAAATTATGAACTACAATATCAAAATCCCAGAATACATTTTTGTCTGAAACTACCCATTTTTACTACAAAAATGAAACTCTTTTTGTTTTCTATGATTTTGAAAGTTTCAGAATTGGTTGAAACATTTTTGACCCAGTTTTTCGCACTCTGAAGTTTGATCTACCAAAAATTGCAAAAAAAATTGTTTCATAATTCTCCGGAACGTCATTTCTCCATCAACAAGAACGGTAAAAAATGAATCATCACCCACTTCAATTATTATCATTACCAATACAAAAAAGACTAGCCACGTCATCCCCTGACCAACGGTAGAAAATGTGCCAAAAGTGTCGTCTTCTGTCCTAGTTTTCCCTAGTTTTCTTTGTTATATGTCTTTATTGAATAGTAATTCGAGAGTGTGCCATGGGGGTCTCCTATGAGCATACAAAGAGCAAATAGTAAGGCAAAAACTCTTCCGATTCACATTTTTTGCTTCAGTTTCTCTGTGTTTGGTATTTGCCGCGCGTATGTGGCCGCGAGACAGTCAACGCTTCCTAGTTTCCGCGCGGTTTGCACAGATATGGTTTTTGTTTTTTGTAGATCATTTACTTTTGGCTGTTTGAAATTTTCTGGAGGCTTTTCTCACAATCTAAATATTTTCCTTCGATTCTAAATCCTAAACGCTGACATCCTAAGCTATCCAACTTTTTTGTCTTCAAAGTATCCAGAATACCGGCTGACACCTTCTCTAGCAACTTCAACTTTTTCATCTTTCTCTCTTTTTTCTTGTCTTTTCGGAATAATTTTCCAATTCAAATAGGTGGAGGGGCTATGAGAAAAAGGAAAATGCGCCGGAGGGAAAAGACAGCACCTCAATTTAGGCCTCATGTCTGAAGGAAAAAGACAGTTCTTGCATTCTGTTTTACTATTCGTTACTATTCCTTTTTTTGAGATTCAGTTCCAAGCTCAATTTGAATCTGTTAACTTCAAATTCTCTGAAATCTTGAAAGATTTCAAAGTTCCTTTATTTTTCTCCTAAAATTATACCTCGACACTATCTGCTCTAGTATTTTTATTCATGTTGATTTTCCAGAAACGTATTACGAAATTTAACTCGAAACTGAAAAACGTAACTAACCATATATGGAAAAGGGCAAAGAAGACAACAAGGAGAAGGAAGGGAGCAGCAAGAAAGATGAGGAAGGTGAGAATTCTTTTTATTCTAAGGTACAAAAACGATACCAATAAATACAATTTTGTTTTTGTCGGATAGATTCAGAAGGTATCAAACAACAGATACAGGAAATAACCATTCTTGAGGAAAAAAAGATACGAGCTGCAAAAGGTTATTTGCATGAACCGGGCTCTAGTGGGCCTTTGCGGTCCTTGTCATAGTTACAGAATAAATATTTTTGGACCAACTCAACTAGAAAAGATAGAACTCGGCAAGCTCTACAAAAAATGATTTGGAAAACTGTATCCTGTCTATGAACTAACGTTACAGGCCATAAAGTAACTGACCCGGGCCCTGCTCTGTTTTTTTTTGGTCTGTTTTGTCTGTAAAATTGTTCGTAGACAAGATACATTTTTTGAAATCATTTTGTAGTACTCGTCGAGTTTTATATCTCATAGTCAAAAAATATTGGTCCTGGAGGAAGCTATCATAGAGCCGCCGAAGGCTCGCCAGGGCCCGGTTTAGAAGTATGCTTAAACCCATAAATTAGAAACTGTCCAAAATCCAAAAATCTCTGATGATTCATGATTCTCAATTACGCCCTTCTCATCATCATATTTATCTTCGTTTCTCGGTGCGCGGTAACCCTTACCTCTTCTCCCGACCATCTCCCCTTCTCCATTTCGCTTTCAATACCACAATTCTTCGTCTCCTAGTCTACCTTCTTTTTCTCTCAAACAACCAAAACAATTTTGTCCATCTCTTCTCTCTGTCTCTCTGTACTGTTTCAAGGTCTTCCTAGTTTCCTGGCGGGAAAAGGAACAGCGGACGAAGAAGAAGAGTACGGAAGAAGGAAGGGAATTAACTACTGCAGTGACTTTCTGTTCGTGATGATTCCGGCATAGGGGAGAGTGGAATGTTAAACTACTTATACACCCCCCCCCCCCATTGATTCTTGACTCAATTCTGTGTTTTTTTTTCATTCGAAAAGAAGCTTTTAATTGACTAATTAGGTGGGAGATTCATAGGTTTTTTGTGATGCCAAAGTTAGCTAGATTGTAAATTTTGTGAGCTAGATTCTAAGTGAGCTAGATAGTGAGGAAAATAAGTTAACATTTATTTTTGAAATCGAATGTTCGAACTATCTCACAAAGTACCTGAATTTCATACCTGATACCTGAACATCTGAATTCCAGCCAAATTTCATTATTTTTTCAAAAGCTTCCAAATTTTTTATCCAGTTGCAGAGATAATAGATTTTGGTATTTTACGATAGTTACAAAAACATAAACCTCCTTGTCCTAACTTTTGTTTTTGATGAGGTTTATCATTTTTACCAGGCATAAATTTTTTCGTAATGCCGAAATTTTGATTTGATTATTGGTTAGGGTCTGTAAATAGGTGAAATCAGTTTTGATATCCTTATTAATATTTAAGTATGGACCAAATGAGTTTTTTCTTCCTAATTAGGGGTGGTAAGCTACCATTTTTCTAGAGCTCCTCTCACTTTAACTTTGAGCCAATGTTTCTCGGTTCCCGTAAAAGATATACAAAAGTTGTTTACAGCCAAACTGTAATGTCACAAACATTTTATCAGTTGACCAATTTTTGATATCTCTCACAGGAACCGAGATAATTGATATCAAAGTGGGTGGGATTCTATTGGAACAAATACGGTAATATTGATTTTCAAAGACCCAAATCTTTCTCGTACACTTTAATGCATTTTATAAACTGACCAATATTTAACTAATTGAGATAATTATGAACTAACTTTTGGACTCTTCTTTTATCTGAAGAAATGGGGTAATCAGCCTTTCCTCTGCTTCGCAATAATTTGAACCAAAACCCCTATGGTCTCATCCTCTCCCCTCCCTCCCTATTTTTGTTCCAATCGGTTCCCATGGTTGATTCTTGTTTCTAACCCGTAATTCATCCTTTCGGTCAATGTTCGTATTCTTTGCTAGCCGCTACCCCTCACCCACAAAATGCCTTCATCTTCTCATTTTACCTTTTGGAAATTTTTCCAATCGGTTTGTGTTGCCTCCTTGTCCCATCTCATCTCACCTAATCACTTCCATATGTCCATCACGTACTGCGCAATCGCATATCTTCTCTTCTTTCCGTTTTGACTTCTTCTTCTTCTTCTTGTCTAATATGGCGCCCCCTCATTTCAAACAACAATGTCATCGACATCTTTCTAAACAACAATCTATCAATTGCGTAATCGACAAAAAAAAACCATTTCGTGTGGTTTTCAAAGCGGTTATAAGATATGCGAGAGTCCATATAGAAAGTTGCCAACATGAATTTCTGAATGGTCAGGAAAAAAGATACCGTAAAACCTGTAATAGAAGGGCCCTTAACTTTATCTTCTGGACAATTTTTCTCAGTTTTCGTAAAAGATATGAAAAAGTTGCCAAGTGATAAATTGTTTACGGTAACATGATCCCACCATTGTGAACCACTTCATATTTAATTTGAACAGCTAAATTAGAATGACCCATAATTGCTAAAAAATATTTTGAATTCGAAAACTAGGGAATTCGGGCCACACCGTCTACTGATACATAATCTTGCTCAAAAAGCATTCGATTTTCAATTTTTAATTTTAACGAACGCCGTCAATTTTCGGAAGCTCAAAACATCTAAATCTCATTTTTTCCTCCTATGTATCCTGTCTTTTATTCATACAGACCCTTCCGTTTCTTGATTATTGTTGATAACTTTTTTCTCTTTTCCCCCGCTGTAAACCCAACCTGACCGCTTTGTCGAGAATTCTCGTAAAAAGAGAAAAAATATATAGAAAAAGGCGTTGGGCGTCACCAACGTCTTCTTCTTCTTCTCCATCAATCCCCCAAACATTCTTCCAAAAGGCGCCACGCCCTTCTTTTCTGCCGCTATCACAACGTTAGGTAGAGACGACGACGACGACGCCTTCTGCCACCTCATATTTCATTGTTTCATTCTTTATAGTCGTTTTCTATCTCCTCGAGCGCCAGGGCTCCGCCCACTTTACCATCCCACACAAACATTGCTGACAACACCATCAGCGACATCAGGCATCAACTGTTAAGTACTCACTTATCAAGAAGTCCAAGGTTTCTAGGGCAAATTTATTTGAAGCTTTTATGTTTAATTTTTTAATTTCTTGATTCAAATTTTTTGCCATTAGGACAGTTTGAAGAAAAAATTTTAATTTAAATTCGTGAATTCATTTTCATTTTGTAAACTCGTTTTAGTGTTGACCTATACATCAAGAAACCCTGATTCCTCATTTTGAATACTACCGTACAGTCCCACCACTTTGACCCACATACCGTCAACTTTGAGCTCAGTTAACTCGATTCCTGTGAAAGAAATCAAAAATTGGTTAACTGATAAAATATTTTTGAAATCATGATAAATGCTTTGTTAATTGACCACTTTGTCCTATATCTCACTGAAAATGAGATATATGAGCTCAAAGTTGGCAGTTTGGGTGAGTTTCTATTTAAGGTAATACAGTACTATCGGCCCTCTATTGTGGAATCAGAGTTTTGTTTTATTAGTTTATGACTTCTTAATAGGCATGTTGTAATCGAACTAATCCTTTTATCTCTGTTATTCTGTTTATTCAGATATCATACACGTCATTTCACACCTTTTGGCCTTTTGAATCATACTTGTGGAAAAGATGGCCGGCCCGCTGGCCGGCCCGCTTTTTGAAAATGTTGAAATTTTAGAGCGAATCATCATTTTTCACGATGGTTTTTCTTCTTAGTGAATGAAAATCCACACTAGAGGCCGATACTGTCGACAAAAACTGTTTTGAAGTCGTAATTAGAAAAAAAAAAGTTTCATCCTTGGCTTAATGAAGTTTGATTTTTTTTTTGTTGAAAATAATTAAATTGACTTTTTTGGATGGTTGTATGCATTTGGATTGATATTTGTGCCATTATAAATATTTTGGCACATTCGAAAAATAAAATTTTCGAAAAGTTGTCCTAGGTGGGCCGAGCGGGCCGGGCCGAGCTGAAAGTTTAGAGGCAAGCGGGCCGGCCCGGCCATCCATGTTTGTTTTGAATGGCTGTTTCAGGCAATCATTAAAAATCAAAATAGCCAAGGGTCAATGTACCGTCTCACTTCACCTTTCTGCTTAATATATTGGTATCTAGCAAATATCGAATTTTTCTATTCTTTCTTTTATTCTCTATCAGCTCTATTTGACATTTGAAAAGTAATGCCTGAAGTTGCTAGTGTACACTGTTAAGGTTACCTCATAACATAACAAGCTCTAGAAACCATTTTTATATAAGGTGTTACCGCTTTCACCAGAAACACCGTTTACACAAACTGTGATAAGCCCGGCGACAAAAGTTATTACTCTTCTAGATTCCTGTCCCCCACCATGTCTATTCAATTTGCCTCACAAATGCCGCCTCCTCGATTACAAATCAAACATTTCCCCTCTCTCAATTTCTCTCTTTTTCCCTAAACAAGTGAACACAGTACTTGAAACACCCTCTCAAGCAAGCACATGTTCCATTATGTTCTCTATGCTTGTTCCAAAACGTTTTGAATTAAGAGATTAGGGAGGAAAGGTGAGAATGACTATTGGTATTGTATGATTGTGCCTAAAAAAGGACTGGAAAATGAAGTCTTGTCAGTAATATGAATTTTGACTCAAATTTTGAAAATTCTTAAAAATTCACATTTTTGCTTCTATCTGATTTTTGCTCCCAGCTTATATGGATAATACGATGTTAGTAATGATGAAGCTCTTTCCACACCAATTCTTTCAATGTCCAGAATAGTTAATAGGAAGTGATTAAGCCATTTCTTCAATTTATTACTTTTTCATAATTTTTCGCCAACCAAAAAATATATAGACATTCCTATCATCCCAAATTTTTCATTCAAAAAAGTAACCAAATTATCATCAAACACAATTTGACCCTTTTGTTTATTTATTACTTTTTTCTTACACCCCTTCCATTCTTATCAGAATTTCTCTATTCTTCTCTCCTATTCCTTTTTTTTGCAATCATCTGTAAAACTAAAACCAGAATTATCACTAATCATTCGCATTAATTTAGAAGAAGAAGAAGACAACGTCTTCATCTTTTCGTTTCCATCTTCTTGTTTACTTCTTCTTCTCCCTCTCCGCACCATCTAATCACTTGTTATCATTTTCAATTTATTTTGACATACCTTTTTTTCGTACATTTTTTCGTACAGTCATTTTTTCATTTTTTCCAGAACCCTCTGTAAAAGTCTTCATCCGCCCGTTAGAGGTCTCTGTTCCAGCCGAGTACCTATCCCAAAAACCAGGTAATTAATTTTCTCTTAAAAATTTTCTATATTTAAAAAGTTTCCAGAAGTACCTCAAAAAACCTACTGGTCAACAATGACGTCGCAAATCCAGGCCGAGATATCGACAAAGAGATGGTCGATTCCGGAGAAAGTGACCGAGGAAGGACAGAAGCCCGGACCGGTGAGTTGTGAAAACTTGTTCAAGTTTTAAAATTTCCATAAAAAGTTAGCTATCAAAAAAAGTAAACCAAACCCGAAAATTTTTTATGGGTTGATACCTTTTTTACATTCCGTATTCCCTGAGAAGCCCACTCAAATCATCAAATTTAAGCTCAATTATCTCGATTCCTGGGAAAGATTTTAAAAGTTTGTCAGATGATAAATTATCTATCATAATATCACCAGTATTTCATCAATTGACAAATTTTGATAACTTTCACAGAAATCGAGATAATTAAGCTGAAAGTTGACGGTTTGGGTGGCACTTTATTACAGTTCTTACGGTATTAGCCTCAATTTAGTCTCAATTATAATATATCAGGAAGTTGGCAACTATCAAAATTCTCTCATTTCTAAATATGTCGATTTTAGCTTTTCTCGTGTCTCTGTAAATTTATGTATCTCTTTCAATATATCTTCGGTCGAATAATACCGTAAAACCTGTAACGGAAGGGTTCCCATACCGTAAAGTTTGAGCTCAATTATTTAAATTCCTATGCAAGATACACTTCTGATATTAGGATCAACAATTTATCAGTAGACAACTTTTTCATACATTTGACATGAATTGACTCAAAGTTGAAAGCTAGGGGGCCCTTCTATTAAAGGTTTTACTTCATGTTCTCCCGAATTTTGATTCTAACTTGTTTGAGGTCTTCACTTAGAACTCCACTCTCTCCTTTCAAATTCCTCGAATTCACAAATTTCATATTTATTTTTGTTGTCCTCCTCCTCCCAAAAGGTCATGTATGTGGTTAGTTGGGTGTGCCCGTGTTCCTCTCTTTCAGCAGCAGTGCCATTCTTCGCCTTGTAACCCATAAAATTTGAATTGAATGATGGAATAGCATCTCCATCCCCCTCCTCACTTCTCTTAAATTTTTTGGGTTGAGGAGATAGAAAATGAGAAGAGGTGACACACCCAGATTCCTTCACTCTTTTTTAACCATCTCTCCCTCTTCCCCCTTGGTTTTTGATTCATTATTAGGAAAAGAAGAAGAAAGAGAAGAAGTAATTTATGATATCAGTGATAATTAGAGAAACCTAGATTGATTGGTTTTGGCAAGAATAATAATCTAGGATTTTTATGTCAAGAAGATGTTAAATTGAGGGTTGTCCAAAAGGATGTCCTAGGGAGAACTTCATTTTGGGAACTTATTTTTAGTAAAGTATTCGAAATGCCAAATTTTCTGAATTCAAAAAATACCATAAGCCTATAATAGAAGGACCACCTAACTTCTGACTTTGACCCATTTTTTTCTCCGTTCCTGTCAAAGATATAAGAAATATGACAACTGTTAAATTGTTTATCATAATTTCAACAATGCTTTGTCAGTTGACACTTTTTTGATTTCTTGCATAGGAATTGATATAATTGAGCACAAAGTTGACAGTGTTGGATCCCTTTTATTATAGGCTTTACTGTAAGTTCCAACCTTTGCACCAGATTTCAAATCGTTGAAAATTACACTTGTACCTTGATTTCAGATACTATGACTCTTGAAAATATATAAAATCTAGGGTACAGGTTGCTTGAACACAGGGTTTCTGAAGTTCCAAGGTTTTTTTACTGGTCTAGATGAGTTACAAGGACCCACTAAAAATTTGAAAGAATTTAGAGCACACTAGCTTAAAGGAGGCGAGACACCAAAAAAAGTTTTCCTGATATTTTGCATAGAGAACCCCCATGAGTTGAACTCATGACAGGCAGCCTAGGGGTACAACGCTGCTACCGGCTGAGCTACGGGGGCGCGAAGGCGCCTGACGACCGATGGTCTACATAAGCGCGGCGCGATTTCGTTCCCCGAACTGTCCCCCGAAATTTTTGCTGTCTCGCCTCCTTTAAAAAATCTTTTTCCGATGAACCTGTAAAGCCCTATAAGAAAACTACAGATTAAAACCTTCAAGTTGGTTTAGAAGATCTCTAGGACCCCTAGGAATTCAGAAGGTGTTCTAGAAGACACCCAGTTCATTCTAATCCACCTAACTTTTTTTCTACAATTGATATACACATGTAATCCTCCTGGGGGTAGTAGGAGGTAAGACTTTTCTTGCATAATACATATGACACATACAATAAAAAAAACTAGAAATCGGAAGGAATAGAAGAATAGGCGAAGGAATACACACATTCAATCAAGCATGGAGGGGAGGAATGTTTCGATTTCAGACAGATGACAAGCATATGTGTCCTTTTGGAATAGGGACTGGATACTAGTAAATCCACTATTGCCTGTCTATCTATTCTATCCATTTCTCTCCTACTTTCATCTCTCCTTTCAACTTTCAACGTTTTGTTTTGTTCACACACAGTCACTCTCTATTTCTCTTCCTCTTTTCAACATCTCCTCTCTTTTTCGAAAAATGCAACGATTATCCCGAAAAAGAAGTGAAATGTTGCCTCAAACCGATGCAAACACATATACATACATATAGATTTTTTCGGCGTCCGATTTATTTTTTTCGGTGATCCTAGATATTGATAAGCATCCTCACCTAGCCGCTATTCTATGTTCTATTTTTTTTTCATTGATCCGTTTCGGTGAATAAATTTTTTTGAGATGGATGAAGTCAATAATCAAACATAATAAGGAATTTATTTGAGTCTTCTGATTTTTTGAATTTGTTTAAACATTGCTTAAATTTGATCTTCTAAACACTCTAATAGAAAGTCACCCGAATCGTCAAATTTGAGTCTATGTATCTCATTTAGTGTGAGAGATATCAAAAAGTGGTTAACTGATAAAATGTTGTCGATATCATGATAAACATTTTGTTAATTGACACCTTTTTGATATCTTTCAAAAGAAGTGAAATAGATTGGCTCAAATTAGACGGTACGGGTGGCATTCAATTAAAGTGCTTACGGTATATTCCGTTTGAAAAACTTCCCCTCTATTCACCCACATTTCCGATTCAAACTTTTTAAATTTATTTTGTAGAAATTCGCAAAAAAATTCTATAATAAAATTTCCAAAAAACAGGTGAATAACCTTGCTACCACTATATAACCTACTATAAAACCTGTAATAGAAGGGTCCCCTAACTTGTAAATTGGAGCCAAATATCTCGGTTTCTATGAGTGATATAAAAAGCTGTCAACTGATAAATTGTTTATCACAATATCATACAAATTTTTTGAGCTGACACATTTTTGATATCTCTTATAGGAGCCGAGATAATTAAACTCAAACTTCTGTTAAATGTAAAATTTTTTCACTACTTCTAAACTCTCAACTCCGATTTTCCTCTGTCATTTTCTAACGTAATTTTCAAATACTGAATGATTTTCTGAAATTTCAAAATCTCTAAATTCCGGTTCAATTTTTCAATAGTTATTTTTTTTTGAAAAGTTCCAAAAGTTTCCTTATTTTCAGCCACACCCTTCATTCGTAATTCTCTTTTTTCTACCTCATTCTTCTGAAATTATCTGAATAATTTCAATTCTAGGTACCACACCACCAGAAAAGATAGAATTTCAAGGGAGTACTAGCTCTATTACCCTAACGCCAAAATGGTGGAAATCTATAAGCCGCCGACGAAGCGGATATCCACATCGTTGATGCAAAAATTACAGTTATTCGTAAGGCTCAAAAAAGGAAATCTATAAATTTCTGAATGAGTGAAAAATTTGAAAGAAATTTGTCAAATTTGGAAAAACCCAATAAATCTTTTCCAGGAAGACCATCCATCCACAAAGCAAGGAAGAGAACAAGAGGGTCGTGTCATTGGCATCACTCCAAACTACAAAATCGGAGAGGGACAACCAAAGTCCGAGTTGAATTTGGGAAAGACTGGATACCTTCCGAATGGTCATGGAGATTATAAGATGACATCTCTCCAGGAGACCTATAAACAGACACTGATTGATCCAAAGGTATGTTGAGATTCCTTTATTTTTGAAAAATATAGAAAGTTGGAAAAATGTACTGAGTGAATGGTTAATAATAGAATAACTGATTGAGAAAAGCACCCGATATTGGTTTTGAAAATTATAATGTGTTGGCGAAGTCGTCGTTGTTGTTGTTATCCTGTTGAAGTGCGGCACCACGCATTCCGAATCCCGAGGCTTGATCAAATCTCATTCCCTGGCTAGCCTGACGTTCAAAGTATTTTTGAGTTGGAGCTGATGTTTGGGAGTCATCGAATTGGCGACCCATGTTTTGTTGAGAGAATGGGTTGAACCTTGGATTTTGAACTCTAGAAAATCCACGTCCCTGAGAGGAGTTCTCATCTGAGCTGAAGTCTGGCCCTTGCGGTCCACGTCCACCACGTCTCTGTTGACCACCTGGTCCTGAACGGCCGGGGAAGTCATCTTGAGGCCCCAAGTCTGGTCCGAAATCGGGTCTTTGTGGTCTTGGTCCGAATCCCGATGGTCCCTGTCCACGTTCTCCACGTCCTCCCGGTCCACGACGATCTGGGAAGTCCGAGTCAGGTCCAAAGTCTGGTCCTTGTGGTCTTGGTCCGAAGACTGATGATCCTGATGGCTCTTGTCCGCGTCCATCACGTCCTCCTGGTCCACGACGATCTGGGAAGTCGTCCTGTGGCTCGAAGTCGGATCCTTGTGGTCTTGGTCCAAATTCTGGTGGTCCCTGTCCACGTCCTCCACGTCCTCCTGGCCCACGTCTATCTAGGAAGTCGTCCTGTGGTCCGAAGTCTGGTCCTTGTGGTCTTGGTCCGAATCCCGATGGTCCCTGTCCACGTTCTCTACGTCCTCCCGGTCCACGGCGATCTGGGAAGTCCGAGTCAGGTCCAAAATCGGGTCCTTGTGGTCTTGGTCCAAATCCTGATGCTCCTGATGGCCCATGTCCGCGTCCACCACGTCCTTCTGGTCCGCGTCTATCTGGGAAATCTGAGTCAGGTCTAAAGTCTGGTCCTTGTGGTCTTGGTCCGAAGACTGATGATCCTGATGGCTCTTGTCCGCGTCCATCACGTCCTCCTGGTCCACGACGATCTGGGAAGTCGTCCTGTGGCTCGAAGTCGGATCCTTGTGGTCTTGGTCCAAATTCTGGTGGTCCCTGTCCACGTCCTCCACGTCCTCCTGGCCCACGTCTATCTAGGAAGTCGTCATGTGGTCCGAAGTCTGGTCCTTGTGGTCTTGGTCCGAATCCCGATGGTCCCTGTCCACGTTCTCTACGTCCTCCCGGTCCACGGCGATCTGGGAAGTCCGAGTCAGGTCCAAAATCGGGTCCTTGTGGTCTTGGTCCAAATCCTGATGCTCCTGATGGCCCATGTCCGCGTCCACCACGTCCTTCTGGTCCGCGTCTATCTGGGAAATCTGAGTCAGGTCTAAAGTCTGGTCCTTGTGGTCTTGGTCCGAAGCCTGGTGGTCCCTGTTCGCGTCCACCGCGACTTCCTGGTCCACGACGATCTGGGAAGTCATCCTGTGGTCCGAAATCGGATCCTTGTGGCCTTGGTCCGAATCTTGATGGTCCTGGTGGTCCCTGTCCGCGTCCTCTGCGTACTCCTGGCCCACGACGATCTGGGAAGTCTGAGTCAGGTCCAAAATATGGTCCGTGTGGTCTTGGTCCAAATCCTGGTGGTTCTGGTGCCCCTGTCCGCGTCCTCCGCGTTCTCCTGGCCCGCGTCTATCTGGGAAGTCCGAGTCAGGCCCAAAGTCTGGTCTTTTTGGTCTTGGTCCGAACCCTGGTGGTCCCTGTCCGCGTCCTCCACGTTCTCCTGGTGGTCCTCTACGTCCTGGGAAGTCATCATTCGATCCGGAGTCAGGTTGGGAATTTGATCCTTGACCAGCTCTTCTGCTCATTCCCTGTCCAGAGTCCTCCGAAGAATCAGAGTTCATTCCCATAGAACTAGGACGCGCGCGTGGGAACTGTCTCTTAGCTAAATTCTGGTTGTCTGGTGCTTGAAGATCAGATCCCTGCTCTTGACGTCTGGATAATCCTCCCCGGCTTTGGAAGGCGTTTTGTTGGGAATCTTGTTGGGGTCCTTCTCCGAAGTTCCCTCTTGGTGGTCCTCCGGGTCTACGACGTTTTGGAAAGTCTTCTTGAGAGCCGGAGTCTGTTCCAAAATCTGGTCTTGGTCCGAGTCTTGGTGGCCCTGGTGGCCCACGTTGTCCTCCAGCTCCTTGGCGACCTGGGAAGCCGTCTTGTGGTCTGAAGTCTGATCCAGACGGTTCTGAAGGGCCTTGTGGTCTGGGCCCGAATCCCATCGGTCCGGGTGGTCCTGGTGGTCCGCGTCTACCGAATCCTTGCTGACTCTGCCCTCCGAACATGAACGGAGCAAACGCCATCATTGGTGGTTGTTGCCCGCCTTGTTGTTGTTGAAATCCGAATGGAACCATCTGAGGCTTCTTCATCACTCTTCCTTGCTCGAGACCAAAAACTGGAGCCTTGCTCTCCGGGCGATAGTTGCGAGCAATGAAGAACAAAGCGCGAACTTCCTAGAAATAATAAAGTTTCGGTTGAAAAAAGATTAATTCTTCCACTCACTCTTGGGAATGTGGTTCCTAGCTTGCGGATCTGATCGTGCTGATCTCTTCTAGTAAGGTTCGTGTTCGAAAGAATCTCCTCAAGTTGGTTGTAGACTGTTGAAATGTTAGCAACTACTGCTTGCACATTTTGAGTGATAGCATCTTTTTGTGCCTGCACTTGTTTAGTCCAGGCATTGAACTCATCCTAAAAATTCTTGATTATTAGAAGGAAATATTGTGAATGGCACTTACAGTAACATTGAATGCCTTTGCCCAGATTGTGAGTTGTGCGCTTTGCTCATCTTGGGAGAGTCCCTCATTGCTGACAATATCGAAAAACTCCTTTCTAGCGAATCGTGGCACGTGCATCAAGAAGCGGGGAAACGGTGGTCCATCGGGAGATGGACGTGGTGGTCCGCCGCCGAATTCTAGCTCCGAAGAGTCTTCGGAGAGCTGTGCATGGGTACTGTAGAGGAGTGCTATAGCGAGCACAATGAGCACTCTCATTGTGAGGTCTGGAAATCAGTGAAATTTAGGAAAATGTAACATTTAGTAATCTTAAAAGGAGAGTTCTTGAAACTGCAATGTAAGAAAAATGTCAAATAATGTAGAAAAGGAAGTAGAAAACGAACAAATGATGTGCTTCTCATCCATTCATGGGTCCTCCTTAAATACTTCGAACCATAGTCTGTATGATCGCGATGTGTGTGTTCTTCTGAGAGCACACACGGTCATTTTTTAAAGGGTAAACCTCTCGGCCGCGCGCGCGGAGCCAGAAAAGATAACAAAACAGTTACCTAAGAAAGCGGATCATGGGGTCACTACCTGCCTCCTGGTATGTAATAGAGTGGCATTCGGAGAGCCACAGAGATGGAAAAGACAACAAATAGGGTAGACTTGCTTCCGCATTATAGATCCGCATCATTTTGAGTTGTAAGAAAAAACTTACTTTTTTCAATAATCGTGTAAATACAATTAGAGTGAACGAAGGGGGGGGGGGGGGGCAAAAGAGCACCCAATATCTGAGAAAGTGCAAATTACGGAAAAAAAAATAAACATCAGCGTCAGTTCTACAACAGCACACCCACATTTTTCAAAAAAAGATATAGGCATTTTTTTCAAGTTTAGATTAGTCAAAAACCCACAAGATTGATTACTCCAAATTATTATTTTTTTTTGAAATTTAGGTCATCTCAAATGCCAATATGCCTTATCTCTCCACACGTATTCCGGATGCCCGGCGTAACGTAGCTGGTGATTTCCCAAGTGAGCACAGCAAACGGAGCCAAATCAAACTTGAGCCGCTGGAGCAACGTAGATTTAGAGTGAGTTTTGCTTTATTTCACCCAAACAGTATGTCTTAAATTTCCAGAGCACTGAATCTCGTCCGATCTCTACTAGCAACTATCTCACCGAGAGTGTTGAACGTCATCGGGATATGGAAGCTTCCCGTTTGAAGGAGTACTTGAAAGCCAAAGAAAGTGATGCTAACCAGCCATGGAACAAGCCAGGATGGCCGGGACCAAAAAAAAACGATGAGAATAACAGAGAGTTGGAAACTCTCAAACAGGTTTGTAGTTTTTGTAGTCTTTCTTTTTTGTTCATTCAATTATTGTTCCAGAAAATCGAAACTTTGCAAAGAGTAAGTCTTAAGCATGTACCTTTTTTATGTTTGTCTGTTCTTGTCCTGCATGTTTTTTGTATTGTGTTGTCCCTTTAAAAAAGGAAATCCCTGGCTTGGAAAAAACGATATGGACCTCTACTGACATCTCCTACCAATCTCTCTACCCCTGAAACATATCCGGGTGTGTGATAATCAGAGTGCGCAGTAATCCTTGTAGTCGTTTTGTGCCCGAATTCAGAAAACGTCGCAATCGATGAGCGATTTATCAGTGTTGCCAACGCCAAGCCAGTTCGAGAAGTTGAATCCGGTGAGTCTGAATGCCTCTGTTGCTTTGGGGTACCGTAGTTTTTCTGATATAAGCCTACCGTTAACTTTGAGCTCAATTATCTCGATTCCTGTAGAAAATATCAAAAAAATCTGTCAACTAGAGAGATAGAATGTTGCTGACATTGTGAAACATATTTTATCAGTGAACAAAATTATCATATCTTCTTCAGGGACCAAAATAATTGAGCTTAAAGTTGACGGATTCCGTAGGCTTCTAATAGAGGAAATACGGTATATGGGATTTTTCTTCAATGTTGATATTTTTGAAGTATATCAATTTTTTTTTCTATTTTTTTGTATTTCAATAACTATAATTTTTGATATAGGCACAGTTTTAAAAAGTACAATTTTTAGACATTTTTGCTCTTGATCACTTCAAGAAACAAGGTACCGTAAACACTCTAATAGAAAGCCACCCAACCCGTCCGCTTTGAGCCGATGTATCTCATTTCCTGTAAAAGATATCATTTCGATTTCATTTTCTTCATATAAATGAGTTTTTTCCAGCAGCCCCAACCATCACCGATATCTCCTGGAGACTCTGGATGGTTGATAAAAATGCGAAAGAATCGATATCTAGATCACACTTCAAAAGTGAATGAACCCAAAAAGTATCGGTCAATGGATCAGCTGCCTACAACAGGCAAGGTGAGATTTTTTGAGTTTCAAGTTGACCTCTCTTTTCATAGTCCCTTTTCCAACTTACTTTGCTGATGATAAACCCCTACTCATTCAACCTAGATAGTTTGTATCTTCTTCCTGCTTGGGAGAGCTAATGAAAATCTCTCCTCCCGAAATTTTTCTCTCTTCCACCCTCCACTAGATCCCATACTGTCTTAATCGACACATAGTCTCTGTCTCTTCCTTCTTCTTTCTCCTTTTCGATCGAGAAGAAGAAGAAGCCCCTCTTGAAACTTCCCGCCGACGCACACACACACAAACTGTATGTGGCTGAGCAGGAAAAGAGCACTGGAGAAGAGTAGAAAGATACGCTAAGAAATGGAATGGCTTGACGGGGAGAGTTTGGTGGGGATTGGTAGGAAGAAGAAATATCGAAACTCTTTTTTGCCTTCCCCTCGTGGTTTTTCGCTCTTCTCTTTTGAACTTTTTTTATTTCAGAAAAAAGTTTTTCTGTGATCTTTAAAGCACGAAAATTTCGGAGTTTGCTCCTTTTTCAGTTGCGAAACTAAAAATGGCGCTACTCCCGAATTATGGCGAAAATTAACTAGGGAGCATCTTTTTTTTTTTGGTTTTTCAGTACTGATACAATCCCGCAGTTAGCTGTTACCGTCAATCCTGTAATAGAAGGGCCCTTACACTGTCAAGTTTGAGCTTAATTATCTGAGCTCCTATAAGAGATATCAAAAATATGTCGACTGACAAAATATTTGTTATAATATAATAAACAATTTGTTGGTTGAGAACTTTTTAAAACCTTTGACAGGAACCTAGATAAAATGGCTCAAAATTATAAGTTAGGGAGCCCTTCTATTACAGGTTTTCCGGAAGTTTGAATGTTCTGTGTACTTTTAGCTTTTACTTTTTTTAATCTTGATTCTCTTAATTTACGATACATAAATATTTCTTTATTACTTTACCAAAAAATGTGTATCGCTATTATAGTAAAAGATACCGTAAACACTTTAATGGAACGCCACCCGGACCGCCGACTTTGAGCCTATATATCTCGTTTTCTGTAAAAGTAATCAAAAAGTTGTCAACTAATAAAATGTGTATCATGATATCAGCAATATTTTATTAGTTAACCACTTTCTGATATCTTTCACAGAAAATGAGAGACGTAGGCTCAAATTTGACGATTCTGGTGGCTTTCTATAGGTATTTACTGTATTTAAGGTAGTACTACTACAGTTGGTCCAATAAAAGTTCTTTGCGTTCCATTCACTCATATTTTAGTTCATCATATGCAAAACAATCTTATTGACTCCCTCCGAACCCCCGCGTTTCTTCATTTTTGCTCCTCACGTTTTGTTTCAAAGTTTGTTCGTCTCTTCCCAAGGCGGCACAGTCTCTTTTTCACTCTTGGGCCTTCTTAAAGAAGGAGTAATCCGAAACAAAAACAATCGGGGTGATCAGTTAGTAGAAAGCAAGTACATTCGACAGAGATGACGCATATGGGAAGAATCATTTTTCAATAAAAGATGTTACAGGTCGGTGCTCTTCCACCCGACGACGAGAACCAACAGAAGTCGGAAGGATCGGATCCTTTGCACTGGCAACTTAGAAAAGAGTTCCATTTGGCGAAGTATTCGGTAAGAAAATGGGATTTCAGAGAGTTGAAAAATACAAGAAAACCTCTTCAACATTGGCAAACTGATAAATGAGTCAAAAGTTGAGATTTTTAATAATTATCTTCATGAAATAACAATTGAATTTAATCTACCAACTTTCGTTCTCTGCTTTGACTTGAGTACTAAAACTTGGCTCTTAAAAAATGACAGCTAGGTAAAACAATTAAAGAAGTACTCACCGTAAGATCTGTAAGAAAAGGGCTTAGACATTGTCAAGTTTAAGCTAATTTTTCTCGAGCCCTGTGCAAGGTATCAAAAATATTCCAACTGATGCAATGTTTATGATTTTATGATAAACAATTTATTAGTTAAAAACTTTTTGAAATCTTTCAAAGAAACCGAGATATTGGCTCAAAGTTTAAAGTCAGGGGCCCTTCTAATCCATTTTACTGTGATTGTTCACAGTTTTTGATGGGTCATCTAATAATCAGTCTAATTCTGTTTCAAATAAAAGTATTGACCGGGACTATTCTAACAAAGTGTTTGTCAGTGAATAACTTTTTCAATTTGTTAGTTTACAACTGTTTAGTTCTCCCATTCTCCCCTACAACATTTTTCGCTCAGTCCCAATACATTCCTTCCCAGCTCAAATATCCTCTCCTTGCTTTTCATTTTTACCGTTCCCCCAAGGAAACACGCATTTTGACCCATTTCCATTTGATTTCAAACAGTGCTTGCTCATGGTGATAAGTGTTCATGCTCCGTGTGCGTGCTTTCCCCCTACCCGATTTCCTTCACAACCTCTGTCCTTTCCTCCCTAGTCGCTGCTGCTTTGCTGCGTTTTTAACATACGAAACAAGAAAGACAAACACATTCGCCAATCCAGAGGAGTTCCCGGCCCCGCACTTTTCCTCTTTCTTATTATCCCCAAGCCAACCGTTTCGGATTTTTGTGTGTCTTTTTTGTTTTTCTGTTTAAAAGTTTCAGACCGACTCGTTCAAGTAGGATGGGTTCGGCATACATTTTTCAAGCATACCTTTTTTAAGTTTTTTCAACTTTCTACAACATTCATCTCAGCGTTTTTGATTTTCATTAAAACCATCAATCATGTTCTTTTTAGAATATTTGGGATAAAAAATTTCAAACAAGCAACATTAACATTTCAGCAATTTACTAGCTTATCATATCTTTTTTAAAAATCCCATAGTTAGTTATCTTGAATTCTTCGGACATCTAAAAGTTCAAAATTAATTTAGTCAACTTTAGTCAAAATTAATTTAGTCAATTTAGTCAACCATCTGTCAACTTTGAGCTCAATTATCTCGATTCTTGTGGAAGATATCGAAAATTGGCGAACTACTAAAATATTGGTGATATTGTGATAAACATTTTATCAGTTAACAAAATTTCGATATCTTTAACATGAAACGAGATAATTCAGCTCGAATTTGGCTATTATATAAAGCACAGTTGTTTTGAAACTGATCATGTGTTATCAGAAGTGTAGTGGGCATGCTTTTTCACTTCCAGATTAGGTATCTTGAATCCTGAGGATAATATTTTTTCTAATTAATTTAGTTGACCTAACTTCGATAGCGTTGCTGGCCTGTTTTTGCTCAGACAGAACACCCACAAGCCTGCTCGGTGTTCACTCCCCTATTATTGTGAATAGGTATTTTATTGACTTTTCAACGCCCCGGAAAAGAGCAAAAAAAACTTAACCATTCACTCATTGTTTCATCTTTTCGTGGTCAATGGAACTTTGAGCCTCCCCTCTCCTAATCACTATGTTTCTTCTTGTATGTTTACCTCCTCACCAGTGTCTTGTATTATTTAGTGTGAGATGGGTGAGAAAAATGTCCCCGCACAAAACACTGCACTCCCTAAACAAAACCCCATTTTTTACAAAATCTTACTTTTTTCCACTATTTTCTCTTACCTTCTCTGTGAGTTCCATTTCTAACCCAATCTCTCTGTTTATTCGAGTACATACCGTAGTGGTCTCTCTGTCTCTTTCTCAACACACTTCATCTCCCAATTTTTTGTTCGCGTTTCGAGAGTTTTCGATTTTTTTTGGCGGTCTGTTGCAAAAATTCATAAATCAGTGATTTTTAAGGACTTTGATTTATCGATTAGTTTCTAGCCACAAGTCTTTTGAAACACTTTTAGACTTGTGAAGTCGGTAACAGAGAGAGAGAGAGATAGAGAGAGAGAGAGAGAGAGAGAGAGAGAGGGAGAGAGAGAGGGAGAGAGAGAGCTCATTCTACTCATAATATTAGCTCATTCTACTCATAATATTCCTAATTAGGCTCTCCCACATGTCCGACGATACTAACGATCCACCATACTCCACCGTTCGTCAGTTACGGGCAGAGTACCTGGCTAGGGTAGCCTCCTCATCTACATCATCGCCATCCGCCAGATCTCGTCCTCCAAGAAGAGGCACCGTTTTTGGGACAAAGTCAACTATCAGTTTGCCATACATTCCAGAAGTTGAAGAGGTTTTTAGGGAAAAAACTATACATTTTAAGCAATCATACAGAAGCTAATTAGTTGTTTTTCAGGAACGCCGTGCCTCTTACCACGTAGAATCTTCATCGTATTCGCATACCAGTCATAGTCAACACCAGAATATCAGTCATAATAGCCATCCACCACCGTCATCCCCACCTCCGATTCCAGCGACTATCCAACATCAGACCCATCCTTCCCAGCATCCACCGCCAACTACACAAACGGTTCTGAATCGTCCTCTGTCCAAATCACAGCTTTTGTATCCGCCGGGAAGTACAGAGAATATTGCCAGTGAACACAAGCCAGCGATTAGGCCACCAGAGAAGGTAAATATTACTGTTTGTTCTCTAAAGTCTAACCTCTGAATTTTTAGACCGTCTACGAGAATAATCCTATAGCTCCATCTGAACTTAATGTTCAAGTGAAGCGAGCGCCACCTTCCGGACCACCACCTCCACCACCACAGCCACCAACGGACTTCGACTATCCGGAGCGGTTAATGAGCCCACCACCTACTCATCAACCAAGGTCGATATTGAAGGGATACTCTTCGCAACAATATTATTCACAAACCAATTTGACCGAGTCACATCATCATCACTCTCACCAGACTCAGAATACTCAAGAAAACTTCCATCCTCAACAAATGCATCCAAGACCATCTGATCGTAGAACACCTACCCACTTCGAAGATCTCAGTGAAGATGAGAAGACCAGAATCATGCATGAGAACCTGCAAAAACATCGAACCCTGAGGAGTGGGCCTAATGGTCCACGACCTGCTACCACCAGTTTCAACGGGCCGTTCTTCCGACTGGAACAAGTTAGCCCGGGACAGCCATCGCAGCAGCAACAAGGGTGTCCTCAACAACATCCAAGAAGTCAATCCGTGGACCCGTCGGGTGATGTGCCAAGAGATCATGGAAGGCTTCTTCAACAGTCTCGGGAAATTTCTGCATCCGAGATCGAGCTGCACAACTACTCACGAAATGTTGAACCATCAGTGGTTGTCTGGCCACCGATCAGTGAAAAAGAACGGAAGCGTCCAAATTCAGTGTTGGCTAAGAACTTCAATGACCCAGATAAGATTGATGAATATCAAAGGCAGAAGAGGTTAGAGCATGAAGCGATGCATCGACATGAGGAACAACAGATGATTAGTATGAGTAAGCAGATCAGAGCAATGGAGATCCAGCAACAGAGATTATATGAGCAGAGCCATGGTGTAACATCCCCAGTACCCATCATGGAGGCCATCTCGCCACAGCCGTATGGCAGTCAACCACAACACCAGCTGCAGCAATACTACCCGCCACCACCACCACCTCCTCAAGTGCAAATACATCAACCACATCAATCTCACCAGCCTCACCAATACGAAGATCCAGAACCAATTTCCTATCCTGTCCAAGTCTTTGAAACCCGACCAATCTCCGCCTTATCTAATCAAATCGATCAAGACCCTCGGACTCAGCCTCAAGCACCACCGACAAGTTGGAAACGGACCTATATTGTTGAACGGCCTAGAGACGTGGCGAAGAATGAGATTCTGACTTCTGAAGAGTTGCTAGAGAAGGAATCATACGATGTAGATCTGTTGAAAAGAAGAGAGACATTTGTGGAGAAACCAGACGAACCACCACGGATAAATAGACTTGGGAAACGATGGCAACCACCACCAGAGAAACCATATGTATGGCCAACGTTAAGAAGAGCCATGTCAGTCGAACCAAACTCTAGAGGACCAATGGATTTTGCTCCAGGCGTGCCACCAAACTACGACGACAACGAGGAATACAAATGGGAACCTGTAGTCAACGATCCAGGATACAAAAAGGAAGACAAGAACTTCACACCGGTTAGCAGTCCTCCAGCATCCCCAAGACGAGGACATGGAGTTGGTCCGCTAGATGAGCCAGCTAAAAGACAAGCCAAGTATGTCATTCAGCCCTCACCAGATGGTTCACATCGTCCCAAAGCGGTGTTCAGAAAGGAGCGGCATACACCAAGTGGTGGTTTCTATCCGCATGCTCCAAATGCTATAAAAGTGGTCAAGAAACGAGCACAGTCCGTGCAAGGATTGCTGAGCCCTACTGATAACGTGGAGATTATACACCAGCGTAACTATCATCGACTGGACTTGGAGCAAAACGGGCATCATGGACAAAAGCTGAGAAGGAGCCAACACAGTGGAAGTGAGATGGACCTGAGGAGGAATACTCAAGACTTGCCAGACTGGGAGAAGATCTATGAGCTGCCACCACATAGTTCGCAAATAGTGCAGAAGGACATGCCTCGTCATGTAGATGTACAACGTCGCTTGTCCAAATTCGAGGGATCGATTCAAAACCTCCGTGCGGCGTCATCAACTCAGCACCTAGATAGTGTAAGTTTTGGAAAACTAGTATTAAAAAAAAGATCATCACCACAGATAGGGTAACCTGGGAATTTTTCGGTTCGGTAGCTTAAGTATCTCCCGCTAGCTCTCATTTAAATGCTTCCCCTCCCTTTGAAAGTTTGCTGTGGTGTGCATTGATCCGTTTCAGATGCAACAGTTGCACTTCCCGATGCCTGATTATGAGCCACCGCAGCATCAGCATTCGAGAAGACGTACAGAATCTTCTGGAACGAACTACCGAGGTGGACCACCCCCACCACCTCCACCAATGCCGATGCAGCAGCCTAGAGAGGTGAGATACCTTCATTTTTCAAGGTTTTGATCGAAACGTTCATTTTTTAGATGTCCCGTCGCAACTCTGTAGCCTCCACTCGCATTGACTCTCCATCACTTATGATCCCGCATCATCACCATCATCAACGACAATCCCGATCCGACTCCCGTGGTCCACCGCAAATGTCACGGGCCGCTTCATCGATTCCTCTATCTCCTCATCCGACCCCTCAGCATCATCACCATCACCATCAACGGCCGACGACTCCAGGAGCCACTAGAGCCCGGAATTATATCGCTAGAGCAACCGCACCAAGTCCGACACCATATTCCTACGATAGAGCAAGAGCATATGTACCGCCAGCATTGCCACCAGGTTACCGGGTGAGTTAGTTTTTGGTTATTTTTATGTTATCGTGAAACCTTCAATAGAAGAGCCCTCGCACTTTCGAGCTTGAGTTTAATTATCTCGGCTCCTATAAGAGATATTAAAAATGTGCCAACTGTTAAAATGTTTGTGATATTGTGATAAACAATTTATCAGTTGACAGCTTTTTTCATATTTTCTTTCTTTTATGAGTCTTCCAAATTTTCTTGTATTTACTCGTATTTAATCTTTTTAATTTTCAGCTGACTGATCCTCTACCCGACCAACGAGCCTTGTCCCCATCCCCTGGACATACTCGAAAGTTGATTCGAAACGTGTCAGAATCACAACAACGTCTCCAACAGCCCTCTGGACACACACCTCAAACATCGCGGGCCCCATCCCGTCATTCGAATCGCCAGAGCCCTAATCCCCGATTTCTATAGCCCCTTTTAAATATTTTCTAAAAATAGGATACATAGTTTTAATCTTCTCTTTTTATAACCTACAAAATCTTTCTGCTTTATTTCTTTTGCTCATTGAAAAACAGCTTTTTGCTTTCACTTATCATAACTTAACTGCCTACTTTTGGCTCCGCCCCTTTTGGGCAAGCCACGCCCCCTAATCTTTCCCCTTTTAAAATTGCTCAATTATTGGAAGGAGATGGAAAACTTGCATCAAGAAATGGAGAAACTAATTTGGACAGGTAAGAATTTTAATAACTAACTTGCACTAAAAAATTTCAGATTTATATGAAAAAACAAATTCCAAGCCAGGGATTATTCTGTCTTTATGTGTGCATGTTTGTCTTATGTCGTAGCTTAGAATGTCCAAAAGAATTTGTGTCTTAAAATTTGAAAAGGGGTTTTATATATTAAACACCTTTTTTCTAATTTTCTATGTGTTTGAAATTTGGACAGCTCTATAATTCATTTTTTCAATTTTCAGGGAGCCAACAAGCCACCAGCGGTAAGTTCTATTTTTCTTTATCAACAGTTTTGAATTTATTTAAAAAAATAATTACTTTTGAAATGCAAAAGAGGAGGGAGTACGGTAGTTTTAGGAAAGTGTGACTTAACAAAATTTTAAGTTTCTCTACCCCTAGCCTCTATAACTTTTATTAAATAATGCATATTTAATTTATTATGATAATTATTAATTGATTTAATAATTAACCCCTATCTCTCAATTAAAACCCAGAACGCCGAACTAGACGAAATATCGAAGAGAGCCGAGGAATTACGAAAACGAGACGGGCGGTCAAAATACAAACTAGTCGAATCTGACATCTACAAGACAGATCCAGATCCAATGCCATCCAATTTGAAGGTCCTTTTTAATTCTCGCTTTAAATTCCGCTTCCTTTTTTTCTTAACACACTAGCGTTTAGGATCAAGTTCGTGAATTGTTGGAATCGCGAAATTCTGTGGAGACGACGACGACTCAGAGAGATCAGGACAAGTCTGGTTATGTGACGGTTAGTTTCGGATGTTTGGCATCTGTCCCCCTTAAAAAAACTGTGTGGAAATTTTGGAAGGAGATGGATACGTGGCATATTATTCTGAATATTAGGAGTTTGAGATATGTCTCGATTAGGTTGGTCAACTCTTTTTCGATTTTCAAAGTGTAAATTGATATCCCTCAAAGATACCGCAAACCTCTCTAATATATGATAATGCCAACTTTGAGCATATTTATTTCATTTCTTGTTAAAGATATCAAAAAGTGTTCAAATAATAAAATGTTAATCGTAATATCAGCAATGTTTTATCAATTAGCCACTTTTTGTTATCTTTCACAGGAAATGAGGTACATTAGCTCAAAGATGGCGGTTTGGGCGGCGTTTTATCAGAATGTTTACGGTAATAGAAGCACCCTCTCACTTTAACCTTTGATCCTAATTATCTCGGCTCCTGTCAAAGATATCAGAACGTTGTCAATTGATAAATTATTTATCATAATGTCAAAAACATTTTATCTGTTTACACATTTTTTATATCTTGCATAGGAAATGAGATAATTGGGCTAGAACTTGACAGTCTCGGGGTCCTTCTATTGCCGGTTTTACAGTAATTGATTGGAAAAATTTTCAATTCAAATTTTCTGGGTACTTTTAAAAGTAACAACACATTTTTTTTCGAATATCTTTAAAAATTCTTAGAAATTTTAAAAATCGAGTTTTTACAGTTTTTAGATTTCTAAACGATTTTTCCGGTTTATTCCAACTTCTGACTAGTGTTGACCTAAAAATTGCCACGTGTCTCCCCTTTCACTTAACCCTTGCAATAAAAAAAGTGTGCAGTGAGCAACGAACTACTTTTCTCGCCTTCTCTCATAAATTTTCTTCCACCCCCAGAAATATATAATTCCACCTTTTCTATTTTTCCAAGCTAGCAGTTTTTCCATTCTATTCTAATAACAGGATGTCTCCACTGCCACGTGGAACTTCTCGACGCTGGATTACTCGCCTCGATCGGTGGTCAGTATGAATGGAGCCAGATATGACATTCTCAAGGTTTTACTCTTTTTTTTTACTCTATTGCTTGATTTGCACCGATGGGTACTAATCACTAATCACTTAACAGCCTCAAAGTCTACCGTACTTTTTCTCTCTTTCTTTACTTTTTTCCATGAAATCTATGTATGTCTCTATCTCTATATATCTCCCCTACCAGACGGTCCCACCACTACGCACCAAGACTCCGCCCCCACCACCACCTCCGGTTCGTCGTCACGAGATTTACGAGCAGCACGAGCGGTACACTTCGGCTCCAAATCTTCAGTCGGCCGTCATTCGGATTCAGGTTTTTCAGAAAAAAGCGTGTTTTCAGCTTCTGTTATAAGTTCCCTATGTTCTGTTTCTTTACACTTCCTTATCTCTACTAAGCACGTGTTTCTTATACTATCTGTGGTGATGATTGTTGTACGCAATGCACATGTTATACACTTCTACTTCTAGAATCTTCTAGAACCTTACAAAGTATGTAGATGCATTCTTTAATATTTTCAGGATGACAAGCCGCGTAGCATTATGAAGAGACGTGAGCTGGAGAGCCGTGAGCAGTTGCTCTTCCCAACTGTTGACACCCAAGTGGTCAAGTCTGTCGTTAGAAAGCCAACTGTCACGGAGACTGTTCAACGTTTCGAGGAGACTCGTCGTACTGAAGAGGTGAGTACTATGTATAGAAAACTAAATCTTGTATTGTTTTCCAGGTCGAGCGTCGCGTTCAACGTCGCGAGAAGAAGGAGCGTCGTAGTCGTCATCACTCCTCCTCCCGTCATCAATCCGGATGGGAGGGACACACTGGTGGATATCAAGGTGATCTAAAAGTTTTTTCTCTCTTTTCCCATGTTTCGTTAACTCTGATTTCTACATGTCTGTTAACAAAAACATCACAAATTTAGTTAACTATGTTTCGTCTCTTTCTTAATCCACGTCCGTCCGTTTGCAGAGCATCGTGTCGGAGCCATCACCTCGTCTCTGCCACGTCGTCAGATCATTCGTGAGGCTGATCGTGCGATGACCGAGGAGGAGATGAATAAAGTGGTTCGAGAGGCCTACGCGGCTGCCGATGAAGCACGCAGAGATAGTCGTACGGGTTTTGGTTTCTTACTAAATGTTTCTTGGTTCTTTCTGGGAACTTTTACAGTTTTCTATCTAATCTAATATAAGTTCATCCTAACCTCAGCTCACCCAAAGACTTTCAGGTCACCGTAGCAGCTCGCTAAGCCGTGGTGGATATTTGCCAGGTGGTCAAGAGACCTACTATCGTCAAGAGACCACTCGTCGTCAGCAACATAACAATTACGACGACAACTTCAACCGCGGAATAGCGCATGCGCGTTACGGTTCGTTGTCGGATTCGTTGCGTCGTGGCGAACTTCAGTACGTGCCAAATGGAGAGGTCCGTCAATCGTTCTATCGTGATGGTGGTGCCAGCGGTGGACAGCGAATGCACAAGAGCTACTCCACTCGTGACGTCTTCACCGGAGACGCACACGACGATCGTCGCTCCGTCTCATCGTTCCATCGTCGTGGATCCCAGCAACAGGTTAGATTCTTTTCTTCAATACCAAAAACTGATGGGTTTCCAGGTCTCCCCATTCGTCGAGTTTCCACCAACTCTTCCACGTCGTGGAGCCGGAGGAGACTACCGTCGTGAAGAGGACGCCTACTTCCGTCCAGTGAGCAAGTCTCGCAGTTATGCTGATTGGGATGATGCCGGGAGAGCCGGAATGGGACGTGAGGTCCGTCGCTATGACGATGACATGAGCAGACTGGAGGCCGAGTTCCGTGATTCGCTTTTGATGCCAATGCCAAATGGAAATATGTGGGTTTGAATTTCTTATTAAATGGATACAGGAACCTGTTATTCGATTTGTAAATTTCGGATGTCTGGAAATATCAGATAATAAAAAATTAATCTTGAACTTTGTTCTGAATGCGTTCATTATTCAATATTTCTAGAACCTCACTCATATTCCAGGAACGAGCGTGACCATCGTACCGAACAACTGCCAGGAGGTTATGAGACCTTCAACAAGGACAGACATGCAAACAGCGGAAGACGTACCGGACGTGATGGAAAGCCAGTCGACTTTTCGTAAGCATCTCATACCTCTGACCTACCGTAGCCCAAAAATCTTTCAGTGAGGCTTCTCAAGAATACAACTACAAAAGGGAGCAAACCCTCAACGATGATAGACGTCGCCGTTAAGCGTCGACGGTGGACGTCGTCGTATGAAGTCTATGTCGTCCCGGTGTATATCAAGTGTGCTGTACCAATAATCCATACATTTCTAAAAAGCTCGCTTCCAGCCCTCTATCCCTTCTTTCTATTCGGTGCTCATTTTCCCTTCCTTCCATTCATTTACTCCCCCCCCAAAAAAATTCCACATATGTTCCTTTGTCAAAAATTTTCAGTTATATTTCCTTCTCCTTCTGCTTCCAGTGCCAATTATTGAACTTTTGAATTTTCCCCTTTTTTTCCAATTAACAAGAATCTTGTGTAACTTGACTAATGCTCAGAAACTGCCTTCTTTTTTCTTCATCCTAAACAAATTTCATCTGCTATGCTAAACAAAATACGCATTCATTGTCTTTTCTCTTTTTCTACCTTCGTCTAGTTTTTTTTCAAATAAATGTTCTGTATATCTCTATTTTTCCAGATATTTGAAAAATAACATAATCCTCTGTTCTATAAGATCACTTCTTTATAAATCATTCAAATTTAGGTACCGAATTCGAATATCAGATCGAGATCTCTTCTCGATACGAAGTTATGGACAAAAGCCTGAAACCGAATTTTGGCTTAAGTACATGCTTAGAACAATCCTTAATAACTTTGTTCAAATAAGAGATTTGGGCCTGAAATTTTGGGACGTAACTTGAAATTGAATGTAGAACGTTTCTATGACAAAAAATCAAAAAAAGTTTTTTTTGGGATTTCGAAAAAATGCCTTATGTAAGACTTAGCTTTTTTTTCGATCAAAAAAATGTTTGTCAATTTTTTGAGATTTTTTGTTATGAAAACGTTTTACATTCAAATTTAGGTACCGAATTCGAATATCAGATCGAGATCTCTTCTCGATACGAAGTTATGGACAAAAGCCTGAAACCGAATTTTGGCTCAAGTACATGCTTAGAACAATCCTTAATAACTTTCTTCAAATAAGGGGGGCCTGAAACTTTGGAACGTAATTTGAAATTAAATGTAGAACGTTTCTATGACAAAAAATCAAAAAAAGTTTTTTTTTTGGGATTTCGAAAAAATGCCTTATGTAAGACTTAGCTTTTTTTTCGATCAAAAAAATGTTTGTCAATTTTTTGAGATTTTTTGTTATGAAAACGTTTTACATTGTAAAGTCTCACACACTGTTAAGTTTGCGCTCAATTATTACGTTTGAGACATCAAAAATGTTCAAACTGACAAAATGTTGTGATATTATGCTAAAAACTTATCAGTTGACATCTTTATCATATCTTCCACATGAACCGAGATATTTGGGCCCGAAGTTGACGGTTTGGGGAGCGTTCATATTTTGCGGTATGCCCTTCTGAAAATCTCTTTTCAGGGCTCACCAGCTTTTTCGTCCTCACAATTGCCACCATTATCATCCTAAACGGAGCCAATGGAGTCTACCAAAACAGTATCTTCGGTCTCGCATCGGAACTTCCCTTCAAGTATACCAACGCCGTTATCATTGGAAATAATTTGTGCGGAACGTTTGTCACCCTTCTCAGCATGTCCACCAAAGCAATGACTCGCAATATTCTGGACCGCGCATTCGCCTACTTTTCGATCGCCCTGATCACCTTGATCTTCTGCTTCATCTCTTTCCTGGTACTCCAGAAACAAAGATTCTACCAATTCTACAGTAATCGCGCCGAGACACAGCGAGCAAAACATGAGGAATCCGCTGGAAATCAAGGAAAACTGACCACCTACATTGCGACGTTCAAAGAAGCATTTCCAATGCTGATCAATGTATTTTTGGTGTTTTTCGTCACTCTTTCCATTTTTCCAGGAGTCATGATGTATGTGAAGGATGAGAAGAATGGAGGAACTTACGATTTTCCATTGCCACGTAAGTCTAGGATTCGGTGTATTGCAAAACCTGTATTAGAAGGGCCCTAACTTTCAACTTGAAGCCTATTTATCTCGGCTCCTGTGAAAAATATCAAAATACTGTCAACTGATAAAACTTTGCGATTTTATGATAAACAACTTATCAGTTGACAAATTTTTGATAGTTTTCTCAGTAACCGGGATCAAATGACTTAAAATTAAAAGTTAGGAGGGAGCCTTCTAATACAGGTATTACGGCAAGTAACATTAACTTTGCGAAGATTCCAGAGAACTATTTCATGGATGTCACCACTTTTCTTCAATTCAATGTTTTTGCCTTTATCGGATCGATAGTGGCTGGGAGAAAACAATGGGTAAGTCAAACATTTCGATCGTGTCAAATCCGTAGCTTTTGGGAGAGGTTTGAACATGAATACCGTAAACATCAAACGCCCCCAAAACGTCAACTTTGAGTGTGTATGTGTAGTTTTCTGTCTAATATATCAAGAAGTTGTTAACGTTGTTTATTAAAATATTGCAAATATTTTATCAGTTCACACATTTTTGAAATCTCGCATGTGAGGCGAGATAACTGAGATCAAATTTAACAGTGTGGGGGCTCTTCTCTTCCTTAACGTCCATCAACTTTTAGCCGTCCCCTAACAAACTCTGGATTCCCGTCTACCTTCGTCTCCTCTACATTCCATTCTTCGCATTCTGCAACTATCTTCCGGAGACTCGTACCTGGCCAGTGTTCTTCGAATCCACGTGGATTTTCGTCATCGTTGCCGCCTCGATGAGCTTCGGAAGCGGATATTTCTCCGGACTCGCAATGATGTACACCTCGAAGAGTGTGGACCCAATGAGAGCTCAAGTCGCTGGAATGATGGCTGGATTCTTTTTGATTTCTGGAATTGTGTCAGGACTCATTTTTACAATGGTCATCAAAGCTTTCGTCACTGCATAGAGTTAATTTCTAGATGATAATTATATTTATTACAAATACAAGTTGTCTCAATTTTTTATTCACATTCCTCTTGTGTAAACCATTTTTTTTGTTTAATCAAATACCCTATTTTTAACTTCTAGATATACATTTTGGAATTTCCGGTCCTGTTTTTCCCAAATCGTGACTAGACCCGTTTTGATCTACTCTGGCGCCAAAAATTTAACTATTGAATTTTCCCATATTTTATCTTTTTCTTCCTCTTTTTTTTTAATTTTCAGAGAATAAGATTATAAAGGAAAAGATTGGGAATCACAAAAAAAGTTATAAACATTACCCTTTATGTTTTGTAATCGGTTAAATTTGTTCCGAAATCTCGGGCCATGCCGAAAAAGGTCGGTAAAACTTTTTCTGAAATGTTTTTGTTAGATTCACTCAGTAGATCAAACTTGGTCTCTAGGACTTTCCTTCTGGGTAACTTCCCTCCTAAGAAACGGGATGCAAAAAAAACAGACCCTACTCCATTTATTGATTTTTCTTGTCTATCCCTACCATCCCCTATTAACCTTCCGTTGGTTAAGAAGAAGACGAAGGCGGAGCCTCTCTCCCGATTTTTCGAAAATTGTAGACTTTCTTCTCCATCTCCTAAGCAATTGGTTTGAAAAATTCTGTAGACTTTGAGCTTTTGAAAAACGAAGTAAGATATATTTGATTTGTTTGGGAAGTTTTCTCATGTATAAAATAAAAAAAGAAAACAATTTTTAGTTTCACTAGTTTTGTGGGAAAATTCTTTTGAACGGAAAATGAGTCTTCAAGTCATTGCTGATATAGGCTATTTTTAAACTATTCTAGCTCCAAGTGTCTTTTTCGTGTGGACACTTACAAAAGTTCCCCCTTTTTTTTCAAAAATCCATTTTAAATTGAAAAAAAATAATTGAAGTTCAAACTTTCAAAATTTTCAATGGTAGATCAAATTCGGTCTCTACGATTTTCCTTCTGGGTAACTTCCCTCCTGGGAAACAGGATGACACACAAAGAAAAAGAAGACAGACCCCCGCCATTTATTGATTATAAGAGCGATATCTAATTTTCCCGTTTATAATTTTTCCCATTTCGCATCACATTTTTTTCTAAAGCGCTAAAAAATTCATTTGATCTACTCTAGTCCGCCAAATATTATATTATCGATCTTGATCCTCTTTCCCTTTTTTTCTTTTTTTCTTGCTTTTTTCCTAGGCAAATTTTTTAGACAAAAATCTTTGATCCCTCTTCTTGTTTCTTCTCTATGAAATTACTGAAAGTTTTAATGAAAGTTGAAACTTCAAGTTTAAGAACAATAATTTTCAGGGTAATCCATTGATGGGCCCTGAGCGTGTCACGAGTACAGTCTTGTCAACCTCAACCGTCGCTATTCCAGCTAATCACGATTGGTGAGCCAGTTCTTATCTTCACGTATTAATAGAACAATTCCAGGTCTTCAATCGTCGTCCACCGAACCTTCTTAGCAGCAAGCCATTGCTGATATAGGCTATTTTTAAACTATTCTAGCTCCAAGTGTCTTTTTCAGTGAGATTTTTTGTTATGAAAACGTTTTACATTCAAATTTAGGTACCGAATTCGAATATCAGATCGAGATCTCTTCTCGATACGAAGTTATGGACAAAAGCCTGAAACCGAATTTTGGCTTAAGTACATGCTTAGAACAATCCTTAATAACTTTGTTCAAATAAGAGATTTGGGCCTGAAATTTTGGGACGTAACTTGAAATTGAATGTAGAACGTTTCTATGACAAAAAAATCAAAAAAAGTTTTTTTTTGGGATTTCGAAAAAATGCCTTATGTAAGACTTAGCTTTTTTTTCGATCAAAAAAATGTTTGTCAATTTTTTGAGATTTTTTGTTATGAAAACGTTTTACATTCAAATTTAGGTACCGAATTCAAATATCAGATCGAGATCTCTTCTCGATACGAAGCTATGGACAAAAGCCTGAAACCGAATTTTGGCTTAAGTACATGTTCAAAAATTTTTAGTTCCCCTTAAATTTTTAGTTCCCCAATTACCAAAATTTCATGCCGAAATCTCTCTCTAGATTTAAAATTTAATTTAAAACATTTTCATTGCAAACAATTGAGAAAAAAATTTTTGGGATTAGCTTTTTTGCGAAAATCCAAAAAAAATTTCATGAACATTTTTGCATTTTTGAAAATTTTCGCAAGCAACCTAATTTTAACCTAACAACTAACTTAATAACTGGCAACCTGACAACTAACAAGCAGTGTTTGTTTTTTCCTATCACTGGCCGTTTTCGAGAGAAAGTTTTTTTTTTCAATTTTCCGAATCACTTCGCAATCACAGCGAAGCTTCAAAACAACACATTGCAGTCTGGACCCCATTTATTGGGTTCCAGACCGCCCCGTTCGAAACTTTTATTAATAGAATAGTAATTAAAATTAGTTAACGAACTGAGATTATATATATAGAAACATAAAAGACGGAGAGAAGAACAAAGAAGAAATAAACGAAATAACATTAAGAACATTCAATTAGCTATTCTCATCTCTCCATCCACATCCAGATGTGCTTCTTCTTCATCTTCAAGTCCTTCGGAACTCCTTGAATTGATTGGCTTTCTGAAATTAGAGAATTGTCAAATATATCACCATATAATGACTTACCAACTGCTGAAAGAACAATTCCAGCGATTTCCATGTTCCGCCCAGTTGCCGATTCTTTCCGGACTCTTTGCTGATCCATTCTCTGGAAACAAGAAAAAATATAAAGTCGATGTTATCAATAATTTGTTATATTTTCACCGATAGTGATTATTTTTATGATAATTTCTTTTTTTTTAATTTCATAAATTTAGAAGTGGTCAATGGTAAAGCCTTTCACTGCTTCATTTTGAGCTAGAAATCATGGTCATCGGCTGGGCCTAAGATAGATTAAGAGAAGTTTCTAAGAGAGAAAGAAAGACAACAACAACCTCATCAACTACTTTGAACTAGTGGTCGGGTGTAGGGAAACCGAAGCTCCGTCTACGAACGTTACGTGGTTCAAAGGTGACTTCCTTGGTCATTGGCTGGGCCTAAGATAGATTAAGAGAAGTTTCTAAGAGAGAAAGAAAGACAACAACAACCTCATCAACTACTTTGAACTGAACAAAGGGGACTTCCTAGGTCATCGGATGGGCGTAGGATAGGTTATGAGAAGTTTCTAACAGAGTGAAAAGAAAAAAGAAAAAATAAACCATATTAAAAACATTTAATTATCTATTCTCCACACTCCATCCACATCCAGATCTCGATCTTCTTTTCCAGATCCTTTGGAACTCCTCAAATCGGAATGCTTTCTGAAATGATAAAATTTGCAAATATAGCGCCATATATTGCCTTACCGATTGATGAAAGACACACTCCAGTGATTTCCATTTTCCTCCCGCTCGTCGATCAATTAGTTTTCGGGCTCTCTTTTGCTGTTCCATTCTCTGGAAAAAAAAAATATAAAATCGATGTTATTAATTTAGTTTCTATCTACTAGGGCCCAATGTCGAAGGGCACATCAAAAAAAGGCAGATCTAGTTATTAGGGTACATGGTATTTCTTGGCGACGGATGAAAAAAACCAAAAAAAAAAAAACGTTTCACAGACTGTTTCTCTTTTTGACCACTCTGTTTCGATGTACCGTTGGCTCCTGGGCCACTACACAAGTGTTTATGAAACCAAAAATTAGACTTTTTTCTTGAATTTTTTTTCATTTTCAAAACACTCTTTCGTTTTTAAATGCTTTCTTGGAAAAAGAGAAAAGTTGAAGGCTTATTTCTAGAGAAAATTTTTTACTCTTTCACTTTGTTTGAGTTTTTTCCATTTTGAAACAATCGAGCTATTTGAAATATTTTCGGGTCCTCAAAACTACCGTACTTCTTATAATAGAAACCCATCCGAACCGTCATCTTTGAGCTCACATATCTCGATTATTGTGCAAGATATCAAAAATTGGTCAACAGATAAAACGTTTGCGATGTTATGATAAACATTTTATCAGTTAACAACTTTTTTTTTCTTTCACAGGAATCGAAAAAAATTGACTCAAAGTTAAAAGTAAGGGTGCCCTTCTATGTATTAAGAAGTTATACGGTAGTCATTTCTCAATTGGAATTTTGAAATTTTGAGAATCTTTTTCATCCAGGACTGCGAAACCAACTCACCTTGGAATCTGGAGCCTGCAGAGCTGATGGCTCATCGACGGAGCAGTGGCGGTCCAAGCCTTTGGGGATGGGGTCGCTCCGGAAACGGATGCCGGGATGACAGTAGCTTCTGGGCTGAGAATGTTTGATTATGATTTCCATTTTAACACTATGATTTACCATTGATCTTTGATCTTGCGACCAGGAGCACTTAAATTGGTCCAAGCTGCTAAGAAGGTTCGGTGGACGACGATTGAAGACCTGGAATTGTTCTATTAATACGTGAAGATAAGAACTGGCTCACCAATCGTGATTAGCTGGAATAGCGACGGTTGAGGTTGACAAGACTGTACTCGTGACACGCTCAGGGCCCATCAATGGATTACCCTGAAAATTATTGTTCTTAAACTTGAAGTTTCAACTTTCATTAAAACTTTCAGTAATTTCATAGAGAAGAAACAAGAAGAGGGATCAAAGATTTTTGTCTAAAAAATTTGCCTAGGAAAAAAGCAAGAAAAAAAGAAAAAAAGGGAAAGAGGATCAAGATCGATAATATAATATTTGGCGGACTAGAGTAGATCAAATGAATTTTTTAGCGCTTTAGAAAAAAATGTGATGCGAAATGGGAAAAATTATAAACGGGGAAAATTGGATATCGCTCTTATAATCAATAAATGGCGGGGGTCTGTCTTCTTTTTCTTTGTGTGTCATCCTGTTTCCCAGGAGGGAAGTTACCCAGAAGGAAAATCGTAGAGACCGAATTTGATCTACCATTGAAAATTTTGAAAGTTTGAACTGATCAAAGATTTTTGTCTAAAAATTTGCCTAGGAAAAAAGCAAGAAAAAAAGAAAAAAGGGAAAGAGGATCAAGATCGATAATATAATATTTGGCGGACTAGAGTAGATCAAATGAATTTTTTAGTGCTTTAGAAAAAAAATGTGATGCGAAATGGGAAAAATTATAAACGGGGAAAATTGGATATCGGGAAAATTGGATAAATTTTGAAAGTTTGAACTGATCAAAGATTTTTGTCTAAAAATTTGCCTAGGAAAAAAGCAAGAAAAAAAGAAAAAAGGGAAAGAGGATCAAGATCGATAATATAATATTTGGCGGACTAGAGTAGATCAAATGAATTTTTTAGTGCTTTAGAAAAAAAATGTGATGCGAAATGGGAAAAATTATAAACGGGGAAAATTGGATATCGGGAAAATTGGATAAATTTTGAAAGTTTGAACTGATCAAAGATTTTTGTCTAAAAATTTGCCTAGGAAAAAAGCAAGAAAAAAAGAAAAAAAGGGAAAGAGGATCAAGATCGATAATATAATATTTGGCGGACTAGAGTAGATCAAATGAATTTTTTAGTGCTTTAGAAAAAAAATGTGATGCGAAATGGGAAAAATTATAAACGGGGAAAATTGGATATCGGGAAAATTGGATAAATTTTGAAAGTTTGAACTGATCAAAGATTTTTGTCTAAAAATTTGCCTAGGAAAAAAGCAAGAAAAAAAGAAAAAAGGGAAAGAGGATCAAGATCGATAATATAATATTTGGCGGACTAGAGTAGATCAAATGAATTTTTTAGCGCTTTAGAAAAAAATGTGATGCGAAATGGGAAAAATTATAAACGGGGAAAATTAGATATCGCTCTTATAATCAATAAATGGCGGGGGTCTGTCTTCTTTTTCTTTGTGTGTCATCCTGTTTCCCAGGAGGGAAGTTACCCAGAAGGAAAATCGTAGAGACCGAATTTGATCTACCATTGAAAATTTTGAAAGTTTGAACTTCAATTATTTTTTTTCAATTTAAAATGGATTTTTGAAAAAAAAGGGGGAACTTTTGTAAGTGTCCACACGAAAAAGACACTTGGAGCTAGAATAGTTTAAAAATAGCCTATATCAGCAATGACTTGAAGACTCATTTTCCGTTCAAAAGAATTTTCCCACAAAACTAGTGAAACTAAAAATTGTTTTCTTTTTTTATTTTATACATGAGAAAACTTCCCAAACAAATCAAATATATCTTACTTCATTTTTCAAAAGCTCAAAGTCTACAGAATTTTTCAAACGAATTGTTTAGGAGATGGAGAAGAAAGTACAAAAATTTTCGAAAAATCGGGAGAGAGGCTCCGCCTTCGTCTTCTTCTTAACCAACGGAAGGTTAATAGGGGATGGTAGGGATAGACAAGAAAAATCAATAAATGGAGTAGGGTCTGTTTTTTTTGCATCCCGTTTCTTAGGAGGGAAGTTACCCAGAAGGAAAGTCCTAGAGACCAAGTTTGATCTACTGAGTGAATCTAACAAAAACATTTCAGAAAAAGTTTTACCGACCTTTTTCGGCATGGCCCGAGATTTCGGAACAAATTTAACCGATTACAAAACATAAAGGGTAATGTTTATAACTTTTTTTGTGATTCCCAATCTTTTCCTTTATAATCTTATTCTCTGAAAATTAAAAAAAAAGAGGAAGAAAAAGATAAAATATGGGAAAATTCAATAGTTAAATTTTTGGCGCCAGAGTAGATCAAAACGGGTCTAGTCACGATTTGGGAAAAACAGGACCGAAATTCCAAAATGTATATCTAGAAGTTAAAAATAGGGTATTTGATTAAACAAAAAAAATGGTTTACACAAGAGGAATGTGAATAAAAAATTGAGACAACTTGTATTTGTAATAAATATAATTATCATCTAGAAATTAACTCTATGCAGTGACGAAAGCTTTGATGACCATTGTAAAAATGAGTCCTGACACAATTCCAGAAATCAAAAAGAATCCAGCCATCATTCCAGCGACTTGAGCTCTCATTGGGTCCACACTCTTCGAGGTGTACATCATTGCGAGTCCGGAGAAATATCCGCTTCCGAAGCTCATCGAGGCGGCAACGATGACGAAAATCCACGTGGATTCGAAGAACACTGGCCAGGTACGAGTCTCCGGAAGATAGTTGCAGAATGCGAAGAATGGAATGTAGAGGAGACGAAGGTAGACGGGAATCCAGAGTTTGTTAGGGGACGGCTAAAAGTTGATGGACGTTAAGGAAGAGAAGAGCCCCCACACTGTTAAATTTGATCTCAGTTATCTCGCCTCACATGCGAGATTTCAAAAATGTGTGAACTGATAAAATATTTGCAATATTTTAATAAACAACGTTAACAACTTCTTGATATATTAGACAGAAAACTACACATACACACTCAAAGTTGACGTTTTGGGGGCGTTTGATGTTTACGGTATTCATGTTCAAACCTCTCCCAAAAGCTACGGATTTGACACGATCGAAATGTTTGACTTACCCATTGTTTTCTCCCAGCCACTATCGATCCGATAAAGGCAAAAACATTGAATTGAAGAAAAGTGGTGACATCCATGAAATAGTTCTCTGGAATCTTCGCAAAGTTAATGTTACTTGCCGTAATACCTGTATTAGAAGGCTCCCTCCTAACTTTTAATTTTAAGTCATTTGATCCCGGTTACTGAGAAAACTATCAAAAATTTGTCAACTGATAAGTTGTTTATCATAAAATCGCAAAGTTTTATCAGTTGACAGTATTTTGAATTTTTCACAGGAGCCGAGATAAATAGGCTTCAAGTTGAAAGTTAGGGCCCTTCTAATACAGGTTTTGCAATACACCGAATCCTAGACTTACGTGGCAATGGAAAATCGTAAGTTCCTCCATTCTTCTCATCCTTCACATACATCATGACTCCTGGAAAAATGGAAAGAGTGACGAAAAACACCAAAAATACATTGATCAGCATTGGAAATGCTTCTTTGAACGTCGCAATGTAGGTGGTCAGTTTTCCTTGATTTCCAGCGGATTCCTCATGTTTTGCTCGCTGTGTCTCGGCGCGATTACTGTAGAATTGGTAGAATCTTTGTTTCTGGAGTACCAGGAAAGAGATGAAGCAGAAGATCAAGGTGATCAGGGCGATCGAAAAGTAGGCGAATGCGCGGTCCAGAATATTGCGAGTCATTGCTTTGGTGGACATGCTGAGAAGGGTGACAAACGTTCCGCACAAATTATTTCCAATGATAACGGCGTTGGTATACTTGAAGGGAAGTTCCGATGCGAGACCGAAGATACTGTTTTGGTAGACTCCATTGGCTCCGTTTAGGATGATAATGGTGGCAATTGTGAGGACGAAAAAGCTGGTGAGCCCTGAAAAGAGATTTTCAGAAGGGCATACCGCAAAATATGAACGCTCCCCAAACCGTCAACTTCGGGCCCAAATATCTCGGTTCATGTGGAAGATATGATAAAGATGTCAACTGATAAGTTTTTAGCATAATATCACAACATTTTGTCAGTTTGAACATTTTTGATGTCTCAAACGTAATAATTGAGCGCAAACTTAACAGTGTGTGAGACTTTACAGGTGTCACTCTATTACAGGTTTTCCGGTAATTCAAACTGTTTTCGAAACCTGTTGATATCAGACTTAAACAAATAATAGAAGGCAGATAAAAAACTTACAAGTTTGCGTCTCCACATAAATGAAAGCCATAGTGGTGATAACACAGACAGCCACAATAGACAGACCAACGGTGATACGGCCAGTGAGACCGCCTCTGGAAACTTGAATAATTGTTGAGCCTGAATAAGAAATGTTTATGTTCAGAATAAAATTTTGTCAATAGCTTGAGAAAGAAAAAATATTCTGGTTTCAAAATTGGACACACAGCTTAAAATTAGATGTATAACATTTTCATAAGAAAAAATCGAGAACATTTTTTTTTGAGATTTAAGAAATCCTTATGTTCCTTTATTTATGGAGTAAATAAAATTTTTAAAACGCGAAAAGTTGATTCCAGAATTTTACAGGTTATAGCCTTAATAAGATTTTTTAACCAAAAAATTAAAAATTCAGAAAAACAACCTTTGGTATCAGAATTTCGTAACCTTCGTCCTAAAGACGTTCTACGTTAGACAAATAGGCTGAACTTTTAAGACACATTCTCTGAGAGAATTGAGATCGGGTCAACAGGCGATGGCAATGGAAAAAATCAAAATGGTCGTAGGAGTCTGATATTGTGTGTGGTGGGTATAGGGGTTACTCTATGAATTTTGACCATAGTCTTCATTTTCATTTTTTGACCAAAGTTGGTTTCCAAAATACCCCTTTTGAGGCACCCCTAATTTTTTATGGCATTATGGTATTATAGTATAAGCAGGTCCAAAGTATCAAATTATCAAAGTTTGGTTCAGTAAACACAGGCAGATTTTTGAGAAATTTCCAAAAAAAGTGAAAAAAAAGGCAAAAAAGTGGAATTTTCTCTACTTCAGGGTTACCGTAGAAAATTGGTCCCAACACAAAAAATGGTCATAATAGTACCAGAAACTCAAATCTGAAACATTTGAATCGATATCATTATTTTGAACAAAAAAAAATTTTCGGGGTTACGGTATCTCAGCGCGCCCAGAAGAGGGCGTGGCCTATGGGTACTATGGTCAAAAATTTTAGAGTAGCCCCTATACCCACCACACACAATATCAGACTCCTAGGACCATTTTGATTTTTTCCATTGCCATGGTGTTTTCGAGTTTCTGAGAGATTGTGTCTTAAATCCGTTTTGAAAATCTAAGAATCTCTTACTTGACAACAATGAAGATATTCAGGAGGTTGAGAAGAAGGTTCGGAACTTGGGAGGCGATAGTTTGGAAGCTCTGGAAGTTAGATGAGTAGACTGTTGGATCCCCAGTCACGGCTCCGGTTTCCAAATTGATAGTTGAGTTGGCGAGCATTTTGTAGGATTCGAAATACTGGAAGTTGAAATTTTTTTCGAAAATCACGAAATTCAGAAAAGGACTCACATCGTAAGAAATAGTTATCAGCATGTTCCAAGGCATCAGAACTCCGATTCCGTGGAGACAGATGATCGAGAAAACCAGGTTACGATTGTCTTCTGGAGCAGTTTCTTCAATTTTAGCAGCTTCGACATTTTGCGACTTGTTGAGTGGCTGAAGTTCAACACCTGGTGACATTTTTTAACCTGGAAAATTAAGATTAGAAACCTTATTTAAATGAAATGTTTGAAATTTTTATCAAAATTTTAGAGAACAAAATTCATTTTCAATGATGAAACCAGCCAAAATTTTCAGTGACAAAAAATGCCTGATCAATCTACATCGACTTCTCTTCTAAAGGTTATTTTTGAAACGCAATAAATCAAAGCGAAAAATGCCAAATGTATTGATCTCGCCATCGTTTCGTTTTCAGACTTATCACCATTTTTTTTGTCTTATCAGTTAAAATGCAAAATAATTCCGTTTCCTTTTCCCCAGCTCGATGACACTTTGATACTCTGGGGTTTCATGCTATTTAAAAGATCATAGTTGTTTGAAACTTCTGATTATTTTTTAAATTCTATTTGAAAAATATGCACATAGTTTTCTCGATTTTTCTGCTCGTTTTGAGTTTTGATACACTGTCAGCAGCTGTTGTATGTCCGGGAGAGGCTACCTTGGGTCCCAGTGGAAAGTTGTGAGTTTATTGGAAAGGAGACATCTGGACACACAGATAGATTCTTTTGCCTACCGTAGTAGTTTTTTTGCCTACCAATAGAACGGCACCCTTACTTTTAACTTTGAGTCAATTTATCTCGGTTCCATCAAAGATATCGATAAGTTTTTAACCAAAAAAATGTTATAGATAAACATTTTATTAGTTCACAACTTTTTGATATCTTTTACAGGAAGTGAGATATACAGTGAGTTTCACATTTATACGGTCACCCTAATTTTGGAGTATAACAGAATAACCGATGGAAACACGTATTCGGTGACTAAAAAATCGGATTCAGGACCTCAAATTACATATCCTTGATAGTTTTCATATTGATACCAACAAAACTGGCAAGATTAGGCCACCTTGACTGGAAAATGGCTCTCTGCAAGCGTTTCATATTTATACGGTCACCTCCAGAAAAACAAGAAAAAGAGACAATTTAATGTTTGGTGGCAGCACCATACGAATTGATAACATTAAAAGTACGATTTGGCATAGATTGAAGAGGAATTGGGATGTACTGGTTGTCCTGAACTGATCTCCTGCTCCGAATCGGATCATTCGGCAACGATTGCACTCCTGAGCACCCCGCATTCCAAAATGGCTAGTATTCGTTCAAATTGAATTTATTTTCATCCTAACATATTTTTCGTGAAAAATCAAATGTTTCGGATTCTCAAATTTGGTCTACCTTCGGTGAAGGCAGTCTTTTGGTGTGTTGTGCTTTCTCTGGGGCTAGATAACTCAAGATGGCGTTTGCCCCATGAACTATGAACTCCGGAGATTATAAAAAAGTGTTCGAGGGATCTGTCCTTCATTTCTGTTGTCGATTCCATCACCATAAGATCATTTCCCAGTAGGAGAAGTCCTTCCGTCGGATCAGCTGATCCATTTAGCATGATTCCGACCCTAAAAAATCAAAGTTTCGCTATGGCTAGTCATGTTTCTGAATCGGAATTTTATAGAAAACATGTCAGGTAAGTATTTACCACCATTGCACAAAGTACAGAACCTGCCGGGTGCTCAGGAGTGCAATCGTTGCCGAATGATCCGATTCGGAGCAGGAGATCAGTTCAGGACAACCAGTACATCCCAATTCCTCTTCAATCTATGCCAAATCGTACTTTTGATGTTATCAATTCGTATGGTGCTGCCACCAAACATTAAATTGTCTCTTTTTCTTGTTTTTCTGGAGGTGACCGTATAAATATGAAACGCTTGCAGAGAGCCATTTTCCAGTCAAGGTGGCCTAATCTTGCCAGTTTTGTTGGTATCAATATGAAAACTATCAAGGATATGTAATTTGAGGTCCTGAATCCGATTTTTTAGTCACCGAATACGTGTTTCCATCGGTTATTCTGTTATACTCCAAAATTAGGGTGACCGTATAAATGTGAAACGCACTGTATGGGCTCGAAGTGAAAGTATAGGATGCGCTTCTATTAGAGCATTTCCGATGTCTTAAAAAATTGGGGATTTCAGGTATGAAATTAGAATTCAACATATTTTCGAAAACATTTTCAGTTGCTATGTGGTCCACAAAGGTGCCATGAGTTTCCATGATGCTGAAAAAGCGTGCTACGATTTTGGCGGTTATCATCTGGCCACCGTTCCAAACATGATTGATAACCGATATTTATACAGTAAACCCCATATTTAAATAAATTCCAAGGCAGTTACTTTCAGATCTCTCCAGTCACTCGAACATTTGGACTAACTACTACTGGTTGGGACTTACCGATATGACCGCTGATGGATCTTGGGAATGGTTGATGGCACTGATTTGGTTTTTGCAAATTGGGCGCCAGATTCCAGCCAAGGATACTGTGGAGCAATGAGAGCATCAGACGGGCGGTGGATAGCACAGGATTGCGCGAAACCATACCCATTCTATTGTTATGGACGGGCTCAGGGAGCACCTACAGATCTACCAAGTCGTTAGTCGTGATTTTTTGAAAAATTTGAATTTCCGATTTTCCAGCACCAAGGACCACAATCCGGCCAACTAGAAAAGAGGAGAATATGATCAAATTTATGGCTGATGCTGAGTCAGTAGGCAACCCAAATATTGATCCAAATGCACTCGCTTTCTACAACAAGGTAAATAAGCTCCGCCCACATTTCTTCATATGGTATTTCAGGAGCGAGAATTCATCCGTGCCGTTACAGACGGCCTGTTTGCAAATCCATCGAGTAATGGGAATGTTTGCACATTCTATATGAGTGTGTCATTCTATGGATACAGTTAGTAAAAAAAATTTTAAATAGGAGTCTCAGAAATTTTCAGCCAAATACGACCAGCAATTTGACCATAGCGCTGCCTGGAGCCAGCATCAATTCGATAACCTGTTGGAGTCGAATGTTTGGGATCAAGGGCATACTGATCCAGCGTATAATATTACTGAGTGAGACTTGGAGCGTTTTTTCTTCTAAAATTCCAATGCAATTTCAGCGCTATCACAGGGGCACAGCGTTTCCAATGGTCTCCATCAATGGATGATATTGGTTACACTACGCTGGTCTTCTTGACAGCTAGAAGGGATTTCACAAATATTCCATCACTTTTTAATCCGTTCCCAAAGTTTGACGAGCTTGTTGTGGTTTCGCTGAATGGTGAGTTCCAGGATGGCATTGTCCTGAAATAATCCTGTTTTAAAACTTGGAATTTTCAAAATACGGAATTTCCGAATTTCCTGGACATTCTGAATCATCTGTAACTTTTGAATTTTATTCTAAATCACTTGGAATTTTTGAATTTCCGACTTCCCATGTTTTAAAGCTTTAAAGGAGGCGAGACAGCAAAAATTTCGGGGGACAGTTCGGGGGACGAAATCGCGCCGCGCTTATGTAGATCGATCGTCAGGCGCCTTCGCGCTCCCGTAGCTCAGCCGGTAGCGGCGCTGTACCCCTGAGCTGCATGTCATGAGTTCAACCTCTCATGAGGGTTCTCTATGCAAAATATCAGGAAAACTTTTTTTTGGTGTCTGGCCTCCTTTAATAAATTTTTTAAGGCTCAAACATGCCTGGTATCCCATCTGGAACATCCACAGTTCAAGTCTCCAACGATTTCAGTGACGTTGATATTCAGAAGCTAATTAGCGTTCTTAATTGCCATTGATCCGTTTTTAATTAATTAAATTTCAGAAATATAATTTTTTTCAAATTTGATAAATTAAGCGGAACTTATAAAATATTTACTCAAAAATAGTGTCTAGGAGATCGATTACGGAGTTTTTGAAATACGAAATTATTTTGGAACTTTAAAAGCAAACTGAAAAATAAGGAACCCGAACAAATAGTAAAAAAAGAACTGACAAAATACATACAACGATGATATCGAGAACCGGGACGGTAATTTTTTTAGGAAGGCTAAAGTTTTAAATGACACGACTAGTTGATGGTGTAGCTGTGGTCATGGTGGTGCCTGACGAGGATGTGGATGGGATGACTGTAGTGATTTCGATAGGCGTTGGAAGAGATTCTTTACGGATGGTGGCTGCCGAACGGGTGATTGAAGCGGATCGGGATTTGACCTGGAAATAGAAATTGATAGATAAATTAGATATCGATAATTGAAAAATTTGGCTAAACTTAACTTACCGTAACTCAAAAACAACGCCACCCAAACCGGCAGCTTTGAGCCTATGTATATAGCTCGTTTCCTGTAGAACATACCAAAAAGTGATCAACTAACAAAATGTTTATCATAATATCAAAAACATTTTGTCAGTTGACACATTTTTAATATCTTTTATAGGTTGACATTTTCTTAAATAGGGCTCTTTATGATAAGTCTGGGCTCTTTATGATAAGTGGCCATGAGAACAGGCCCTTCCCTCCACTGACCATAAATAGCCTATTCTTATACGTACCTGCACTAAATTCACAATCTGCCCTTGCGTGGCTGCTGTTTGTGGTCTCTGATGACTTGACAATTCATGAAGACTTGCCCGATGCTCTCTAGCACTTCGAGCTGATCGGAAATTATTCTTGTTCTGATTACTATCCGTGTTTGCATTCGATCTACTCGACATGGGCATCACAAATGACTTTGCGTTTGACGCATTTAGTACCAGCTGAGGTTGAACCGAAGGAGCCGAAAATCCAAACGTCTCAGTATGTTCTGAATGGTCGAATGAGAATCCTTGAGAGTCTGAAGATTCAGAATGCACTTCTGGAGACATGATTTCATCGGGAGTTATATGATCCTCGACGTGATCTCCGAGTTCCAAACGAATTGCGAAATCAGGGTGGGCTGAGCCTCGGGAATTAGTAGGTAGTTGAATATCGTTACGGATCTCATTCCAGTATCCAAAGTGTTTGAGGATGTCATTTTTGCACATTGGGCAGGTACGGTGCTCCAAGAGCCATGGGTCAATGCAAGATTTGTGGTAGACGTGTCTAGAAATCTTAGTTTTAACAGGTTTCTGGTTCTTAAGTAAACTCACTTGCACGGCAATAATCTGATAACATCCTGCAGCTGATATGGATCCAAACACACGGCACAATCCGATTGTAGTTCTTGAGTCATGCCAGGTGAAATAGTCATCGTTGGAATCCGAGTGAGAGCCTTTCTCGCAGCATTGAACAATCTGAAAATCAAAAAAGTTAGAATTCCAATCTTTTCGATGGGCAACAAATAATCAAAGTTCCAACCTATACCTTCTCTGGAGACGGTCCTTGGCATGAGCGTAACGGAATCTTTGAACATAATAAAAAACAAGCCAGGCTAGAGAAATGACCATAAGAATGATAAAAGAAATTGATACGAAAAGCACGGAAGTTTTGGAAAATGAGCGGAGAGCATCAGTCGATTCAGCATTGGTTTCTCCACTGGTGTTCATCGTTGGACCGGAGCTCTGGAAGTTTTCTGTTTCGGTTGAAAATTTTAGAGGAGCTAAATAAATATTGATCTTTATTTTATAGTTGACGGCTTTTCAGTAACTGCTATGATTTTTAAGATATGCGTCTTTAAAGAATGTACTCGTCTTTGCTTCCTCTGGCTATCTTGGTGCCTAATTTTTAATGGAGCATGCCGTAAACAGCGCTAACTTCGAACCCATATATCTCAATTTTTGTAAAAGATAGCGAAAAGTGTTCAACTAACAATCTGTTTATCGTTATGTCACCAATATTTTATCAGTGTACAAAACTTTAATATCTTATACAGGAACCGAGATATATAGGCTCAAAGATTGCGGTTTGTCGTTAGATTGATTACGGCATCTCAAACTCCAGAAATTTTGTAAAAATTTTGGAACTAAAGTTTTAAAAAACAGAAGTTTGAAAGTTCAACAGATTCAACAAGACAGTTTTAAATTGATATAGAATTTTTTTCAGATAGAATAGTGTCTCACTAGCTACTAAATATGAAAAACAAGAGCTCAAGTCAAAAAATTCAGGTTGCCAAGGCAGCTGAATCATCTAGGGAAATTAAGAAGCAGGTTCTGTGAAAATAAATAAAATTTTCTCAAAATAATATATGCCGTTGTTAATAACAACTTGTACCAGTTTTCAGTTTTCAGTCTAGACAAGGATCTCGACATGGGAATTACAGTTTTCTTAAAGCTCCGCCCCTTTTACTCACTGTACTATCCACATTGCACTGTTTTCCGGTCTCACGAACATTGCCAATTTTATCTCCAACATTCAACCAGGAAACCTGAAATCCAGAAAATTAAATTCAGGGATAAAAGTTCTTCAGACATACTCTAGAATTCGGTGGTGCTTGTCCGGCTACAATTAGAATATTTCTAGGTGCTTGTTCGACACGAGTCGGACAGTCTGTGAGACACGAATGACAAAAGTATACACGCTGAGCGTCGTCGAATTTCGTTGCTGAAAATTTTAGAAGTTTAGGTTAAGTTGGTCCTAGATCTTTTGAGTTTCAAAGATTCAAAGGTTGAACCTTTTTCAGGCTGAAAATCTCCGTTTCAGAGGCTTACATCGTTTTCAACAATTCGTAGTTTGTCTTTTAACTCACATTCAGCACAAATATCCGCATAGGCCGGCAGAAAAGTATTATGATTTCCAAACGAGAGTTCAGTTTGAAGAGTGCCGTCGACTTCCTCCGATTCCACACATTTCAACTTTACTTTTAGCTGAAATTTTTGAATAAATGGATTTACCACTAAAACCTGTAATAAGAGGGCTCCCCTAACTTTTAACATTGAGTCTATTTATTTTGGGTCCTGTTAAAAATATCAAAAAGTGACTAACTGAAAAAATGTTTTTGAAATTATGATAAACATTTCGTCAGTTGACAATATTTTGATATCTTTTACAGGAACCGAGATGTAATAGTTGATTTCAAAATTGACTTTGAGGGGGGGGGGGGTAAGGTAAATTCAGCTCATATATTAAAATCCAAACTGGGTGAAAAATTGGAAAAGAAGGAATCTCAATTTTCTTCCGTTGCTCTTCAAAGTTTAAAACAACTTTCTGAACTTTGAGATTTCTTAGAATTGTTAGTGCTCAAAAATGATGTTGAAAAGTTTATAAAACCATTTCAAGGTTAAAATTTTGAAATAAATTTACTCAAAAATGGTCGTCGAACTAATCTAGACTTACATTGCTAATGGCATCGACACTGGACTGCAAGAAGCGCATTAAAAATATAGTGACGAGGAGGGATCGATGTTGCATGGAGGTCGCCCGCGTCCTGGAAATATGAATTGAATTGGTTCGGGGTGATTTTAAATTATAATAAGAAGGGGTTTTGAGAAAGCAGGGTTTGAAGATTGATAACCGGAAAAAAATTCAACCGGAAAAATAAAAATTCAAAAAAAAAAACTTTTCAGAACCAATTCCAATAATTGTTATTTCCTAGACATAAATAAGAGGACAATTTAAAAAAAATGAAAAGGTCTCAAAGACCATTTAGTGATTGCTAGAGAGAGAGAGAAGAGAGATAGAAATGGCCAGAGAGAGCTCAGCCCGTCTTTACTGCCTACACAAACTGATGAGAAATGTGGGGAAAATTAAAGATTAGAAAAAACCACGAGAGCTAAAAAGCGCACAAAAATTAAGTGTGACTTTAGTCTAGGATGGCTCAAAAAATCCGGGTGACGTAGAGGATTTTTTATTCGCCTGGGAGAAATATTGAATTTCAGGTCAAAGTTTTGTTTTGGTTTGTTCTTATGGGACTCCAAAATACCAAACAATCGGGAGGATGTCTAACGGGAAAGATCTTTGAAATTTGATGAATTTTTTTGGAAAATTTGAAAATCTGAAAATCTGGAATTAAAAAAACTTCAAACTCAGAAATTCGAAACATTCTAATCTAGGAAGCTTCAAAATCTGAAAAGCTTCAAATGCAGCCTAAAAATCGAGGAGTTTCCAGAATCTGAAATTTAGAATATTCCAGAAAATTATGAATTTTAAATCGAATAGATCACAAATCATGAAAAGCAGGTGGAAATGAGAAAATTTGGAAACAATTATATTTTTGATTTTCAGTATGAAAAATCTAAAAATAAAATGTGATCAGCTGGGACAATCTGTGCTGATATTTCCAGCCAAATCAAGCTCTAAAAATTCTAAACTTGCCAAATTCTTCCGTCAAAGAATGTTCCCAAAAGTTTTCTCATCTACTACTTTCCCCCCAAAAACTCATAAAATAGAAGCCCATAAAAATTGTCGAAAAAAAAGCCGGGGAGGAGAATTCCTGAGTAGATAGAGAGAAAAAGAAGAGCACATGTTCCCCTTTTCATATTCTCTTCTAGAGTTCTGAGCAACAAAAAAGATGAAAAAACCCGTTTTTTTTCCTATAGGGACCCTTCTTTTCTTGAAAAAGTCGTGTATAACGGGGGGCACACACCACCACACAGAGCCACCCTCCTTTTCGAGCCCGTTTTCTTTGCCCTCTCTATTTTCAATACTATCTCCAAGATGGTGTACCTTTGGCGCGCGTTTTCTGCCCCCTCTCTTTGCCGGGTCCCTTTTAACCCCTCCGGGGGTTAGAAGAGAGTGAAATAGTGTCTGTGAGGGAGGCAGAGACTTGTGTGTCTCTCTCAGCTTAGTGTCCTATTGATTTGAGGTCTCCTGAGGGGTCCCTTTGGAGAAGAAAAGTGAGTCAGATGGGGGAAAAGAGAGAGGGAGAGAGGAAGAAAAACGGGGACATTTGCACCTAATTTATTTTTCAGAGAGAGCTAGTTTTTCGTGTTGTATAGTCAAAGTTATATGTAGATTGCTCAGCGTTGAATTTGAGATGGGTTTCAGAAGTCAGAAGTTAAGAAGAATTGAGTATCAGAATCTCAAAATTTCGGGATCAAAAAACCAAATATCAAAACTCTAAGAATTTTTGAACTTTTGGATCTTTGACTATAAAAACTTTTCGAATTTTCGGAATTTTGAAATTTCACAATTTTGGAAATCCTGATTTTTTTTGAATTCTCAGTTTTCCAGAATTATTGGAATGTAGGATTTTCAAAATTTTTTGACTTTTGGAATTTCAAATTCTCGGGCTTTTAAAATTTCAGGATCCCAAATACAAAGCATCAAAATTCTCAGGTTTTCAGAATTCGAAAGTTTTTTGAATTTCAGAATTTTTGGAATGTTTGGAATTTTGGAATTTCAGAATCATATTTTCGTGGATTTAATTTCAGAACTTTAGGAATTTCAAGATTTTTTGAATATTCTCAGAAATTTTAGAATTTCAAAAATTTTAGAATTTCAGAATTTTTGGAATTTCAGAATTTTCAGAATTTCAGAATTTTCAGAATTTTGGAATTTCAGATATTTTGTAATTATGGAATTTTTGGAATTTCTGAATTTTTGGAGGATCAAAATTTCATAGTATTTGGATAGTGTGGAATTATCTGATTTTAAGATTTAAAAATGATTTCTGGTAAATTTTTCACATTCTGTGAAGTAATTTTTTTTTCTTCGAAATTCTCAAAAACGGGACTTGGAGAATTTAAAAAATAATTTAAAAACCAGACGGTTTACGCCCCTTTGGGGCTAATCCGCCTGGCTCTCGCTTATAATATATGTAATCTTATTGAAAAATTTCGTCACAAAAAAGTGACGAAGGAAAAATAAATTAAAAATTCTGAAAATTCTTAAATTGTAGAATGCTAAATTTTTAATTTCCAAATTTTGAAAATTACGGAATTCGCAATTTTGAAAATTTAAAATTCAGAATTTCAGAAATTCAAAAGTTTGAAAATTCGTATATTCGGAAAATTCCGAAAAATTAATTTAGGAAAAAAATTTTGAAAATACTCAAAAACGGGACTTGGGGAATTTAAGAAATAATTAAAAAATTTCCGAAAAATCTGGAAGTTCCAAAAATTGTTATCCAGAACGAATAATTAAAAAAAATAATCCGGGGTTATACGGATTAGATTATGATGAAAAAAGATTAGATGAGGAGGATTTTCTTTTCCAGCTTTCTCAGGAAAAAGGAACTGAATAGAAAAAAGAAGAATAGGCAAAAAAAATCTCCCAGGTGTTCGTTAGTGACGTCTTCTGAATTCTGAAAATCCTAGACAGAATAAAAAAGTACTAAAGAAATTCTGAGAAAATATGAATAAGAAAGATGTCGCGGCTCATAAAATTTTTCAAAAATATTTCAAAATGTTTGGCGGGTTTCTAGGCAACTAAATGTTTTTTTCGAAAAAAAATATTCTAGAGGAATCATTGAAACGAGAATCCAAGAAATTGAATTTTCCGTGTAGTATAAAAAAATTTTCTTCCGGTCATTCTGATGTTATTGACGTCAAATATTCACAAGACCACTACAATCTTTCCTAGATTCACGTCTTCAGAATTCAAAATTCAAAATTCGGAAGACGTTATGTGATAATCTGAATCATAGGTCACACCCAGCCGTGACGTATGCTTCTTTTTTTCTTCTAATCATAATTTGATACTTCCGGTTCGTTAGGAAAAGCCTAATGGGATGTTAGAGAAGGTTTCTGAGAAAAAAAACTGAAAAAATAAGAAAAAAGTGAGAAAGAGGAAGAAAAAAAGAACTAATTATGATTTTTTTTCAGAGATTTTTGAACCTTATTATGACGAATTTTAAGGGCATTTTTAGTGTAATTAAGTTGAATACAAGGGCAGAAAACATGATGTAGCTTTTTCAGAATATTCCAAAAATTCCACCCAAACCCTCAACTTTGAGCCCATATATCTCATTTTCTGGCAGGGGTTTCAACAATTAGTCAACTGATAGAATATTGTTGATATTATGATAAAAAAAAGTTTAAAAATTAAAATTGTCGAATTATTCAAAAAAAAAAATAAAAATAGATTCAAATACTTTTTGGCCATATAGTGCAGAAAGCAATTTTCTTTAGAGTATCAAAGATTGTGACGTCTAGAAAAAAGGAAACCAAACACTTTTAGGGATTATAATTTTTAGGCACCGATCGCGCTGAAAGTTCTGGAACATCATATTTTCAGAATTAAGGAATTTTGGGATTTTAGAATTTTAGAATTTTAGAATCTTAGACTGCTGAAATCATGGTATCCGAGAACCTTAGAAACTCAGGATTTTGAAATCCTGGTATCTTAGGATTTTAGGATTTCAGAGCTTTGGAATCCTAGGATTTTCGAATTTGGAATCTTAGAATCCTGATTCCCTAGAATCTTAGATTTCAGAAAATCAAAAAAAAGGAAAGCTTGAGAAAAAAATCCAGCAGATGATATCGGATTTCATGTTCATGGTTCACATTTCCGGGATTATACGAAGCAGGCGATACTTGTTTTTTTTCAGGAAATGGAATAGCAAAGAAAAATTATCTTTTAGAAAAGTTAGTTAGAAAAATATGATGATGTGAAAATTTTGAAAAGATGGTGGGGGAGGAAAAAAGAGGGATTAAATGAGAAGAAAAGATGGGAAAATGTGAAAAAAGTGGTGAGCAAAACAAGTCAAATTATGGAAGAGAGAGGATTATTGGATTAGAAAATATGGAAAAAATTGGGGGTTTCGGGTCAAACCTCTTTTTTGAACTGAAAAATGGAAAAAATAGGTTTCCAATAATCAGAATTCAGAAATTTTAGAATCTAGAGCTCTTTAAAGCTTAGAATCTAAGAATTTTAGAATCTTAGAATTGAAATTTCAGGCTTCATCGAATTTCAATTTTATGTTTTTCCATAATTTCGAATTCCTGGAATTTTGAAATCAACTTTTAAAAATCAGTTCTTAGATTTTTTTGAGCCCTCAAAATCCCCCAAAAAATGTGTCAGAAAAATAGGAAAACGGAGAAAAAAACCAATTAATTTTGACATGTTTTCTCCTCTGTGTTTTTTTTGTTTTTTCGTTTTTTTTTTCAAAGCGTTCCACTTTTTTCTATTTTCTTGAAAAGCTCTCGTTGCTCTCATCTTCAACTGACATGTTGTTGACACCGCTCAAAGCTCTTAGGGGAGCTAAAAAATAAAAATTTCAATTCGGAGAATATTAAAAATGAAAAAAAGGTTGTATTTATAAGATTGTAAACATTCGTACTAATAAATGAGTTCGAGCTGGAATATCAGAAATTAGATTTCTAGTTTCAGGAGTTTTCCGAACTTGGAAATTTGAAACTTCCAAAGTTTAGAATTATGTTTTAATTATTCAAAAACCGTAAAGAGATTGAGATTTAGAACCTAAAATTCTATTTCAAAGTTTTTCCAAAGTTCCAGACGCCTACGTTGCT